TCTGATTTTTCTTTTATTAACAATTAGATTCTTGGTCTTTACTTTGCATATTTGAATGATTGCTCTATTACTTTTCTAAATCCCAACATTATTTCTAAAGCAAAATTGTCTAAATTATCAGATGCTTTTGACACTGAGAAGCTATTATGGGTTATGGACAAGTTAAGGCATGGACAAGCCGTAGATATTCCGAACTATGACTCAAAGAGTTACAAGAGCGATGTGTTTCCAGCAAGAAGGGTATGTCTCTTGCACTTCCTTTTTTGCCATGCAGTTTTGAACCCCCTTCTCTTCCCTTTCTTAAATGCTAGTTGGCCTTCTATTTTTGATCTGTTGGTATCATCCCTATGGAATTATATTTTTTGCATGATGATGAATGAACTGCAGAAACTTGACGTGTTTCCTAATTTGATTTGACTTTGTTATATGCATGAAAAAGCCTTCTCTGCCTTTCTTCTACATGGGATCAAGTCCTTCCTGTTGGCAAGTGTGTTGTAGGAGGGTCCCTCCGTTTTTCTTGTTAGGATGATTTGGCTGACTAATTATTGCTAATTCACACAGTGCATTCTCCAACAGAGGGCAAAGGATTTTTGAAACAAAATTCCAGTTATTATTTTCCCATTTTATGTTGCTTAATGCATTTTGCAGGTGAATCCTTCAGATGTTATAATTTTGGAAGGAATTCTTATTTTCCATGATCCACGTGTTCGGGAGCTGATGAATATGAAGATATTTGTTGACACAGGTCCTTTATTTTTAATGTTTCTATTTAACTAGTAGAATTTATAATATCTCGCATTTCTTCTGTAGATGTATGTAATATCTAGGCTAGCTTTTGTATGTTGCACCTTCTAGAGGCCATGATACCATGTCAAAGGCTATTTCAAATCCAAGCTTAACCATTTCAATGAAGGATCATAACTAGTTTCGTTATAATCTGACATATAAAATGAAGTTGTTTCCAAACTGGTATGTTTTAGTATCTTTGTGTTGCAGTACTAAGTTAGGATGTCATACTCATTGTATAATGTTCAGTGCAGATGCTGATGTTCGTTTGGCCAGGAGAATTAGGCGTGATACCTGTGAGAAGGCTCGGGATATTGGCTTAGTGCTTGATCAGGTACCAAATATCATTGGTTGAACCAGTTGTACTACCATGAACATGTTTTCGTCATCTGTTGCTCCTCGTTTTCTATATATATATATATATATATATATATATATATATAGAAAACGAGGAGCAACTATATATATATATATATTTTTCAATGTTGCTTATGTTTCCTGAGTTGTAAGATTTTGCAAACGTGAGAAAGTCAGTGTTTTGCTGTGGATTAGTTTCAGTGCAAGCTTCTTGACCAGAAAACAATTCCTTGGTGTATTTTCTTATGGAATTAAAGCCTTGAGGATGGAATTTGTGCTCATGAAAATAGTGGTCACCCTTATATATTCTTCTATACAAACTAGTGATAATTTGACCAGATTCGATAGTTAACATTTTTATTATACCTGATGCAGTATTCTAAATTTGTAAAGCCGGCTTTTGATGACTTTATTCTCCCAACAAAGAAATATGCTGATATCATTATACCCCGCGGAGGAGACAATCATGTGGCCATTGATTTAATCGTACAGCATATCCGGACAAAGCTTGGTCAGCACGATTTGTGTAAAATATATCCTAATTTATATGTCATTCAAACAACTTTTCAGGTACCTCACTCTTGCTATTTATTGACATTTTAATCATTCCACTCTCCTTTCCCTAGAAATCCAAACTCTTTCATTATAAAGGTTGAATCACCGTGGTAATTCTACCATGCAGATACGGGGTATGCACACCCTGATACGTGATTCTCAGACAACAAAGCATGATTTTGTGTTTTATGCTGACCGTTTGATTCGTTTGGTATGTATACAGGTTCATTTGTTGTTTTCTCAATTTTGTGATGGTGTGACAGTTTCTTTATAGACTATTAGTCACAATTCCTGCGCTTGACCAGGTTGTTGAGCATGGCCTGGGGCATCTTCCATTTACGGAAAAGCAAGTAATAACTCCAACTGGTAAGTTTTTCTTTTCGATGCTTGCTTGTAAAGGTATTATTTGCTAATTTCCATGCTGTGGAGTTAGTTGAATAAATGTGCTGAATACTGTTCGGTTAAGAAAAGTGCCCATTAATGTAATGAGTATTAATCTGTGTCTTGGTGATGCATCATTCTCCTCTCTTTTACTATTGATTGTGTTGGATGTACATGACGGTTTCTTGTTTATCAGCTGCTGTCATACTGTCTGCTGGCTTTTTATGGTGAAAACTGATTCTTTTCCTTCAACACGTAACTGCAGAGTCTGTATATACTGGTGTGGATTTTTGCAAGAGGTTATGTGGTGTCTCCGTTATCAGGAGGTATAAGTCTCCAGTCCAAAGTTGACATCACTGGGGCATTTGATTTTCAGATTTTGTCTTCCTTGCTTCCAGCTCTGAAGAATAAGTTTACGCATATCCTCTTAGTTGTCCCAAAATATTTGAATAAATAGAAAGGAATGATCTTTGTCAATTTGGGCTCCCAAGTAATATATTGTACAATTGAAGGAAAGGTATCCTTTAGCTGTCCCAAAATATTTAAAAACCACTTTCTGTTCTAACGTCATTATCCAACGTTGATTTAATTTCAGTGGAGAGAGTATGGAAAATGCTTTACGTGCTTGCTGTAAAGGTATCAAGATTGGTAAAATTCTTATTCATAGAGAAGGTGACAATGGTCAGCAGGTTTGTGCACCTGCATGTGTGCTTGGTGCTTATGTGTCTTTAATTTCATAATCACTGACATCATATCCTTTGATGATTGGATAGTTAATATATGAGAAGTTGCCGAACGATATCTCAGATAGACATGTGTTGCTGTTGGATCCTATCCTGGGAACCGGTTTGTCATTCTCATATCTATCAGTTTAAATTTTCCTTTCCATATCAAAAGAGAATAAAAACTGTCTGTGACCTACTGCAACTAAGTTCTAGGACTCTTCATCTTTGGTCATAAACTTTCAAATATTTTCTTCTTTAGGTAATTCTGCCGTTCAAGCAATTTCTTTGCTTCTCAGAAAGGGTGTACCGGAGTCCAACATTATATTTCTCAACCTCATATCAGTAAGTTACTGGGTCATAATTCATCTATTTCTCTCACCACACACACACACACACATTTAAAAACATCTCCGTTTTCTGGTGTCTCTAACTGCAATTTGCTTACATGTTCTTGTCTTGGCAGGCACCTCAAGGTGTGCATGTGGTCTGCAAGAAGTTTCCCAGAATAAAAATTGTGACATCCGAGATTGATTTTGGTTTGAATGAAGATTTTCGTGTTGTACCTGGCATGGGTGAGTTTGGGGACCGTTATTTTGGAACAGATGATGATGATGACCAACAAGTGGTGGCCCCTTCACAAGATTGAATCTCAGTGCAAAATCCACAGCAATTTTTGGATAATTGGTGCTCTGAATTTCAGTTTTAAATCAATTTTGGCTAATGTTATTGAGATTTCTTTTACAGTTATTTCCCACCAAGATCTCAATGTCATGTGGATCCGGACCCTATATATAGAAATCAATATATATATAATTTAATCTTGTCTTGGTTTGCGCTATTAAGAACTCAAGATTGCTTTTTGAATATTCTAGGAGCGCAGAAATTTTTAAGTACTCCCAAATCACCATGTGGGATGTTATTTGTAATCTGCCTAACGCAAAAAAGAGAATTTTTGGCACTCTTATAATACCATCTCATTAGTGCTTTATCCAATGCAAGTGTCATTTGTGATGGATAATCTGGCTTCGCTCCTCTATTCATTCTCTCCACTACCTATCCTCCGCCCCTCGACGACGCCGTTGTGGGTATGAAATGGAGCCAGGCATGCCAGCATGCCTCTCCTCTGCAATACCTATTTGCCACGTAAGCATCAAAGTAATTTTTTTAGGAGCATCTAATAATTTTTGGTATAGTTTGCCCCGTGTTCGTTTGTGACGTGATAGCACATGGGACTACCTAAAAGTTTCTCGCAAATGTCAAGGATGTGGGGCCCATCACACGTGTCTACATTGAGGGTATATAAGAAATTTGGAAATTCTTAATGAAGGATTCCTCAGCAATGTCAATGAAGGTGACAGATTTTAAAATTTTAAAGTTCCGAAAAAGAATATGGCTTTTGGTTGAAATCAACTTTTCTGAATTAATATTTTTCAGCACTCATTTTTTCCATATTTTCGGTATCCATATTCTTAATTTTCAGTATTTAGTTTTTAATTTTTTTTTTCAGTTGTCATCTTAGATATTTTAAATACTTATATTGAAAAGAATAAAATGTAAGCATTGAAAATGTGGAGATGAGGGTTGAAAAATATGGAAGATGAGTGCAAAATAAAAATAATTCACAGCAATTTTAATTGCAACTAGTGACGAAGATTTTTTTTTTTTTTTAATTTCACGTTCCTTCCATTTTCCAAATGGTTATTCAAATTCGACATCTAATAAATTTTTTTTTTTTACCTCGATCAAGTATTATATTTTGGATTTTGGAATCGTATGATTTTTTAATTCATAGTAACATTAGTCAATGATATTAAACAAATTTTTATTTGAGTGAAAATTGCAATTATGTTTTACGCTGTAACATATAGACGCTCCTAGGATACGGAAATGGGGGAAGAGAATCCAAATTTCCATGAATTCGATTTTTGATTTTTCTTATCACAATGGGCCCACAAATAAGACCATGATTCAACCTTGAATCTTCTTCTCGGCCCATAGGCCCAAATTCTAACTTGGCTGGGCTGATCGGGCCTTTCGACTTTTCTTCTCCGTGGCGAAGGTAGATGCAACCCAAAGGGCCAGCTTGTACGAGCAAACACATATTGGGCCGTATGCTATTATTTGGGCCTATTAGCAGAATAAGGCAAAAGCTGACCAGGAAACCCAAAGAAAAAGAAGAAGAGCAGAATGGTGTCGCTCCAAGGACTGACCAGGGTGGACCGCCCTGGCGAACAACCGTCCCTGACATAACGGGAGCTTGCATGAACATGGCAAGTTTCGCGGGTAAAATCGGCTTCAAAATCTCATCACAGCTTCAATGTCGCGTATATTCGGTTCCCTGGTGAGAATTTTCTTAGCTGCTTTTAAATTTTCTTTAGTCTTTGTTTGGCTGCTGAGAAAAGTTGAGTTTGCGAGGAGACAAAATATCAGAAAATCTTTTGGGTGTTTGATTATTGTACGTATTAAAGTAGTGCAAACTTGTTTTCCTACTTGTAGTATCGGGTTAATTTGATGGTGGCTCCCTTATTCATGTCTGTCTACCAAATCTCCTACAGAAAAAGTCTCTGCTCTGAATCATTTTGGGCATGATTCGTATCTCTGTGTTTTTTCCTCTATTAAAAGTAGGGCAATATGGAAGAATCAGGTTACATGCTTGAAGAGTAGAGACCATAGTTCTTCGGCTCCAGTTAGGTACACTCCTAAGACATCCTCCAAAGTGAAACTATCTGAAACTTCTCCGCAAGTGAAAAATTTGGAAAAAAGTAACTACTTTAGTCGAGCTGATATAAGCGCACTAGAGATCGATTGCGAAGAATCTGAACGGGGAAAAATTGGTCAGTGTGAAGCATCACAAATTCACAATGAAATGCAGAATAACTTGCTGTTTGATGACATGGGACAAGGTAAAATGCTTTTTCACATCTTTCAATATTAGTAGCATATGTCGTTTGAGGTCACGATTTTGGAGGTAGTTTCGCAATGTATGGGAACCATGGTGCCAAATTAACCAGGATAGCTAAGCGGAAAAACCTATATGATTTTTAGATTTTTTGTATTAACAAAATAATTTTTTTGCTAGATCACAATTTTATCATTGTGCGGGAGTGGCTAAAAACTGTGGCACTAGCGTGCTTTTGATGAACCTAATTTTTAAAGTTCAATTTAGTTTTTTTGAAAATGGTATTGTCAGTAGGGTTCAGTTTGTGATTCGTGATATTATTACCTGTCTTCTTTCTGTAACTTCTGTGCAGTTGCCTTTTCATAACGTCTTCTTGCTTGTCGTTTTTATTGAAAAGGGAAAAAAAAAAAAAATCAATGTATTAACTTCGAAGGCGGGTTGAGAGAAATTGGGCAAGAAAGGGCTGAATGTGTTATGCTATCTTATGGTAATCTAATGTTCCTTCTCTAACTCTAAACGTACAATATGCACAAGCTTGTATCATTTATCAACTAAGATTATGGTTATATATATTTTCTTGTTATATTCCATATTAGTTTGAAGTACTCCTCCGGTACTTAATATAGGACCTTATTTTTAAGTTAATTTTGGTCCTAAATATGATACCTATTTCTCATATTTATCAAGTTTTTCTAAATTATCCCTATGGATACTCCCTCAACCATAATCAAGTAAGGAGGGAGGGAGAATATCAAGAAAGATAATACGGTGTTTTAGGAAAAACATATCATATTTCTTATAATTGATAACTTACCTAATTTTTTAATCTAATTAAATTAATTAAATAGGTCTTATATTAAGGACTAGAGGAATATTATTTTATAGCTTCTCCATATCAAATCTTTATGAAGGCATACTGATGTAAAATTGAGCAGTATGTTTAAAAATGTTATAGTATTAAAGGATCAGAAGAGCGAGGTTGACCTTAACATCTTAAATTTTGATTGTAGGATGTGAACAGCTGAAAGAGGTTGAAGAGGTTGCTGAGGAGTTGACAATTCATCAGACAAGCAAATCTTGTGAACAAGATTTATTAAAAATTGACAAATGTACTGTTCTTGTTGAGGAATCAGCAGTTAAATTGCTTGCCATGAGGTTAGTTTCTTTTCCTTTTGGAAAATAAATTGTTCGATGATAGATTATTTTTATACTGTATATATCATGATAAACCGTTGGAGATTTTTTTGAGCAAATGCAAAAGACTTTCCAACGGTTTGAGCTATTATCCATGTTGGGGGGGGGGGGTTGTGCATTTATTGTATAAAAATTAGTCTAGTCTCTTAACCATGCTTGTCCATGTGTTCTCCAGGGCACTCACGACTGTTGAATTGAGAAAGAAACTTCTTGGGAAAAGATTCTCTTCTGATGCAGTGGAGGCAGTGATCAACAAATTCCTCAACAAGTATGCACTTTACCTAGTATAAGAGCCACAGTGTTGGTGTTCACCAGCCGATAACATATAATGAGAAATAACTTGAGAGCATTACATGTTACAAGATGGTTTTTTCACCATAATTTTGTCCGCTTCATGAATGATAAGACTAGAAGCCTCTGTCCGGCACATTCTTCTACACTAGAGTTCATGTGTTTTCCATACCTAGAATATGAGATGCCTGCAATCACAGAAACAAAAGGGAAACGGACCATTTTGAAAACGTGGAATTCAACTCTAGCAATTATCTTATGTTTTCCGTATGAACAATACACTTTGGATGGTTAATGGGCTCTCTTGGGAAACATAACTGGGAAACAAGGCGTACTGCATGAAGAATGAGAGTTATGAATCATGATTGTGTGAAGCACCTGCCTTTGGGTGGGGATTGTGTTTATTTCCCATTTATATTTTGAAGCTGTGGATTCTTGGGTTGTTGAGTGGTATAATTGTTTTGGCACAAGTGCCCAAATGTGCTTTTCAAATTTTAAGTTCATTTATACTCTTTGAATCTGCACTCACTTTCTTATTGTGCACGTGGAGCGTTTATAGTGATAATGTACTATCCATTTCTGTTTCAGAGGGCTGATCAATGACAAGTTGTATGCGGAATCATTTTCTCGGTCTAGATGGTCTTCGTCAAGTTGGGGACCAAGGCGAATCAAGCAGGTAACTAACCTCTGTCTTCTTTACATGATGATTCTTTTCCTTCTCTTGATCAGTATTTCTTCCCTTTGTTGATTCTTTTCCTTCTCTTGATCAGTATTTCTTCCCTTTGTTGTTATCTTATCTTGCCAAATATTTTGATGCATGCTTAAAAGTGTTCAAATTGTTATACTTCCTATGGTCCTGAATGTAAAACCTATTTTATAATGTAATTTACATTACAAAATGGGTTTTATATTTAGAATCGGATGAGTATTTTAGAAGAAAAGCTCAACTGGATTTTGACTGCATCTATCAAGTTCAGCTGTGCAGCATTCATCGGCACAAGGTTATAAATATGTGACAACAGATACTAGCAGAGATGATAAAATGTTGGTATCACACAGAATTATATTCATGATATAGGACAGGAGAATGGAAGCAATATATAAGGAATGGCATTTATCAGAAAGCTAGGCAGGTGCTTATTATTGAGAATATATGGCGTATTTCATCATATACACCCAAAGCCCCCTTTAATAGATAGATAAAGTTGACTAACAGGTAAATAATCTTTTAATAACTTCTTATGCGTAGGCAGGGGTTACTTCGTTATTCATGGAAGATGCTCACAAGTAAGGGTCAACAATAAAACATTTGACCAAACTTATATATGCAGTTTGTTATATGATTATTTTCATTAAGTTTCCTAATTAAAGCACTGTAATAATAGCTTTACAGGCGTTTGATTTAAATTAGGGAGTTGGACATTTGTCTAAAAGAATCACGCACCTGTATTAATGGAGAAACATATGTTGATTGTGTTTAGAGGGGCCTGAATACAGATAGCGAAAATCCGTCCAATTCCCCCCCCCCTCCCCCAAAAAAAAAAAATACAAATTTAATGAGATAAAGCCCATTGTGGCAAACGCTAATTGGTGTGCCAGTTAGATACTGCTTACCCAAAAAGTTTTCATCTTTTAGAACTTCCCTAATTTATAATATTATCCTCAATCCTAGTAGGACTCTAATTCTTCCATAATTACCTTATTATTACTCAAAAAATTCAACAAATTGTCCTCAAACAATCTCTGTGAAATTACTATATTAAGATAAAATACTACATGGTTTGTAACTGGCCACCTTTGCCTAGCATCATTATCATCAAGACAAGGGGAAGGTGCGAAGGTTGTACCCACACTTGCCTCCATTTACTTCCTATCATCATGCAGCGAGGTATTTCTTTCAACTACTTGATTGAGAGCAATTTTTGTGCCAGGCATTATCTAAGAAGGGAGTTAGTCAAGCTGATGCCGAGAAGGCAGTTGAACTGGTTTTCAAGGAAGAAGAAAGCGATGAGGATCAAAAGTCAAGTCTTGGCTTATCAAAGCATTCACTTGATCACTTATATGATCAGGCTTCAAAGAAGTGGATCCGAAGCCATGATGTACCCAAAGAAACAAGGAAATCACGGGTTATTCGGTGGCTACAATACCGTGGCTTTGATTGGGATGTCATTAACTTCATGCTGAAGAAATTAGAGAAGCAGGCTCCACCATAGTGCTCAACCAAGACATCCATTTTGCATGCCATTCTAGGTCCACTACATTCTTGAAGGATCAAACATCAATGTAAAATTCTCTGATTTCCGTATCACACCTCTTTTTTTGGGGGAAAAAAATCATCTGTGTTGTAATGTTATCCCAGAATGTAATAACCAAGATGTAAAAATTTCACCTAAATTTTCTCCTTGAACTGTGACTTGTGAGTTCAGTTTTGGATAGGGTTGAAGTCCTCATCACAAAATGCTGTTCCGACAAAGGCAGACATTTCACTTAATCAATTCGCTTCAAGAAATGATGCATCTGAATACACAAATATTTGCACCTGTCCGAATACAATGAAGCCTACTTTCTGTCACATTGAAGCTGAGATAAAGTAGCAGGAACCACTTAACTAATTGCGGTTGGCTTGTGGAGTCAAGTGGTTGCTTCTTCTAGAGAATTGTGCTCATATGATGGGGAAAGAATTAGCCTGTGTATTTTCGGTATGTGCTTACGCTTCAGGAACTATCTACAGTGCTGTCCAATTACACACAGCAAGTAGAGCACTAGAGGAGCCCCTGCAGCAAAATTCTGATATGGATTGGTTGGTATTGTGTTCCTTATGTGGACGATAATTGGAGGATTTGTGGACATGAGTGGATTTCACGTCATCTTCATTTCTCATTGATCTAATAGTTGTGCTCTGGTTTATCCTAGAATTAAATTCTCCTGCATTTGGAGCTGAACGAAAAATGAATGTGAAGATGAATACCTATCTCTCCTCAATGATCTGGTATTTGTACAGTATCACACTGGTCTAACTTAGAATTACAAGTACGAATCAAGAGTAATTAGTTTGCTTGATAGAACGAAAAACAAAATAGTTTTACTGTGTTAATTGCATCTTAGTGGGTAGGCAATAATAATTTGAATCTTGTTGCTTTTCTTTGGTTGTTTTATTCTCAGGCAGGAGACTAGAACCCTACCCAAGAAAAAAAAAATTGTCCTGAAGTGCTTTCCTGATCGAAACTGGTCTTTGGAGATTTTTTTTTTTTTTGGAAAAAATACATGATAATGATTATAGGGTAAGGCAAATATAATTTTTTTTGTCAAACAAATTTTCAATCAATGGTCGAAATAAATCCGTATATAATTTATAGAGAAAATGCGAAGAAAAAAAAGAAGAAGAAGAAGAAATCATTATTCAGAATAATATTTTCCAGCCTTTCCTGAAAAGGGATGAAGGCTGAAAAGGATACAATAGACGATCGATCATTCTTTACCATTTCCACTAGACAAATGAAGACAAAGCATAAATAAAATACTCAGAAGAAATATAATTCAGTTTAAAAATTAGAAATTTTAATAAGAATGCTGGAACAGTGAGGCTCCAAAAGAGAAAAAAGTATATGGACCCAAAAGCACAAAATGAACAAACACACAGGTTTTTGTTCTTTTCCTGTGTGACTTTGCTTACTTTGTTGTCATGGCTCCTTAATATTGCTTTAAAATTTCCGACGTTGTGCAAGCTATATCTCAAAATAAAACAAAAATGAAAAAAATATGGCAATAACTGTAATTAAAGCCTCCAGTTAAAAGTCGGGTAAGCTCAAGATATTGAGTGGTCCAATTCAATATGCAAGCATACATTGTTATCAATAGAAATTTCTGTACAATTTCACAAGAGATTAAAATGTAACTTTTATCTGCCTGCTCGCAACCTTCTTTCCAGAGTCAAAAATTTGTATTCAAAAAGAGAGACAACCAGATGCAGTTTTGGCTTTTTTGTTAACCAGTGCGGAGAAAACAAACTTAGTAAAACCCTTTTTTTTTTCCCCTCACTCTCGTGCAAACGAAAAATGTTATTATTTCCCGATCTTAAATATAAGATTTATTTTATAATATAATTTACACTAAAAAATAGGTCTTATATTTAGAATCAGAAAAGTACTAAATGAATGTTCATAAATAATTTATATTAATACTTTGAAAACTCGCCTCGACTAAAAAATTCCCATTAACTCTTGCATCATGCGAATATGCCTCAAGATTCTGCAGTTGTTGTTTGGCCAAAGCTAATAATACCATTGAAGAAAAATCAATAAATACAGTTATCAATAGATATATCGTTGGCAAAAACTATATATATAAAATAAAACTTAATAGATGAGGCATGAAACTCTATACAATAAAAAAGACACTATATTATATCGTAAAATCTGTAATCTATTATAAAATGAACTATCTACAATTTATGAATAATGTGATTTATTTTGCGCATTCCACTTAGGAAATGCTGGGTAACACCTGATGCTATCATTACTATCAGTTATATATATATCACGATAATATTACATTAACTGTGGCTCTTTTTAATTAGTTCTAAGTTGGTTTTATGCTCAATAATTTTTACTAAATTAATTTAAGTTCACGTAAGTAGTAAGTATGAATTCTTATTTCTTAAACATATCATAATTGATAGTTGAATTGCATGAGTTCGTGTGTCAAACAAACTTAATTAAGAGTGAATTATTAGCAAAAAAATACTGACTTAAGAGTTCCTTGTTCTTTTTTTCTTTTTCTGAACACAAATATCTTTCTACCAGAAGAAATCTTATTTGAGATACTGACAAATACTAAATGTGAACACTCTCCCAATAGGAATTCGAACCTAATTAGTTTATCACGTTTTGCCTCTTCTACAAGACTCTGGTGGAGCTATTTGTTCTTGTGTGGCTGCTGAAGGTGGGTTTCAGAAGATGCATGTGCGTCCTATTATTCACATATGTAGCCTTTCAATCTCCAACTGTATGTGTGTATATAATATTTATTTACAGATATGTGGAGGAATTTCTAATGTCCGGAAAGTCTTTATCAGACAGCACATGGACATGTGAACTATTTAACGAGGGACCATGCGAGAACTATAGCTGTTAAGAAAGAAAGCTGCTTTCCTGTGTTTTTGTGCTTGGAATTTCTATCCACACAAAGAATCTTATTTCTTTTTTTTTTAAAACCACTAATTATTAATACATAAACAAATACATGAGAAATCAATTTCATGAATATTTCTTTCATCTTTTTGCATTTTTTTTTTACATCTCTTACACATATTTACATATTTCTAGCCTTCTACAATTGATTTGATCATATTACTAGTTCCTTTTCTTTCTTTTCAAAGAAATGTTATATCCAAAGTTGCCAATCATTGTTGCAGCTTCTTCTACAAGCACTGATGAAAGTCTTGATGACAGATAAGGCTTTACTATTTCCTAGAAATCCCCTTGCCTTCGTTGGCATCAACATCAACAAAACATGTTCCTACATTAATTTCTTCGCAATATGTTATTATTATAAACACATTGTCTGTGAAATTAGAACCTCGAAAGCAGTAAATTTTCCCAGACAAATGTTCCATTAATCCAAATTTACTTGAGACTTTTTTCTTTTTTAATGGTTGAAGATTTTGATACACAAGCTCTAGCACTCTACTTTCACAAGTCAGAGGCTGTTTCCCAAATACACTTTGGCATACATACATAATTTCAAGGACGGCACCTTAAAAACATACATAGGAGATATCTAACAAAAATATATCTTGCATATCAATATACTTATTTATAATTACTTTGATTTATTTATTCAATCTGATTTTGTTTTTTTGGTTCTTCAGATTGAGTCATCTGAGAAATGAAAGGAACAGTTAGAAGATTGATGGGAGAGCAGGCGCTTAGGTGGTGGAACTGGATAGGGGGAGCCATGTAAGGAAGACTTGGCCTTCTTCTTGAGTTCATCAGAATCCAACCTTGAGGACTGATCAACAGGTCTGATTTCTTTGAGCATAGCCACGACGTCCTTCATGGTGGGACGATCCTCAGGCCTAGTGCTGACACATAGGAAGGACACAGCCAGAGTCTGAAGCATCTCATGCATGGCTGGGTCAGCCCTGCCTCTGAGCTTTGGGTCCAATATATCAGATGGGTCACCCTTATTGGCTAAATGGTTCCGAACCCACTGAACCATGTGCGCACCACCTGGCAACGTCGGGTCCAGAGGGTGCCTCCCAGTTAACACCTCCAAAAGAACCACTCCATAGCTATACACGTCGCTCTTCTCTGTGATTCTCTGCATTGATGCATGTTCTGCACATTTACCAAAACAATTCAAATCATCAATACATAAGATTCTGTAAACAAGCTTTTCAGGTTTGAAATGACAATATATATATATATATATATATATATATATATAGTATACTATACCTGGGGCCATGTATCCGTAAGAACCAGCCAGATATGTTTTATGAAGTGGTTTAGGATCAGAATGATGATGATGAGGGTCGTCTTTTTCATTAACGATTCTCGCTAAGCCGAAATCTGCGAGATAAGCCTGAAACCTGTTGCCCAGTAAGACGTTCATGGCCTTGACGTCGCCGTGGAGTATTGGAGGGACGCAATCGTGGTGTAAATAAGCTAGCGCGTGAGCCACACCCACCACAACCTCGTACCTGGTTTCCCAATCTGCACTTCCTTTTCCGGAACCATGAAGCATCGAGCTGAGGCTGCCGTTGGGGAGGTAGTCGTAGAACAGGAGCTTGATGTTCTTGTTGGATCCCCAACCCAGGAGTCTCACGATGTTCTTGTGTCGGATTGAACCCAGAGTTCGAATCTCGGAATCGAACGCTCCGGATTCTTCTGAAGACCACATTTTTTTAACGGCCAGCTCGCCGATGGAGCTGTTGGGGATTGTTACCCGGTACACCACCCCGGAGCTTCCTGTGCCGATCACGTTGGATGACGTCAGGCTCTTGATGACATCATCAATGGAGGAGATTTCGAGCTTCTGATAAAAAGTCAGCTCCCATGAGCTATCTTCCATGATTGCCCTGTTTTGAATATGAGAACGTACCAATGCATAGATTGTGAGCAGTACAAGTACTGCACTTATGCTTAAGAGAATGGACATGATGAACTTCATTGCTGATCTGGCATGGACTTTACTGGGTCCCACTCCGTCGACCGGAGTCAAACCGTCGGCGCCGGATATGTAGAGGCCTTTATTTGGGGTGAGGTCGCTTAAAGGCAGGTTTTTGAAAAATGGGGTGTCGGGTAATTCACCAGAGAAGTCGTTGAAGGAGACGTTTAACGAAACAAGATTTTGAAGGTCAGAGAGAGAGTTTAGGTTCCCTGAGAGGTTGTTGTGGGAGATATCAAGTACACCCAGTTTGGTGAGAGCGGAGATTTGGGATGGGATTTGGCCAGAAAATTGATTGAAGCTAAGATTTAAAGAGATTTCCAATGATGGGATTTGACCCAATTGCTTTGGAATTTCTCCAGAAAATTCATTGCTTCCCAGGTCTAGAAGTTGAAGCTTAGAACAAGATGAGATCTCTTCTGGGATTTTTCCGTTGAGTTGATTCCTTCCCAGATTGAGTTTGGTTAGTTCACTCAATGAACCAATGGTACCACTCAGCGAACCAGTGAGCCTATTATCTGAGAAATCTATCAATCGAAGACTTCTGGGGAGAGCCTCTGGGAATGAACCTGTGAGAGAATTTGAATGAAGGTCAATAAACTCAAGTTTCTCGCATCCAGATAATGTTGAAGGAATCTGCCCCACAAAATGATTGCTGCTCATATCCATGAAGTTGAGGTTCTTCAAGTCTCCTATCTCAGCTGGAATGGACCCAGAAAATTTATTTCCGTTCAACCTTAACCTGTAGAGACTTGCGCAGTTTCCTATATCAGGAGGAACAAAGCCTGATAGTTCATTGGAAATAAGCAAGAGTTTAGTGAGATTCCTCAACCCAAAGAGTGATTTTGGTATTGAACCAATCAGACTGTTGTAAGACAGATCAATTGCCTCGAGACCTTTGCACTCAGACAGACTCTCTGGGATTTTCCCAGTGAGCTTGTTCCGCCATGCAAAGAACAGATTCAAGCTTTTCAATTTTCCTATAAGAGCAGGAATCTCTCCAGAAAGAGCATTGTTGTCAACTTCCAACTGAGTCAGAGAAGTGCAGTTTGTAATCTCTGGAGGTATAGTACCTGTCAACTGGTTAACACTTAGCTGGATTTCTTCAATATTTGAAAGCATCCCAAAGCTCCTTGGTATGCTTCCAGTGAGGAGGTTTTCTGAAAAGTCTATGACTTTGAGCTCTGTGCAGCTTCCAAGCTCTTCTGGGATTGTCCCCACTAGACTGTTCTGCCATAAGAGAATACTCTGAAGCTTTCTGAGGTTTGCAAGTTGACGTGGGATTGGACCCGAAATAGAGTTCTGATACAAGTACAAATTCTGCAGCTCACTGCAATTCCCAATCTCCTCCGGAATTGAGCCTGACAAGAGAGTTGTGTAAATAGCTATTGTTTGGATGTTCTTCAGCATCCCTATTGAAGAAGGAAGGTTCCCAGAAATGCTGGTTTCTGCAAGGCCTAACATGACCAAGCTGGTGCAGTTTCCAATCTCCCATGGCAGCTCACCTTTAAGGTTCTTATTCCCACCTGCTCTGAAAACTTGAAGCCTTCTTAAGGACCCCAAACTCTTTGGGATTTCACCACTGAGCTGGTTGTCGAAGAGCGTCAAATTCACAAGACTCGAGAGATTCCCAATGTTGGATGGAATATTACCTTCAAGAAAGTTTGTATGGAGAGACAAACTCTCGAGTTTACTCAGCCTGCAAATATCTTCTGGTATTTCACCTGAGAGAGAATTCCCACTGAGATCAATAGAAACAAGCTCCCCATAGTCTCCAATTTCTCCTGGGATAGAACCTGTGAGGTTGGTTGCTGACAGGACAAGAACCTTCAAAGACCTGAGAGCTTGAAAATTTGAAGGCAATGAGCCTTTCAGGTCCACAGATTTCAAGCTTATCTCCTCCACATCCCCTCTGGAGTTGCAGTGAACACCAACCCATTTGCAAGGGCTTGAATCTAAAGGACTCCAAGATGCTAGTAGTACATCTCCTGTACTGTTCAAACTGTTCTTCCATGCAAGAAGAGCTTGGCCTTGGTCATCGATGGAGTAGCAACATGAGGAGAAGAAGAGGAGGAGGAGAGAGTTTATTGAGAGAACTAAGGTGAAGGAGGAGAATCTGGCAGAAAGTGAGCGATTTCTTAAGCCTCCAGGCATTGCTGAAGAGAGAGGAGAAGAACAATAAGGGAAGTGTATTGGGATTGTAGAGGGGGAAACCCCATGTTTTTGTTTATAGATAATGAAGAAGGAAAGAAGATCTGGATCCAAGAGCCAGCTTCTTCTTTATTCTTTTATTATTGTAATGGGTTTTGTTGTCTAATGATGAAGACATTGTCTTACCCATATTGGTTTTTTAACAATTCCAGCTAAACAATTTGGCTCTTTATATTGTGTCTCCCCATTTAACATCTCTAGTATTGGGTTGAACTCTTCTGGTTTTTGCTGTCTGAATGGATTCCAACAAGTTACTCCCATCAGTTAGTGCCTCATAATGAATGAATGGGTAAGGATATGATAATTTTTAATTATTTGGATTCAAAGTTTGTAATATTAGTTTAGAAAATAAAATCAACTAAATAACCCAATTAGCATATATTAAACTTAATTTTTTTAACAGATTTTAAAATTATCAGATCAATATTTAAATAAAATTATAACTAAAAAATATAATTTTTATCAACAAAAATTCTAAAAATAAAATCTCAAAAATTTTCATTAACATAGCTAGATTGAAAAGGACATTTAAATCTAGACAGAGGCAAAAGATATTCAATAAAAAAAGGATGGATATAAAAATTGAGAAAGAGACTAAAAATGATGTAAATTTCAAGTAAGATAGATATGTGTTGCCCACGTGGACACTACTATTATGTTGTTCATCTTTATATGGTCATTATTTTTCATCTTCAAAATACTGAGTTGATATGGTTAGTAGGAAACAAGCACTATGAATAGTGAAAATTGTGATTGGTGAATCACTTTTGTTTAGAATGGGTCATTTTATTAAATTTATTTAGATTTAGATGGGTTTTCATTTCTCACACACAGTGAAAGGCTTATTATCAATCAGAAGAGACGCTATTATCATATCAAAGTGATTAGTTAATTAAATTTTTTTGCCTGAAATTAGTTAATTTAATTTGAGAGTTTAGGCTATGGGTTCTCTTAATCAAAATCATAATTATCTTCCATTTGCTTAAAAAACTTGGCCCATTTGTGGTCCATCTCTTTTTATGTGGCTCCTGTTCATTAATCACTCACATGTGGTTCCTACTTGTTCCTCTTCTTTCAATTTTTATCTGTAAAATCATGCGTTTCTTTTGCAGACAAAATTATGTTCATCTCTACTATATATAAATAGTGTGGTTATTTATATTACTTATGATGTAAATTTAGGTAAGTTGGGTCATCTCAATTAAAAAAAATAGATAAAAGAATGCACATGAAGAAATTTAATTATGATTTCCTGAAAAATGAGGGGAAAAAAAATACAAACTATGGGATATCTTGTGACACCTTTGTGTAACTTTAATTCTAATTTTTTAACTGTTTGTTATATTATTGTAAAAGATCTGAATCTAATTAATACTAACAGTATGTTCAGTAATATTGTTTAATGGTATGATTTCAATCTTGGTCATTTTAATTATCTTCTTATTTTAATAAAAGCTCACTATTAATTACGACTACGCTTAAAAAATTAAATATGTATAGCTTAGACTAAACAAATTGATATAACCAAAGTTAAATCTCTATCATATTCTGTCTAATTTAATTTCCTATCATATCACATCACATGCTTGCCTCTATAATTAAGCCTAGCTAGGCTTTGAATATCCATAATTATTTTTTTGACCAGCCTTTGGATATCCATAATTAAGTAACTTAGTTTAATAAATAAATCAATAAAAAAAATCTAGTATGGATTCATTTGGATTTGTTTATATAAAGATTGAGGGAAAGCATGTGAAATCTGATAAAGACTTGAAGTGCACATGGCCTGGGGTGGGGGGGGGGTGAGGAATATGAAAATTAAAAGAAAAATAAAAAGTTTTAATTAATAATATTAAATTTGGTCGTATTGTGTTGTTGCTTCTGCCATAAAGAATTAAAAGAAAATTAATTAATCAAGAAAAGGCTTAGTGACCTTAAGTGGAAGGGACAACGTTGGATATTAAATTGGTATTATTGGAAAATCAGAGTCATATGACTCCCAGAAAACAAAACATTATCTGTTTGAAATTCAAATATTTTACAGTGGCTCATCCCACCATGTGATCATGATCAGTCACAGGCTAAACAAGAAGAAATTCTAAAGGAATTAAAATACTGAGTTTTCAAATATTACTGATGTGTTAATATATTTTTGTAAATTAAAATATTATTATTAAGAGTCCTGATGCGAATGGTTATTATTAATTACCAAGAAGATATTTGTCTGTGAATTTTTTTTTAAAAAAATCAGACATTATGTGACTTATACGCTTCCTTCTGTTTCAGATTATTAAAATGGGAATAAAATTTTACTGAGAGCCGTTTTAACTCTTTTTTTTTCAAATTATTAATTAAGAAAGATCTCTTTCAAAGTTAAAAAGGCATGTTTGTTATGTATATTATAATGTTAGGTTATATCTTTTTTCCTTGGCCAGCGATGTTCGGTTAATTTTTAAAAGCATTTGGAAGAGTGTAATAGAGATTCTATGGACATCAGCTTCGATATTTAAAAATAATTTTTGAGTACAGCTTAATGTTAATGAACATGCATTATCGTGTTAAGAATGTTAGTGCGTGGGTGTGCATGCATGATGTATATTTATTATCTTTTATCTAATTATAAATTTGCCACCTCAAAGCAATTATTCTTGAAGGATTATTTTTAAAATGTTAAAATTATTTTATTGTTTCTCTCTATTGAAAATGATTAGAAATTGATCAGATTTTCCTGATTAGAAAATTAACTGTGCAAAGTACTAGCTCTGATTTTTGAAATAAGAGCTAGATTGACTTTTAATTTAATCTTAAGTACATAATGCATTAATCTATTTTGCCTCTCATATTTATTTATTTTTTAAAAGTAGTCCTTTTAAGGGTTATACATGTTAAAAGTTTTATCAAATGATAATTCAAAGGTATGTTAGAGAAAACAACATTTATTTATTACAAATAATTAACTTAACTAATTTTTTTAATCTACTCAAATTAATCAACTAACTCTTATACTAGAGTTAATTGACCAATTTGAGTAGATTAAAAAAGTTTGTTAAGGTAGTTATTTTTAATAAATAGATATTATCTTTTCTAAAATATCATTGCCGGTCATGTATATTAGCTATAATTATTATTTGATGAAATATTTAACATGTGCAATTATTACAATAATTACTTTTAAAAAATAGATAAATATAAGAAAATAATGGATTAAGATTTTATATTTAGGACTAAATTACAAGTCAAACTAGTTCTTATATTAATGATTAGAAGTAGTATTAAGAATCAAAGATAGTATACCAAGTCTTTGAGCATGTGCAATTCTTCTTTAGTCATGCACAACATATTTTTAATTATTTTCAAATATCTTCTATTTTTCACATAATTGTTACACATAGTTAAAAAGTACTTTCACCCACCGAAAAATTGTTGTACCTGGAGTTTTAAAACAAATTTAATGTATTTTGCCATAATTTTTTAATCATTGACTTCCAAACAATTTACAAAAATTAATAAATATACAATAATTGTATGATCTATAAATTGTGAATAATATAACTTGATTTTCTAAACTTTTAACAGTCTGTTAAAAAAAATATTTTTTTTCCTAATCACAACGGCAAGCCAAAAGAAATGAATGATGTGAATGGGATTAGGAGCAAACCCTAAAAAATGAATCTTAAAGATGATTAATTAGCACCCTTGAATTTGATATGGATACATTGAACATCCTTAACTTTTAAACATTTGATGACTGTGCTTAGGTGCATTATGAATCTTTTGATGCCTCTAAGAATGTTAGTTTATTTGATCCTTTATTTTTTTTTAAAAAGAAAAAGAAAAATTAAAAGTGTTAATTTCAACTTACACAAAAGGTTTTCCATTTAATCAATAAATAATGAGGCTACATTCAATGAGTGGGACACAATAATTTAATAATTGTGGAAAGGGTGTGATCCTCAAAGTGCAACCCCACCACTAATTGAATAGTTAAGTTTTATTATTCAAAGAAAGAGAGAGGATTTCTTTGTAATTAATTAGAGAGCTTGAGACACACGAATGGGATGATGTCATTTGTGTTTTTATCTTCTTTTTTTTTGGTCAAACACTTGTGTTTTTATCTAATCACCAATTAAAAAGTTTTAACCAACGACACCCCCTTTTGCATTTCTTGTTAGTTAATTAGTCTAATCACATCAAGATCAAAACTCACAGCAAATTTACCCTCTTATATTATCAAATCTAAAAAAATTATTTATGCAATTAATATGATTTCTGTTGCCATAGTATTTATGACTCAACAGCAAATTATCCTCATCACAACAGCAAATATGTTTTTATGAGGTTTTAAGATTTTGTCATTTAAATTTTTAGTTCAAATTTTATTGTTTTTTTTTAAAAATAACTTATTTTGAATTAATTTTAGTCGTTTATTAATTTATTGATCAAAATTAAAAAATGGCAAATAAAGACCCCAATATGTGAAATTGTTATCTGAAACCCTCAATTTGAAAAATGACAAATAAAAACCCGGTCTCATATTATAAATATAAAATCTTGATAAAATGTTTGAAATATACCAAATGATAAGTTGACTATGAGAAATAATAAGTTTACTTTAGTTAATAACAATTTCAGTTGACTAAACCACAACTTAGCTGAGGGGCATTTCAGACATTTTACCAAAATTTTATATTTACAACATGAAACCGGATTTTTATTTGTCATTTTTCAAATTGAGGGTCTCAAATAGTAATTTTACGTATTGGGATGTCTTTATTTGCCATTTTCTCATCAAAATTTATCTTTTACAAAATTTGAAAAATATTTTTTAACAAATTTATTTTCTTAGGAAAATTTGAGGAGATTCATTCACCTAAATTCCAATGTTTTTATTTCGATTTTGCATGGGCTTTCTCTGTTATTTTCAATTTACTCCTCGCGTTTTTAAGGGAGCTTAATTAACATGTTAAAAATGGGGGATGAAATTAAAAAGAGATTAACATGTCTATTCTGTCATATAATCTTCCATCACTCATGACTTTACCCAATTGAACATGATTTTAGATCTCAATAATTAACTAAAATACCATAACCATCAATTTTTAATGGGTCCATTATTGATGATGTCATTACGATAAGATCATTGGTTGAAACAAAGTTACTTTCCGCAACCCAAATTATTCAATCAAAAGAGAGGTGACTGCATGATGAGAAGTCCTAAGTAAACTCAATTTACAAAATAATTTTATGAACCATGATTAATTATAGAAAAATAAAAGGATACATATAACATGCTTTTTATAAGATATGAATAACAGAATTACCTAGATAAAAAAAATATAACTTATTTTTTAAAAACACTCTTATTTATGAAACAAATGAGTGAGAATGAGCAAAAAAGATAATTAATATTCTGACACAAACCAATATCTCTATAAAAATGTTCTCTTATATTCGAGACTAAAGAGAGCATTTTAATTACATCCCATTTTCTAAGATAATCCCATATGGCTACCAATAAATTTTTCAATGAAAATTAAACTTTAACATATCTATTTAAGATTAGTCAATTCAATTTCTAATTTTTTAGATAAATTCCAAGTTTGCTTCAAATTATTTGCAATAAGGCCTACCCTAAAGGGGTGGACGTAGGGAAGGTATAGTAATGTACTATCAAGAGACAGTTTTGTCCTGAAGGGAAGGCACACGTGCAATGAAAGAGTGAGCAATTAGTGAATGGGATTGCACATCATGTGGACTTTTGAATCCCCAAACAGTAATTATAAATTGATCCATCCAAAAACAAGATTTGTCACTTGACATCAACCCTTAGATCCCATCAACAATCTCTTCATCACAAGGGTCCCATCTTCCCCGAAAAGATATACGAGCTGCCAAGTTGCTCAGCCCCATTTCACACACGTATGCACATTAAGATCATAATCATCACCTTCAATAATATGCAATTTAATAATTTCTTGTTTCGTTCTAATCTTTTGGTCCCATTTCCTCCAACTTGTGATTATAACCTAAATCGTCCACTTAATGCCACCCCTGAAACCATATATTCATAATTGGAAAACAACCTTACTTAACTATAGATAATATTGCTGTCAAATACTTGAGACTCATTTTCTAATCTATCTCTAAATATTACTTCATGCAATGGAAACATTATTTTAGACTTGAAGATTAATTCCTATCAAACCAGAAGCATCCAAAGTTAAAATACTTCTAATAAATGCAGTCATAATTTAAACTTGTATTTTTCCCTTATAAAAATAAGACTGCTTACCACATCAACCAACTGCTTGTTGGTTAAGTTTTACATCTTGTAATCAGATGATAACCAGAGATTTAGATCATATATTTACATCCATAAATTTTCATATCATCTCTTAAATCTAAGATTTATTGTACTGATAACTAAAGAGGTCCTTGTAGAAGTGAAAATATTTGTATCATTTTCGCTAGCATCCCTTCTAATTTCGCACATTACAAAACATAAAGGAATGTTGTCCTTTCTATTGAGTGGTGCTCACGAGCAAAATCTGTTAGGATGATTCAAAAGGATTAGGATGATCTCATGGATTGATTAGTTTGAATCATATTTTGGCTCTTTAGCTTTTGTTTTTCTCTCTAACTTCACTTTCCTTCTTAAGACCTTTCCAAGTGCTCCACTGAAAACTCAGCTTTGTACGCCCTCGATGATGAAGATGGGCCTGTGCCTTTCAATAATTCCATTATTAAAAGATGTAATACCACACAGAACCACGGCTTGCTCGTTCATGATCTTCATATTAAATGTCAAATCAAGGTCCAATCTCATTATATCGGTCCAAATATTTCCTTAAGATCAGGGTTTCTGTTCCCAAATCACTTTCCAATGCTATAAATTATTGGAGGTAATGGACGCAAAGTGGGACTAAGCGTCTTGACCAAAGAGTATTAAAAAATCCTCCTTTTTACCTGAACCACACTACTTTGAACACGTCCAATCAACTCCACACGTCTAGTATGCTTAGCCTTTTTTGCTTCTTCGCACTTGTGTGTGTGCACGCGTGTGCGTAAAGCACACTTCAGGGCTTTTCGCCATTTTTTCTTTTACCCCGTCCTTCATCTGTAACGCTAACATTCTGATAAGAATAAATGACAAACTCACCGGAGATAGCTGTTATAACTTCGAAGTACAAGCCACTTATTGTTGCATTTTTGTAGCAAACATCAATTCTCAACATAAGAATAGCAGTAAAAGAAGTAAACCAAAGTGTTAGATCCATGGAGCAAGAGTCAATTCGAACTATAATGCATAATTAACCTAGGTGAAAAGTTCCATAGCCCCTTCAGATCCGGAAAATGTTCTTACTTTATGGTAACCAATTAAACTATTTTTAAAAGTGGGCAGACAGATATTTGGGGGGGAAGGGGGGGTCCTGGGCAATTGTCTGGAGAAACAGGAGCTGAAGATTCAACCAACTGATACTGATTTAACCACTGATAGAATCATCCAATTCAATCAGCGTCAAAGCCTTGTGAACAATTATGTTGTCTAATGTACATGATCATGATGGTGGCAAGAATAGTAGAGTTTGAATGTGAAGATATGATGGTCCCACTTGTAATCTTTAACTTTGATCTCCAGCCTACGGTTAACAAACTACTGTGTTTTGATCATCATCACATGTTATTCCCCACCACTATACCTCAATGGTATTTTCAAGGATCACAAATGGGTCCAAGGAAAAAAAGTCTCTCTCACTAGGACTAACCAGTGTTTACAAAGGCTCTGCTGAAACTGAATTAAGAAAATTGCTAAGTTGAGCCAGGTTCATGGTTCAAAAAACAAACCAAATATTTGGCCATCATTTCAGAACTCTATTTAATCAAGGGTGAAAAGTGAAACTAAACGAGAACACCTCAGCTCCCAGCTAAGCCTGATTTGAAAGCAGTCATTCTAAATGTACTGTTTGCTAGTTTACATCCACCAGTTGTAGCTATTTTGACTTGATCAGCCAAGATATTTACCCCCCCCCCAAGGTTTTGACATCTATTTGAAGAGAAATTGCAGATTTCCTCTCATAGGCGGATTCAAGACCACTCAAATAACAAAATAAAGTTATAGCAGATAAGGTGAAAATCTGTAAGAAAATATTCTCATTATAGGAAATAATAATAATAAAAGAATCATTTATAAGAAGTAAGGGTACATGAAGCAAAGCAGTTATTTAGCACCTTGATCAGACTATGTTCATGGTTAGCAGCTTGTATCCGGGAGGTAAATGTATACTCTCTTCTAGCAGCAAGTCATAAAGATTGAGAAAAATCAGTGATTCACAACCATTGATGAAGGATTCCTTTCTATTAGAAGTGGCAACAAAAAATTTCTTTTTTGGATGGGGGGAAGGATGATACTCGAATTTACAATAGCAATGTTACCAGATCAGTTCAAAACTTCATTGAGATTCTAAGGTAACTATACAAGTCATCTACCATATAGACAAAGTGTTAACCTCACTCCCAATTAACCAAAATCAAGTCATCTACCAAAACATTTCAGAATTGAGGAGGTAAAAGCAGAAGTAAGGAATTTCATTCCAGCAGATCCTCCAGGAAAATACGATAAAGCATAATATCCAAGTGCTAGAACCTGCAAGCATAACCAAAATATTACTTTAATTGAAGATTGAATAGTTTTAGAAATAAAAATGAATCAATATCAATGATATAAGAAAAAATCCGTAGGGAAGACCTATTCCCACACCACCAGTGGAAGAAGCCATTTCATGGAATCGCACTCCATCATCACAAAAGAAATGGGCACAGGAATAAGGGTATAAGGTCTATTATAATCGCATTCTTTGCAAACAACAAATGTTGCCAAATATCATATGCAAATGCCTTTAAACAAACTACAAATCAATTGCATGCATTAACAACGATACCCAAAGGAAAATCCAACATAGAATAATTTTTCCAATCCATAGGTCCTGAGTAGAAAAAATAAAAAACAAATAGGTCCCCTCAAATTTCATTTGATACAAATAGGTCCCAAAGAATTTAATATTTACAAGATAAACTTTTATATTTACAACTCAAGTTTCTTTATTTGCAAGTTTAGCTTAACAATTTAATATATACAACTCAAACATGCAAGGGATCTATATTAAATGAAATCCAGGGGAATCATCAGCATTTAATTTTCTTGCATGAGATTTTCCCTCATTTTACCAGCACATGAGAATGATACCTGTAAAACAGAGAATACCACAGAGAGGATGTAGCTGTGAAGAACCATAGATACATATATGGTGCCGACCATGATGCCGACGAAACCCAACGTGAAAGGTAGCCTCTGAATAACAATCGCACAGAGAAGCCACAGTAAGAGGAAAGAATCAAACACATGCAATAGATCAAGGACACGGTCTTCTTTACCCAAACACACATAAATTGGAGAAGTTATTTTATCAACAGAATATAGATAGGTACCTCTTTTGATAACATGTGGACAAGCTGATTCCTTGGACCCTTGAGAGCAAAGAATGATCCAATAATAAATCCGCAGCCAAGAGTAAAGCATATAGCAAACTTTTGGGGCATAACGACCATGACGGGAAGGAACATGGTGAATGCAATGAAAATGAAGAAGATCCCAGTTGCCAAAAACAAACCAAAATACATTATTGCCTTTCCAGAAGGAACGTTACTAGTGGCAGACTGAAAGTTGCCATGTATATTGCTCACACCCTGCGAGACCCTAAACAATTATTTGGAAAAAAAATTAACTACTACTAACCAACATGTTATTTCAACATGGCATGAGCAATTCAATTATTTGAAAAAACAACTGAGCGTTATCCTGCTGTTTGTACCATCAGAAAGGGAAGCTCGAGAACAGTATCACTGACTTCTCGGCCATATTTCACATAAAGCAGAATAGAACATGCTTTTTCCACACAGAATTACATTAAAAAATTGTGTCAGTTACAGTATGCCTATGTATATTAGCAACCTGGAATAAAGAGATAATTCATGTGTTTATGCATAAATTTCTTTTAAACAAGAGTTGCTTCACACATAGGGTGGAAAAATTAAAAATGTTCTGGAATGTACTTAGAACAAATTATAGTTAATGGAACCAAATTCTGCACTGGGGCAGTTGGGCAACACCAGGTGTTAATATCTGAAAAATCTAGAGTTCAGCTTCAACAGAAAGTTTCAAAAACTTTGTATATTATCCTCTATTGAAGATGCAAACCCAGTATCCCCCTACACAAAAAATCTAATAGCGTTAGTAGTCAATTGACTTCACATCTTGCACTGAGGTTGAATTTACTCTTTATCTGGTCAGTCTGGATCCTAACTATCCAAAGTCTAGATTCTAGAAGCTGTCTTTCTACAAGAGTACCATCTTCAGAACACATGAAACAAGAGACACCATTCTGTCGAAGGTGGAATTTACACTCTATCCGGTCAGTCTTGGTCCTACTTGATCCAATTGGAAAAGCTAAAAGCCGGTCAAGAAACTTATCAGAACAGGGAATCCTGGAGAACAAATAAAACTGAAACAAAAGCATGGTATAGATGACCAGAATGGTTGGGTATTCCTCATGGCATAACCTCCAATGTTTTGTTTTTCATACAAGCTAAGACACATTTGCAGTTGATAGACAACTCTAATCATATAAGTAAATAAATTACAGAAATATAATCAAAGAGAGAAACGGACTACTTTCCCTAATAAAATTCACTTCAAATTTCACTACCAAAAAAAAAAAAAAGCTTGTTATATGTTTATCTACATCAATAAACATACAATGAGAATCTTTATTTTTCCTTTCCATAAGATTTTGTTCCGTGGAAGTGTGACGAAAATATAAGGTCTTCATATCACTTCAAATATATGCATGGAAACATCATAGAGAATCTAGCAAAAGCTCTCAGTAATATAAACTTCAAAACCAGAGCACAGACAGCATCACTTACTAATCATCACACCACATTAGGCTTATACACTGACAAGTATGCCTTTGCATTTCAATAAAAATATGATTAAAGGTACTACTTTTCCTTATAAAACCGACTTCATCACCAATCAAGGAACCTTGTTATGTGCTCATCTATATTATTAAAAATCAAGCAAAAACTGCCTTTTTCTTCGCATAATAATATAATATTGAGTTCCACGAAAGCTTGTTGAGAAGAGAGAGAAAGAAAGAAAGAAAGAAAGAAGTAGATAAAGGCGTTACATCGCTTGAGATGGCAATATTATAGAGAAAGAATGCTCAGAATTAGTCAGCATAATCTAGCAAAAGCCTTCAGTTATACAATCTCAGAAGGGAAGTACGGAAGATATCGCTGATTACTCATCAGATTACGCAAATACACTAACAACCATGCATTTGCAATAATCACATCATATGTCATCACAGGATTCACAAAGTTCAGAGAACACCACACAAAGCTGACTCTGAAATAAGAAGCCGGGGGTATGGCTTACACATTGAAAGTGCCGGCGACAGTGTCGTTGGCTGACCTAACTGCTGCTTCCAGATCGAAACCAAAACCCAAATCGGAGCTGTCTTGCGAGTTCTGTGACAATGCGTAGGAATTCCACTGGTCCAACAAAGAGGGCGAGGGTTTATTGAGATCTTCACTGTAATTGCTCTTTGAGAACCATCCCTGGGCCATTTTCTGCAACTCTTGTTCTGTTTTGCTTCCTTGGCTCTCAAAACCCAGTACCAAAACACAACCAATCAAAGAAGATATAATCACGTTTGAATTCCAGGCGCTGGGATTGTTCACAAATCAACACCTGAACGGCGAAAATGTTCTCCGCATGACTACGCGATTCTTCAGGAAAGATATCCAGAGAAAAGGAAAAATAGAGGAGTCGTGCGCTTCAGTGACTCAGTTTTGTGCCGCAACAGTCCCGATCAACTCCAAGCTTGAGTGCTCGTTACGAAAGATCGTTTCCGGTGCTTGTAGCATATCTGGGAAGAATAGGAGTGCGGACTTCGGAGAGAAACAGAGCGCGGTTAGAAAATGGCGCAAAAAACTGTTTTTGTTTCTTCGGGCCCGAAGAACATCACAAAGTTGGCACTAGGCGGTATCATCTAAACATAATGAGCAGTAGCTCCAATCCTTAAGTCTTTGACTAGGTGAACAAAATTTGTTAAGATAATTATTTATAATAAATAGATATTATTTGTATTAAAATATTATTATTAATCATGTGTATTGCATAAAATTATCATTTGATAAAATATTTAACATATACAACTATTATAAGGATTATTTTTAAAAAATAATAAATATAAAAGATAAAATAGATTATAGTTTTATATTTACAATCAAATTAATTCTTATATCAAATACGGAAGAAAATACTTAGTATATCTTTATTTGGCTTAACTCATTCAACGCAGCTTATTGAAAAACTAAAAACACCTTAGTTTTTATATTTATTATACCCTATTCTTTAATCACATATGACCAAATATTTTATTTTAAAATATTACTATTTAATTATATAGTTATGTGAAAAAAATAGTACACATGGTTATACACACTCAAATGAACCAATTTGATGAAATATTTTTAATTTTTACAAATCTATCAAGTTATTTGACTTGATCTCCATATATCTTTTTGGGTCAAGACTTGTCCTCTGCCATTAATATATTATTAAGGGAAAAAACGAATATTTCACCCATATAATTTTAAAAAATTTTAAATTAAGAATCAAATAAAAGTATGCATAATTAAAAAAAAAGTTATCCTTATATATATGGAGGAAAAATAAAGTAAAACATGGGACTTCTCACTTTTCGCACAATTTAAAACTGTGGAAGTGAGCATGAAATTTGGAATATAATACCAGGAGGAGATAACATAGAAAGATATCAAAAATTTTGGACTAAATACTAGTAGTCTTCTCCATAGGAGTCAACGATAAGTGCATAAAACTCTCAAAATACAGATGATGAGGGGAGACTCAAAATTTTCAAAAGTTGAACTTCGAATACCAAAGGCTCCTTTGCATGAGAAAAGAGGCTGCGTCGAGGACCAAACTGCATTAATCAACAAAAGAAATCAGATTCTGCAAAAAAATTTATTATCAATGTCCAAAATAGTCTTATTAACTGCATATCTGACCTCTTCTGGTACTGGCTTCAGGTTCTCACTCACATATCCCACTGAAGGTGGTACCAGTGCTCTTCTCTTTCCTGTAAATGAAACTTCCATAACTGTAAGATCCCTCAATATTTTGCCTTCTTTCATAGTGATTTAAGGATGAATTCAAATTAGTTTTGATGCTTGGCAGCGATAGAGACAATTATGTAGACAATGAAATTAGCAACCATTCTGAATGGGATGTGATTTCTGGATCAGAACAGAAGAAAAATAAGAGGTATCAAGACATTCTTTGTCAGGAGAAACTTATTTAGAGAGACAAAATCAATTGTAAAAATATATATATGCATGTCAAAGGCCATTTTTCACTGAAGAGAACAACATGCTTACACGTCCCCTTAAAATTGGATTCGTCTGTATCGAGATCTTTAAAAAGTAGTAACTAATGACGATCATCTCTGAACTTACCACCAACTCTCATGCCAGTCAGGACCTCCTTCAAGCCTTCTATCATCTGCTACAAGAATTAACCAATCACTTAATTAAAGGTTTACTGAAGAATTACCAGACTAAGAAGAGGCTCTTCCTTTGGCTTGATGCCAGATCAAGGGTTAGATGATCAATACACTAACCAATCACTACGGTCATATCTTAGTAGATGGGAAGGCATGAAACCCTTTGTCTTTAAGTTTGCAGTCTAAGTTTTGTTGGATTAATGGTCCCTATTCTTCTTCTCTTCTTCTACCCCGCATTATTCTCTCCTTTCGTGATACCAGGTATCTTAAATAACAAATATGAGTTGACAATCATAATTTAGTTTCTAAAAAGAAAAGGATTCAATTAAATCCCCCGCTACCAATGTTCATTTTAACATTTCCATTCAAGACAGGAACTTATTTTTTTAACACCATCTAAATTCCATAAATTGATTGAAAAAGCAAAAGAAAAGGGATAAACTTCATCTGGTAGCCATGTTTTGAGGTTTATCGGCCTCCATACATAGAGTGACAAGAAATTTCTGACCTGATTCTCATCCAAAGGAAGTATAACTGGTTTACTTTCTCCGCTGAATTGATCCACAGTGCTATCACGAATCACAGGATAAAAACCAAGCGACCGTAAGAGAACTAGGTTAGATATTACTGACACAAAGACGAGAAAGGGAGAATAACCAAAATATGAAACAAGAAACTGAATGATACGATGTCTGAAGTCCTACTATGATTTGGGACATGAGAATTAGTTTAATACTTTCATGTAGGTTATTAATAGGGTAAAGAAAGAATTCCACGGTATGAAGCTACCTGTAAACAAAGTATCCATTTGCACGCCTACATACATAGTTGAATTCGACTAAGTCTCCGCCACGTGCTTCTGGTCCTTCTCCTTCAACAATATCTAATATGAACATTCCAAAGAAAAGCTAATTATTTGCAAATATTAGCAACGGCTGCCTGAATGTACTAAATGCATTCCCTATTTAAAGGAGCATGGGAGGATTAAATGGTCCTCATTCATACAAAGTGATGCAATGCCAAAAAAAGAAAATGAAGCCATCCTTCACATATTGGTGATGTGCCAACCGAAAAAGCACCAGGGACTTGGATTTCTAATTCTATAAGGAGGAAAAATCAATCATTAAACCATCATGTGTTCCGGGAAGTAGCTGCAGAAATCAAATTCTCGTGTCTTCTAAATTTCATCGTCCAAACACTACCTTAAGTGTCCTTGCATGAACATTTGTTCTAGCATGTATGCCACTTCTTCTCACAGAAAAAGAAGTGGACAAAAAGAAAGAGAGAAAAAGAAGCTTCATGAGAGGAAGCTTAGAAAGCTTTGTACCTTGAATCCTCACTCCACTGTCAAGCTTAAAAGTCCTAGATGCTTCACATTAAAAATAATAATCACTTATCACAATATATAGAAAGATTATGATTCATGAAAGTAAAAAAGAAAAAAGGTTTAAAAAGGGAAAAAGGCAGATGAACCGCAAGACTTCAGGTTCCTTCATCTCTGGCATTATTGGTGCAGCCAAAATCGAACGAGTATTACATATGTGGCTAAGCCCCACAAACTGTAGAATTAGCCTTCTTGAAAATCTTTTGAGTGTTAATACAAGCGTGTTGTCTGAGCTTACGGGCGCCATATATTTGACATTTCCATTCTCAATGCAACTGGTTCAAGCAATATTTGACGGAGGCAGTGATTTATAACATTGAATAAAATAGGAAAACAGAACACGATAAGCACTCGAATGATTCAGAAAATTAAACAAAATCATGACTACGAATTCCTCATAACGGAAAACACAGAGAGGAAATGACCAAGGCTGTGAATCTGCGAAAAGGTTCACAATCCGAGAGCACAAATGGAATGAAAAAGAGGGAAATTATCACCTCGGAAAGGGGGAATAGAGAGGCGAAGCATGGAAGGGGAACAGAGCAAAACGATGAAAATCCCATTCTTCAGGTTGCGAAGGCGTCTGCAGGAACAGAGCATACACATTAATAATTATAAATTCCTCTCACAGCGATTCATTATCTTCAAAGAAGTACATGTGCTTTCTGGTAAAAAAAAAAAAAGACGTACATGTGCTTTCGTTAATAACTAATTATAACTAATTCTCTAATCAAATTTTAACATTTCAGCCTTTTTTTCCTCACTTCAACGCATATATAATGGACTCTGACTACCTCTAAGCCTTGAAGGAAAAAACTGTGTTTAGATACCATGATTTTAAAAGTGTTTTTGTAAATATATAAAAGAGTCTGTCTTGTTTTGAAAAAAGTGTTTTTGAAAAGCACTTTTCCATCTTGCTAAACACCCCTTAATCAAATAAAAAAAATTAATTATAGTAAACATAGCTAAGTGGACCTAAGTTTTATTTTAAAAAATGAATAATACTTTGTTCACGTCAAGATAAATCATAATTTAAATCAAACACAAATAATATGATCATTCTTATACATCAGCCAGTGTGGGATAGCCAAGGTTTTGCCAAGGGGGTGTTTGGCTCTCTTCCCAAACCATGGTTTGGAAAAAAAATTTGCCAAACACCCCTCAAAAATCTGAAACCATGGTTTTGGGGAGACCATGTTTTGGCCCCCCAAAACCTTGGTTTCGGATAAGGACGAAGGAGCTACTTCTGAGCTGCTTTAATAATTGACCGTTGGTGGCCTAGCGAATATTACACAAAGCATGCATCAATTATTTCCTTCCTCCTTCACTCTACCAAGCTCCATCCTACAGCCTTTACTGTCGGTGCTTCGCAAAATATATTATTTATTTGGTGTCCGCGGATCCTACTTCCACAAACATATTTTTTGTTAAACATATTTTTTGTTAATCATATTTTCCGAAATAATTAATCATATTTTTTTGTTGGCAAAATAAATTATTTTACAAAAAACATATTTACTTATTTTATTAATATATATATACGTTTTAATTTTTTTTATTTATATTATTTATGTCTTATTTATTATGTTGCCAAAATATATTATTAACAAATTTATTACTTCAAATAAGCATATATTATGAAATATATCTTATATGTAATTATCATTTAAATTTATGTCCTTTTTAGTAATTTCTACATATAAAAAAGCACTTCTGATAATAAATATCCAAACACTCTCACTTTATCAGAATCATTTTTTCAGAAAATCTATTCTTTCAAAATCTATTATCTCCAAAAGCTATTCTCCAAACCATGGTTTGGTTTCATCCAAATACCCCCTAAGTCCTGTGTCTAGTACAAAAAAATAGAACAAAATCATTAAAAAAACTATTAAAAAAAATTAACTTAATTTTCTTTGTTAACAACAGATATGATGATTTTCGTATAAAATATTCATTTGAAAAATAATGTTAAGATCATAACTAATAAATTTTTTAAATTATGAAACTCAATAATTATACATTACTTTTAGATTATGTAAATTTCATATTTATGAAAAATACTTTTTCAATCACATTTAGTTAAGTGTTTTATTTTAATATTTTGACCAGGATGTGTTTTATTTTAATAATTGAATAATTTGAGATAATGGAATATAAGTAATTTCATCTAATATTTTTTCATTTGATTATATAGAGTATGGGTATTATTATGGAATAAATAAATTTACTATATTTTATTAAACTGACTTTATAATTAGATAATAGATAATGCAAAATGAAACCAATTCAGCCGCATGTTGGTATTCGGCCACGAAAAAAAAAAAAAACCGCATGTTGGCAACAGAAGGATCTAGAAACCCTAGTCTTCAGTCTTCGCTGCCTATATTAGTGCTTTATTTGCTTCGTTTGCTCAGCCACTAGTAATTCTGCCTTGGTATTGACCTGAGTTCCTAACCGTTTTGGTTCTCCTTTTCGATCTGCAAAATGTCGGAGACGGAAACGTTCGCCTTCCAGGCTGAGATCAACCAGCTTCTCAGTCTTATCATCAACACTTTCTATAGCAACAAGGAGATTTTCCTTCGTGAGCTCATCAGCAACGCTTCTGATGTACGGTCTTTCTTTCTATTTTCATTTAGTTGATTCTTTATTGCCTTGTTTAGCCTATCGCAGGTTTTGCGAATAGGTTTAATAGTCTAGCTTTGATCATCGTTAATTTCTGTTTGAATTTTCATTAAGGCGGTTGGACTCGTGTTACCCGGTCAACTTATATTCCCCTTGTCGTTTATTTTCTGTCGGTGAATTGAAACTGAGCCCTCGTTATTCCTGGTTATTGTGCGTTCATTCGTTTTTTATTCTCTACCCTGTATGTAGATTTCTTTTTGGTCCCCTCTTATGTTGTGGTCAAATTCGTATGCTCTCGTTTTCACTTTAATTTCTTCTATGCCATCGTTAAATTTAGGTAATTTCTTGATGATTACGAATTTGGTTTTTAAATTTCATCGCGTTTTATCTATTGCGACCGACAATGAGATTATATTTATGGTTGGATGTCCTTTGCACATTTTTGTTATTGAAAGTTCCTTTTTAGTCGGAGCTACCTGAGACGAGTGTTTCTGGTTTATAACTTAGTGGAGAAAAGGTTTGTATGACGTCATGGAATTTCTCTTGCGTATATTCTATGTTTGTTTGAGGGGCAGTTGTTTTGATATTCAGTGCTACTCATTAATGACCACTTCTAAGTTTTAACTTTTAACTATTCATATTTGGACTGTATGCCAAAGTTAGGTTTGTTTTTTTGGGCCTTTTTTAATTTGAATGGAAAGGAACACGTTAGCGCTTTCTTTAAGCACAAGTTTGGTCAAAGCCTGATTTCTGTGACTGTGCATCATTGTAGGCTTTGGACAAGATACGATTTGAAAGCTTGACAGACAAGAGCAAGCTTGATGCCCAGCCGGAGTTGTTCATTCACATTATTCCTGATAAGACAAACAATACATTGTCCATCATCGACAGTGGTATTGGCATGACCAAAGCTGGTAAGATAATACTGTTTGGTGGTCTATGCGTGATCACTTTATACTGAAAGTATTTGATACATTGTCATAGACTAATGTATGCCTTATGTTAAACAGATTTGGTAAACAACCTGGGTACCATTGCAAGGTCAGGGACCAAGGAATTCATGGAAGCCCTGGCTGCTGGTGCTGATGTAAGCATGATTGGGCAGTTTGGTGTTGGGTTCTACTCGGCCTACCTTGTTTCTGAGAAGGTCATCGTCACCACAAAGCACAATGACGATGAACAGTATGTTTGGGAATCTCAAGCTGGCGGATCATTCACTGTCACCAGAGACACATCTGGTGAGCAACTTGGCAGGGGAACCAAGATAACTTTATTCCTGAAGGAAGATCAGCTTGAGTACCTGGAGGAACGTCGCCTGAAGGATTTGATTAAGAAGCATTCTGAGTTTATTAGCTACCCTATTTCTTTATGGATTGAGAAGACTACCGAGAAGGAGATTTCTGATGATGAGGATGAGGAAGAGAAGAAGGATGAAGAGAAGAAAGATAAGGAAGGTGAAGTCGAGGATGTGGACGAGGAGAAGGAGAAGGAAGAGAAGAAAAAGAAGAAAATTAAGGAGGTGTCCCATGAGTGGTCATTGGTGAACAAGCAGAAACCTATCTGGATGAGGAAGCCTGAAGAGATCACCAAGGAAGAATATGCTGCGTTCTACAAGAGTCTTACAAATGATTGGGAAGATCATTTGGCTGTCAAGCACTTCTCTGTTGAGGGTCAGCTTGAGTTTAAGGCTATTCTCTTTGTTCCCAAGAGGGCGCCTTTTGATCTTTTTGACACAAGGAAGAAACCTAATAACATTAAGCTGTATGTCCGACGTGTCTTTATTATGGACAACTGTGAGGAGTTGATTCCTGAATACCTTAGCTTCATAAAGGGTATTGTGGATTCTGAGGATCTCCCTCTCAACATTTCCCGAGAAATGCTGCAGCAGAACAAAATTTTAAAGGTCATCCGCAAGAACTTGGTCAAGAAGTGCATTGAGCTTTTCTTTGAAATTGCTGAGAACAAGGAGGATTACAACAAGTTCTACGAGGCCTTCTCCAAGAACCTAAAACTCGGTATTCATGAGGATTCTCAGAACAAAACGAAGTTTGCTGAATTGCTCAGGTACCACTCCACTAAGAGCGGCGATGAGCTGACCAGCCTGAAAGATTATGTGACCAGGATGAAGGAAGGTCAGAATGACATCTATTACATTACTGGAGAAAGCAAGAAAGCAGTTGAGAACTCCCCATTCTTGGAGAGGCTGAAGAAGAAGGGATATGAGGTGCTATTCATGGTTGATGCTATTGATGAATACGCTGTTGGCCAGCTTAAAGAATTCGAAGGCAAGAAGCTAGTATCTGCTACAAAGGAAGGCCTCAAACTCGACGAAACTGAGGACGAGAAGAAGAAGCACGAAGAATTGAAGGCGAAATTTGACGGACTGTGCAGGGTTATCAAGGATGTTCTGGGTGACAAGGTTGAGAAAGTTGTGGTCTCCGACCGTGTAGTTGACTCTCCTTGCTGTCTAGTAACTGGTGAATATGGTTGGACTGCAAACATGGAGAGAATTATGAAAGCACAGGCATTGAGAGACAGTAGCATGGCTGGTTATATGTCTTCCAAGAAGACCATGGAGATCAACCCTGAAAATGCCATCATGGAGGAGCTGCGCAAGCGTGCAGAGGCAGACAGGAATGACAAATCTGTGAAGGATCTGGTTCTGTTGCTGTTCGAGACTGCTCTTCTTACCTCTGGTTTCAGCCTTGATGAGCCCAACACTTTCGGAAACAGAATCCACCGGATGCTCAAGCTCGGACTGAGCATTGATGATGATGCTGGGGACGGTGACGCTGACATGCCCCCATTGGAGGATGCCGATGCTGATGCCGAGGGCAGCAAGATGGAAGAAGTTGACTAATTCTCACAAGCCATTTTATCTTTTTAAATGTTTTGTGTTTCTTAATATTAGCGAACGGTAGTCTATTTTTGGGCTGAGCTTTTTGGTTCTTGTGGTTTTAAATGACAGTATTTTTATATGCAATTAGCCTCTAAAGTTATCATAATCTAATATGGTCATTTCTCCTCTATTATTAACGCCTTTCTCACAATATCCGTTATTGCCCTGTGAAATCTGTCTCTTTGATATTAGCCAAGTGGTGAGAAATCGAGGCGGCGCTTCTGCTTCGGTAAGCTTTTGCGTTTAGATGGCGAGTTTAATCTGCTTTCCTCAATTTTGATGAAAAATTATTAATCGATGTTGTCAATGGTCCGTTTTCTCCATGTAAGTGGTGGGTTTTTTTGTGTAAATCATAATTTTATGAGATTATAATTACATGTGCAATTAATATATTATTTTAGTTTTATTTGGGAACAAGAAGTATCAAAATATGAATCGAGATTTGGAACTGAATTATCTAAATTCGTTTAAACACTCTCAATTTGAGAACTAACAACAACAATAATAATAATAAATGGCGTTCTGTTACAGTAAAAATTGGAAGGAAAAAAGAAGAAAGAATTACAATGTGGTCTTAACAAACAAAATATAATTACAAAATAAGTTTTAGAAGTTTCATTTCTTAATCTGTAACTTGTTATTATAGGTTGTATAAGTTGTTATTAGGATTTTATAGTAATTATTTTTTCCGGGACTCTATTGTAATTCTCTAGTTAAAAAGTTTTCCATATCAATAAAACTTTCAATGAGATTTTAACTCTCTATTTTCATTTTATATATTATCTCTAGTCTTTAATATAAAAACTAGTTTATTTATTTGAGTAAATTAAGAAAATTAGTTATATTAGTTACTTGTAATAAATATATATTATTTTTTTAAAATATCTTTACTATTCAATTGTATTGCTAGAACTATCATTATTACAATAATTATTTTTTAAAAAAATAAATAAATATAATAGATAAAATATATTAGAATTTTATATTTATGACTAAAATATAAGTCAAACAAGCTGAAGACAAGAGGTAGTACATATATATTTATTCTTTAAAAGCAAAATTGGTCATCATGGTGGTCAACGGTTGAGCATGTCGATTGAGCGGCCAAGACAGTGTCTTTTTCTTTTTAATAGGCAAGGTCAAGACCATTTTGATAATTTGATGTATAGACATGTCTAGTGAATAAAAATTATATAAAGATTCCATTGTCATGCTAAAAACATGTTTTATATTCCAATTCCGATTCTGTTTCCAATTCCATGAAAAAAATCTTTCCAAAGCCTTATGAAAGAGCAAGATTCTTATCAGGATATTCATTCATTCGCACGTGCAAATGCTGTTATTTTTAGGAGGACAACATTAGGACAAATTTGGCAGGAAAAAGAGTACTTTTTCTGGCCCTCAAATAATGAAATAGAGTAGTGAGGTCAACTCTTTGACCAAAATTTTACTTTTACAACCTGCTCCTTATATTATAACAACTATATTAATTCAACCAATTTTCTTAATTTGTTACAGGGTAGTATAAACTTCTCAAATATGATACATGAAAACTGCTGCACAAAAAAATAAAATAAAGATACCTTTTTTGTTTTGATCTCTGGTGCAGTTTGTTTTGTAAACTTTTATTCTGGAAATTAATAAATTGCTTCTTTTTTAAAAAAAATAATATAAAATATAAAATTCACCAAGTTTAATTCCTCTAATTTGTTAAGGAAAAATCGATAAATATAATTTTTTAAAAAAAACAGAAAGAAAGAAGTTTCACTAAATCACATTCTTGCCTCTCAAAAATAATTCAAATTACAAATTAAACCTGAAAGAGAAAAAAATGAATGTATTTCCAGGATCATTCACGCTTAAATACAAATGCACAAAACCAGGTATCTCTCACTCTTCATCTTCATCTCCTGCAGAAATATAATGACCAAAGCAAGGGAATCAAGAGGAAACTCTAAAGCCTGCTGCAAGCAAATGAATCTTTGGCAAGATGAACAGACAGAAAACTGGAGCTTCAAGTATCATCTACTTGTGAATGGAATACAAAGCTTGGGAATGTTGTGGTGATGTCCCTGCTCAAACACATGTAAGATCATGTCAGATAGGCCCGTGAAAATTAGAAAAAGAAGAAGGCATGGTAGAAATTCACAAAGCATGTATCATAATTTTCTTGGATGTGGGAAATCAAATGCAGCCAGTATCACTTGACTCTTAGTGAGTATTGTTTTAGGGTTTAGGATTTAGAATTTCAGAGAATTAGTCAGATTTGATTTCTGATGAACTGGGGATATTTAAAAAAATTTATAATTTAAACATTACTTCAGATATTGAAGGGTCATATTCTTCAAAAGTGAGGGGTGGCGTAAAACAAGGTTTCTCCATTCCTCTTTGTCAATTTTGCCATCGTGCTTTGTATCTGCTTCCTCAAAAGTCTGGAGAAATAATAATAAGAAAAATTAACAGCTGAAACTTTCTGATATGGTGAAAAAGGCCTAAGCATAAGAGAAAGAAAGAATAGAGAATCACCTTGTCGATTATACTTTCTATTACATCATCTGATAGGTTCATGCCAGATTCAGCAAGTGTAGCTACTACCATTTGCTTCACCTTTAAAGAAGATGCCAAACTAAATTTAGACATGGCCAATCCGATAAAACAATAAAATAAAATAGAAATTTAGTATTTACCTCCTGCCTTTCAATAAAACCTTGTTGCTTGAGATCATACAGTTGAAAAGAAACTGAAACACAAGATTATGTGGTTTTAATTTTTCCTCAAAGTAACTTCATCTAAGCTGATTATATGAAGTAAATATTTTTAAACATACATTCAATCTTTTCATCGATAGGGGCATTCGGATGGAAAACGGATAAAGCACGAGCAAATTCTTCAAAGCCTAGTATCCCATTGTGCTTCGTGTCAAACAAATCAAATACCTAATAGAATCCACGCAGAGAGAAGCTCACATAAGAATTCAACCAGATGATGTCATATAAATGGATGCAAGTAAACAAATATGCAAGGAACCACAAAAAAGGAAGTTCAGCATCCAAACTAACACAGGAACATGTATAAGCAAACAATCTAAGAAACGTGTACCACGTAAGCAAAGCTTCAAGGTGCAGTATCTCAATATAAACGTTAACTAAATTAAAATCATTAAATATCGATTTTCAAGTTAGTCAGTAAACATTGAACCATGCATGCACGGACAGCCCCACTCCTCCTTGTTATAACAACATTTAAGTACAAAACAGAACATAATAACTTATGTTTGATAAGCCATTGATGCCAGTCTATGAATATACACACATATATATAATATTTCATTATCAGCATATAAATGCACGCTCAGGAATTCAGATTCTTCCTCTCTCGTTATTTCTTGGCCAAAAAGGAAGAAAAGTGGTAAAACGGAGGACCAGAATTGGTTATTCAAACTGATTAGAAATGCAAAACAAGGATGTTTTGCAACTTATAAGAGCACACAAGAGCCCATAATAACAACCAAAAGAGAGTGGACAGAAAATAAGAGGAGAAGAACCAAACTTTCAGGATTTCAATCAGAAAGACCCAGAATTTTTTCCTCTTAGTTCTACATGGTTCGTATATTTGGGTATTAAAATTAATATTATATGATGGAAAGAAAAAAAATTTCATGATTTAAACTAAAGATAAGATTATATAATTGGACAAATTAATACCCGATCAGCAAATAAGCTCTCCTTTTTGTTTGTCTTGAATAATGCTAACTGGAACTCCTCCTGCACATCATGTTAGCTGCTGTTAGAGGAAAAACTGAAAAGTGAACCAGCTTCCAAATAGAATTTCTATCACAGATGTGATGGTACAATTTCTATCACAAAACAATATGTGGGAGCCAACTCAAGGCATTATAATGTGTCCAAAGTACTATTGTCAGATGATCAAACAGACAAACCTTGTTAATCAGCCCATCATCAATCACCGCACAGCTGATTTTCTTAAAGAGCTCATAAAGTGCTTCTATTTCACTTACACTGACTGCATAAAAGTGTAAAAACAAAAGCTTATCTTCAGTACAAACAATGAGGAGTTACTTTCAAAGATATTAGTGTTGCAGGTTACGGAATCAGGTTAACAAAAGAAAAGAAAAGAAAAGACCGCATTCCTTTTTGTTTCCCTTTTCCTCATACATGCACCACCAATTACATGGTCTCAAAACCCAAAAGGGAAACATAAAGTACAGAAATGAACTTTTTCATCAGAAGGCAATGATCAACAAATCAGCAGTGTATTGTAATGTCATGACAACAAAGTAAAGTCAATATCTTACAGACTGTCTCCCTTGCAAGAAGTTCGGGATCTTCAAGGCCTCTTGACTGCTTATCAAGGTCAAAGCAACGCAATAAGGAAGCAAATAAATGCTTAAGAGCCTCTGCACACGGCAACATGATATCTCCAGCAAATCAAGGCCCTCCATAACTGTTTCAAAAATGAAGGAGTTAGATATTCCATTTACTTCTTCCTTGCAAAGACATTGTAAGTTTGCAACTATAGGAAAACAGCGAGCAAACCTTTTAACCATTCTGATTCTTCTAATGAACCCAGACGAACCCCAAAGCCAAGAAAATTTAAGGCAGCACTGCAAAGAATGGTTGGTTTAAAGATTGAAATACAAATCCATCAGATACTGGCAGTAGAAAGTGCTCAAAAGTAAAAACACAAAAGAACAAGTTCCATGACCAGAACTCAACATCATACTGAAGAAGGCTTTCATGTTGCTTCCCTTTTCTCTGAAGCTTATGGAGTCAAGCAGACAATCTTTGCATTTCATAAGTTTGTTTACATATACACTTGCACAAAATTACATATCCTTGCTGCCATATTAATTGCAGGAACTATAAAACATGACATCAAAACAATGCCAGGCGAAAAACAGGAAGACTGGTCATTGGAGGTACCAAAAAAGTTTTCAAATCCTACCATGGAACACAAAATAATTGAAAAATCACTGCATAGGGACTTTTGAGACTGTATCCAAGACATCGGTTCCGCTCCTACTAGCGCACTCTTGGACACAACCACTTTATAGAACAGAGAATGGATATACTTATTCCTTATCTGAGTAAATTTAACATATAAACCCATAAAAACTCAACCAACAAATTATCTAACCGCGTTATATAACCACAGATGATAACATAAAAATTTGTGGCGAAAAAGCAGCAACTAAATCTCTACCATGCAGCGAGGCTACAGATCAAGTCCAAAAGTTAAACACGGATCCATGATCCCACAAATAGCTTCACACTGAAAACATGATAAAATTGCCTCAGAGAGATCCCAGATTGAAATTCATCAGCCCCCAAGAAAAGTTTCCAATTTTCTAAACTTCGTAACGGCCATAAATTCGCACTCAAAGAAAACTCGAAAACTGAAACATTGACCGCCACCGGAGAATCCAAAAAGAGAAGGATTTTAGAGAAAGCTCAAGATAACCATGTTGAAAAATAAGATGTTATCATATATTCAGATTTCTAGCCAATTAATCAAAGCCGGTACAGAATTAAGGGGGGGAAAATCTCACCTTGGCACTAGGGGATCAACCGAAGACCGTAAGAGTTCCAAGTGTTGATTAAGAGTGTTGAAGCAGTCTTCGTCACAGGGTTCTCTGCAACTACAACCTCCGGTTGAATGCAACAAGGAATCCCTTCGTAAAGGTAACGATGATAGATGACAGATAGGTTACAACTTGGGATGATAAATTGCTATCAGAATAATAAAATTAACTACAAGGCCACACTAGGTTAGCCAGGGCCTGGGGGGTGAATATCCTTCTGTTTATGCCTTAATTTGGAATATTGATTGGTTTAAATATATATATATATATATATATATATTTTATATTTTGAAGGCACGTCTCCCCAGATGAATTCATACATATCTAATTATCTCCATGTGGGATTTGCTCGGTTGAAGAGAAAGAAAGGGAAATCTTTTTATTTTTTTTTCTCTCACTGGAGTGTATTTTTATTTTTATTCATTTTGTTGACTATAAGATAGTAGCTTTAAAATGTTAGAAATCCAACTTTTTAGATAATTAGAACAGAATGATAATGCAAAATTTAAATAAATTTATCTTTTCGAACATTTTAAAAAATTTCATATTCTATCCTTAAATTATATACTATTTTCTATGATATGATATTATTAGAATGATTTTTTATTTCTTAATTAAATTTATAATATTAATTTGAATTAGTATTGTTTCGATTAACTTTCTCCACTTAAACGGGATTTTGATCACACATTCGAATCAATATCTAAACTACTTCCACAGGTTTTCAACATGATAAAAAAAATTATTACTTGAAAAATAGTTTAAATATTTTAGAAAATAAAATATAAAACAAACCATCAATCAACCATAATCCTTCTTAAAACTAGGAAGAAATTCAAACGATATTTGGTATTACTGAGTTAAATTCAAACTTTATGAAGCAAAAACAAAAATAAGTCTCCTAAGAATGTCTTTTGCATTGTCAATACACAATTACCCACCTAAAATATTTTATAACTAGTGATTTGCATAATTATATATTGATAATAAATATATATATATATAAAGTCACTTTTTAAAAGAATATTTTGAACATAAATATCTGCTACTGTGCCAAAATTTATGGAATAGGAGTTTCTTCATTCCAAATGTGCTCTTTCTTTTAAAATTCTAAGGAGAGGATAAAGAGCATACATTTTAAATTTATGATATTTATTAGAGATAGATATAAAAAATCAAAGCAATTTCTTAATAATTTTAATTTTTATCTCTGCAAGTTTCTTTTACTAAATAGATAATATTATATGATGTTTCATTCTAATAAAAATTAATGATATCATAAATTTAAAATAAAATTGCACCTTGATGAAACCGTATGTACAATTCATAAGAATGTGATGTTTCAATTCATACGATTTCAATTTTAATATGATGTTTCATTCTAAATTTAAAATAAAATTACACCTTGATGAAACCGTATGTACAATTCATAAGAATATGTTGAAAAAATTATAAATTTAAAGAATAAAATGAATTGAAATTAAATATTTAACATCAAATTCAACTCTAAGCTCTCTAGTATAATTAATAATTATAATGTCTTTGCTCTAATTATAAAAAAAAAAAGTTTGGCGGCATTTTCTTACCGAGCGTCTCTTTTGCTATGAGTTCCTATCACGTAAGCCTTATTTCCCATCAAGGACTTAATAATTAATTAATAACAAATGTTTTTGTTCACTTATATATTTTATTTAGTGTCTGGTTCCGCACTGCACATTCACGTCAAGGGCATATTAAATTTTTTTAAAAATATTAATTATTTAAAAATATTCATTTTTTTAAAAGAAAAATGAATACGAGTCAATAAGACATGTATCGGGCAAAATCAAAATATTCTACCAACTTTGAGAGGGAAAATTATATTTTGTTGTTGGTAAAACATTTCGTTTCTTTTTTTTTTTTGTCGCCACAATTAAAATATTTTCATTACATGCCAAGAACGTATTTGAATATTTGAATTTGCTAACGCTTTTTCTTAAAAATAATTGAATGACGTAACGCTTGTGCGTATATAGAATATTTATATGCCATAACGTTTTTCTTTTTTTAAAAAAACAAAGTTCACAGGATGAATGGTCTCCGATTACCAAACGCTAAAATGCAACTTGAATATTTACAATTACATTAATAAATGCAATTTGCGTATTTCTTGTAAATGTTCTCCAATATTCAACTTGGCAACTCGGTGTTAATTAATTATTAAAAGTTGCGAGAATGAATATGAATTCAAGGCAAAAAGGTCATGATTCACATGCGAAAATGGCCAGTGGAAACACTGCCGTATCTACCTGATCAATTAAGGCGGCCTCTATATTAAATTATTAATTCGTATGAAATATGAATAATTCGGTCACAAAGCAGAATTTTTTATTCTCTCAGATGAGGAACTCACGAGATGTGATTTACACAAAAAGGTTTAAAATAAGCCAACAAATATGCCATTTCTCTCTCTACTTTTAATGTATTTCACACATGCTTATCGATTACAAGGGATGCAACTCTGTGGCGTTCATCTGCTCCAACCAATTTTGAAGGAGTTCGCCGCCTTCTCCAAAAAAGTGAAACTTAAAAGACATCTCACGGCTTCTTTATTGTTATTTTAAAATATGAAACTCAAAACACAAGAGCCAGCTTCATAAAAATTAACACAAGCTAAAAGCAATGATGTTTCGCATCCATCTGTAGTTTTCGAAATGATATCTCAGAACATAAACAATGATGCACATCATATGATACTTGGATTATCTTGAATTATGTCTGTCCCCTAAATTATAAAAGGATCAAACATGCATCATCTTGAATGTTACATCTATTCAAGATACCAAAATCAAAATGTCAGGATTACAAAAAGCTTCAACCACGTTCAGTAGGCACTGAATAGCCAAGGGAAGGAGCATTAGAAATTAACCTGACTTGTGATTCAGCACATTACTCTATACCCATTATTATAATCAGATATTCTTACTGGATCCTGATATGCACTCATTTCATTCCAGGGTTGAGTCCCCAACACAGTTCAATTTGAAAGCTTGAGAGTAGATTGATTCAAAATTATGCTGGTATTAATCAATTTCTTAAGAACAATACACTAATTAACCACTATCATCTATAGTGGGTATATATGAGTAAAAGAATTAAGCAGCAACAAAAAAAAGGACGCGCTTTATGTGAAACCGGAGGTTGCTAGTCTTCACCTTCTTCTTCGGTTATCTCTGTAAGATCCTTCACTTTCCCTGTCCTTCAAGAAGCCTAGAAAGGCAAGAAAGCCAAAAAAGAAGAAGCCACCGGACCAATTGCCTCCGCCCCCACCTCCTCCACCACCACCATCGCCATCATCACGGGGTGGAAATCCAGTACCACCATCATCAAGTTGAGGTGATTTCTCCTTACCTGAAAATTCAGTGAACCATGGTATGTCGGTCAAAGGAACATGCTTCACAAAGAGATACATTTCGATAAATGTTTCAACAGTTTCTTAATACTATTACTACTCATAGAATGAACAGGCCCTTAATTACAAATTAAATGACGTTGATAAAATGTTTTGAGAAATGGGAGAGTATAGCTTCAACAACCAGAGAAAATGATCTCTGGTGGAAAGCACACAAAATACGATTATTGATAGTTATAAATGATGTAACCCAGTTGTGCTTAGGGGCAGATAAAAACTTTAAGAAAGAACGGAAGGAAGAAAGATGTCAGAAATAAGCAATCACCAGGAATATGTGTCATTGTAGGAGCCTGGCGAGTGACAGTTTGTGTTTGTTCCGCCCCACATCTTGCATTCTACATAATTGGGAGGCAAATATTATAAAAATGCAATACTCCAGCATTGTCTTCTACATGATACAATCTAAAGTGTAAGCATTCACCGTGCGTGCGTCCATGTAAGCTCCAGCGCACAAGCATGCAGTGGTACAAGTAAGAGGTCTTGAAGAAATATTTAAAGAAACGACTGATCTCTAAACCCCTCTAGACATTGACAGTCGTTGATAACTCATTGACCAACAACAATTATGCTATATAATTCCAATTCAACCCAGCTATATTGTAATACTGAACCTCAAGCTGAAGCTGAAATTTGACAACAAAAGGTAAAATTGAATTTGGGAAACACGTGATGAGGACAGAATACACAAAACCCCTACCCGACAACTTTATTCCAACATATAAAAGAAATGAAAGGCTACTGGACAATACAACCATTTCAGCGAAACGGGCACAGAAGAAAAAGGGACATACCAAAGCTGCGGCACATATTACAGTTGCAGTTCGTGCATGTGGAGATCTTGTATTATAAAGAACATGTGTACATTTCAGTACTCCTGAATGATTCGTCTTCTGTAATTCTCTTTTGCTGTCATAAGGGTAGCATTGCAGGCCAAATCTTGGTAGATTGAATCTAGTAACATTAGTCTCTGCAGCGTAGCCACCTCTTCTCACTATTCACAAAAGCAAGATCTTTTCACTATGATTGGAAGAGTTAAAAACTGATCATGCCTCCAATCACTTCAACCACAGAAAGATAAAATCCATTATAGATTTATTTTTTTTAAGAACATGTTTAGGTGAGTCAACAAACATTGTACAACCAAAACCTTCACATTAACTTGATCCCAGCTTAGTGGTGCAATCAACAACCAGATGCATTCTTTGAATGTTCTTAATGCATTCCAAAAGCAGACGCATCCTTTTTTTTTTTGGGGGGGGGGGGGGGAAGGTGTTGATCCTTTGATCCAATAGCAATAAAATAAGCTGTGCATCTGATTCACTTCCAGGCAGGTGAAACTAAAATCAGATTAAAAATTACTCAGCCTGGGCTTCCAGTCATGTCACAATATCTGAATAGTGAATAACTTTTAATTTATCAGATTAAGCTCCCCACCATAGACATATTTTATTTCAAATTAATTATAATATAAGAAAAAAATGAAGATGGATGTCCTCTCTCCTTATGAAAACAGTGAATGATAGTTATTTTCTCAGTACCATCCTGTGTCTTCATCCAACTAGTACTCTCCCCTAAAATAAATAAACAAACAATCTACACCCATGAATCTCTCATAATAAGAAGCATTAATACAACAACAGTTGTATGTAAAAAAATATAACAACAGTTGTGTGTGTGTGTGTGTGTTTTTTTTTTATCACCTCAAAGTGAAAGAGGGTCAAACAAGATTAGTTCCTCAAAGTTGCGTATTAGCAAAAGCAACTCTCCTTTTCGAATTCACTCTTCAACAAGCACCCATAAATTAGAGCCCAATCAAACTAATCCCCTGTGATAAAATCTAGCGCAACAATATCTTGAATTGGTGCAAGTGTGATCGTGTGAGTTAAAGAAAAAAATCCTTTCCAATATGGTATTATCATAACTCATGTCCAATTTTAATTATGAGTTCATAAATATGCTGGGAATGACTTTTTACCTGGTGGTAATTCGCGCAAGGATACTAGAGTAGTAGCCGTCATGGACATCAAGACAGAGACAGAGAAACCACCTGAACAGTTAAATTTCGACAGAAGTTTCAAAACAAGTACATCAAACTTACAACAGAAGAGGTAAATAGATAATATATCATTAAGCAGACTGGCCGTGATCACCAAACAACCACAGTGGTAGTAGGAAAAATTACGCAGAAAATATAAAATTAATTTCAAAACACCTTGTTCAAAAAGCTGAATAGTCCCAACACCGATGAATGTAAAGAAATCAAATCCTCAACTAAATTTATTCATTAAGTTTCTGTGGCCAAACAAAGAAGCATACAAAAGAATTGCATTTCTCTCCATTGCATCATGTGTACTGCAGATAGGGAATCAATTTCTCATCAACTTGTAACATTTCGACTCCATTAAGGTAAATACAGTATATTTAATATTTCCTAACTTATTCTATGTGGGACATCTGGTTGGAAACATAGCGAAAATAAATAAATGAACGTGAGTAGTTTCAAGTTTCAACCTTTTCACTTCATTGCTCATAATTTATCCTGTAACGGCACTTAACAAGACTTCTTGCAGATTTTTTTTTTTTCAATTAATTATTTACCTACCATTTGATTGAATTATGGCAAGCGTTTTATAGAACGTAAAATCTAAGGATTTATGAAGTGCGATCTGGTTTCAAGATCAACTCAAACCAAACTAGCAAACTAAAAGGTCCCAGCTTCAACGAGATAGAGAGGGAATACAGGCTTTTGTGAGAGATAAACTTATATCAATAAAAACATATGCCATGAACCAAAAGCAAGAAGTTTTTACCGACTGAATAGAATAACTAGGTGGTTCTACTTCAAGGGGCCCTGAGACCAATATTTTGGAATAAAACCACCCAACACAAGTAATTGAGATCAGAATAGATAATACATAGATAAATTCAGATTTCCGACGGCTAGAATTACAAAACAAAACAAGTTCAATAGACAGCAAAAAATTTTCGGAAAACCAAACAGCGCTTGATTATATCGATGTATATAGACCTATTAGACGTGGCAGAGGCGAAAATAGTAGTTTATCCTTGAAGAACAAGAAGAAGAAGAGCGCCCAGCAAAAAGTTAACGACTCAACCTAAGTTGTAAACAGCGGGTTAAACTTCCAATAAAATTTCATGATAATAAGCGATACAAAAAACGACACACATTCTAATCGAAAGCTTCGAAGAATTGACGAGATGAACTAACCTGAACACGAAATAGCAGAAGGGACTGAAATTCCGAACTAATCTTCTGAGTGTCTCGTCCTCCTGGCCGGTTTCTATGCCCTGAGGAAAAGAAGGAAGGCTGAGGATTTGAAAGCCCCTTCCCTTCAGAGAAAACGGGCGCAGCCTATCTTTTTTTAATTTTTTTGGCCAATTAGTGTTCGCGGCCTATCAGAATAGGCCAAGACGGAGGGAATGAGGCGGTTGTGACTAGTGGTTGTCCGCCGCGTTGACAGAGTCCAAAACGTGCCGATCAGGTTTGTGGATCACCAAACCCGAAGACTAGGCCCAATCCATTCTAGGGCCTAGGCCTACATCTTTTTGGGCCCATCGTGGGCCAACAGTTTGGATTTCTTCTTAACTCCCACTGATAAGAGCCACCCTGTGTGTGTGAATTTTACCATCTTTTTCCATGCTTCTGCGAATTCCCCAGTGTCGGAGAAATTTATTTAGAAAACTAATCCGAAAAAAAAAAATGACAAAACGAGTTTCACGTGACCACTGCTTGAGATTCTACTTTTACACACACATATGCAAATAGACAGATATATATATATATATATATAATGAGAATTTAAATTTGAAATTTAAAGTTGAGAATAAGATGATGGGAAGTTATGCACTGGGAGGGATCATGGGAGAGACGAAGATTCAGAGGTATAGATGACAATTTTTTTTTTAAAAAAAAAAGAGTTCAGATAATGAGGGAGAAAAATTAGAGATCAGGAAAAGTGGTCTCAGACAGCAATAGTTTCAGAGATAATAATAATATGATATGAATATCACTCATTTTAATAAAAAAATATTTTTAGAAATCGGCGTTGACATGGATAGCTTAGAATTGCATCATTTTAAAATTTGCATGTGTTTATGGCACAGTAAGCGTGGATTGAATATCACTTAAAACAGTTAATATTTGCTTTTGTAATTATCTTTTTAGAAATCAATACCTGTAACCACCCATGCCCTGCATGGTTCTAGTCTCACATGTTCTCTCTCTCTGTCTCTCCAAAAAAAAAAAAAAAGGTGTAGATATTATCCATTTAAACATTTTTAAGAGTAGAACTTTGGGCTTGTCTTGTTAATCCCGAAAGGGCATGTATCAGGTGTCTTTGAGAATTGATTCTTTAAATGAAATTAAGCCTATCCAGATTTAAGAATGGAAATAGCAATCTTCATGACGACTGCAAGTTGGAAGTACATTCCATGCTCATCATAATGATGAGTATGAAGTGCTCATTGCAATTTAACCCATCTAAATTGATTTTTGATAGTCCAAATTAAATTTAAATATTTGTAAATTTTAATTAATTATCTGTTTTAGTAGATATATAATTTGAAATAAAGATGATCTTATAACTAATTTTTTTTAAAAAATAAAGTTATTATTGAAAAAGTTTTACATCAAAAATTTGAAATCTGAATCATTTATATTATATTTTAGATGATCTAGATTACGACGCGTATCACTGTGATGATCACCAAACGAAAAATCCTGAAATTTGATCCTAGAAACCCCGCTCTAACATGATTAGTTTATTGATCTTCGATGCGTCCAACGAGAAGAAAACTATGAAGCTAATATGCTGGCCAAACGTGCTTTAGCAATGCACCCTAGATTTCATCTAGTTCCCTTATGTGAGTTTGATTTGTTTCGTTCTCATAATGTAAAATAGTATTTACTGTTTTTTTATTAAAAAAAAAAAGAAATGCTGACTCTACTATTATGATTATAAATAAATAATATGTGACTTCTCTTCGTTTTAATTCATAAATCTCACACAAAAGTCCATACATATTTCAAGTGAAGTACATAATTTTTTTGGGCAAGTTCATTTTCACATAATCGTTAGACAACAAGGGGGGAAAACTTATTTAACAACACACTCCCAAGTGCATCTAATCAAACAACTAAAAATGCAGTGTTGTATGGTATATATGCCTCCATTGGTAAAGAATTTGTACGTGCATGGTCGATCATTAACAATAGCTCAAAATTAAAACTTCATTGATTTAGAGGTTAAGTCGGAGAGATTGGAGCCGACAGAAACCACACGGCGGAAATCGTCGGCACGGTGGTGGCGGCAGCGGAAGGAGCCGGCGTGAGTGGTGGGTGAGCAAAGACAATTCCTCTTCTTGACACTGGTAGATCTTCTAATGGTTAAACTAGTAGTGCTTCCTCTTGGGGAGACATTGAATTTATCAGTACTCTTAATGTCGTCCAAATCCAACTTGGGAATTTTCTTCATTATTTGCCGATCCAGACTGCTCAGTGGTGTCATCCCTGTGATGATCCTTGCTGGCTTTTGTTCCTGATCCACAGTTTCCTCCATTTTTATTCTTTTTTTCCTGTTTCAATATTCCATATTCTCACATCAAAATTGGCTTGGCCTCTGTTTGAGATTGACTTTTTTTTTTGTGGCCAATACTACCTCCGGTCCTTAATATAAAACCCTGTTTGACTTTTATTTTGGTCCTAAATATAAAACCCCAGTCTACTTTGTTTCTCATATTTATACATTTTTTTCAAAGTAGCCCTTCTAATAATGATAGTTCTAGTCAATACACTTGATTAGTAAGGATATTTTAGAAAAAAAACAACACCTATTTAGAACAAATAACTAACTCAACTTACTTCATTAATCTCCTCAAATTAGTCAACTGGCTTTTATAATTAGGACTGGAGGTAGTATTAAATTGTTGGATCTTACAAAGCTATGCTTGGACAACGCAAATGGCTTTCCAAATATGGTTTTGGGGTTGGAAAGAGTTTCATATATTGAGGATTGAAAAACAATCTACCGATTTTTATAATTTATCTCAATTTTAAATTAGACATCTCTAGTTTATTTTGTCTAAATTGAATTATTATTATTTTTTATCCGGTAATTTTATAAATTTTATAAAACCTCGTTTATATAAAAATTTTCAAATGTTAAAAACAGGTTACATGAAACCAAAAAAAAAATCTCATAAAGTTTATTCAGAATTAAGAACAAATTTACGTATAAAGATAAACACAGAAAAATTGTTACCGGGAAAAAAAAAAGAACAAATAGAGAAAATTAGCATCCAAAATCAAGTTCTGCATAATAACTTAATCTAATTTGAATAAAAAGATGGTATTCGTTATGATTAAAATTAGAACTACTTTATGCAGGAAACCAAATGTATCTTATTTCTATAATCAATTATTTAAGGCCCTCACTAATTAATTAATGATAATAAAACCACTTCTCGTCAACGTCAAACTCTCATGAAAACATGATGCATAGTGAATTTTATTGAGAAACCATATAAAAATGGAATTTAACAATTATTGATTGTAATATTTCAAACACCTGAAATTAATGATCTTAATTAAAATTACTAGTTACCTGGCAAAGCGAGAGAGCATATATAAAGGTACATGAAAATTCTATAAAGATTGATCAGAAAGCTTGAGCACTGGAATTTTGATCAATTCTGAGAAGGAAGGGAGGAAGGTATTGAAGGGGTGAGAGAGAGGGAGGAGGGTTCTGAAATCCTCAGATCTGTTCTCTCTCACAAAACGAATTAATGGGATGTTCTGTTTTTGTTTTGTCTTAACAAACTCAATTGGTCTGTTTAATTTTTGTGGCATTGACTAATCAGTAGTTTATAACCACAAGTTTTGTGAATGGAAAGAAAATATTTTTTTTTTGGGGAAAAAAACCAGGTTCTTTTTGTTTCTCTTTTTCTTTCTAAAAGGACAAATTGATTTTGGATTACTCTTCAAATTAATGTATTGCTAGCTATTTTTATGATTCTCATTAATACCGTTGGAAGTTAATCTTAGGACGAGTTTATAATTTGTATCTCAATAGAGGAATTCTTTTTCTTTTAAATATTATTTCTCAAAATATTTCGTTGAGATTCCTGTCATATAATTTTCTAAAAATTTAAAAAATATTTGAGGCCAACTTTATGCCAAAAAATTAATGTCATCAGCCTAGATTACGATTAAAACCTTGATTTTAAATTAAATATAAAAATGAACTAAAGAGCAAAAGAATAAAAGAAATGAAGTTTATGTAAACAAATTTTCCTATTTTACAACTAAGGGCTTCAAATATTCCTCCCATAATTATATTCGAAGCCAATTAGATCCATCAATAAAACTTCTTCCCACAAATCTCATTACTTGAGCATTAGATAAAGCTTGAGATGCAGGATGCCTTCCTACCCTATTTGCTCCAGGTCCCTCATTCATATATTCTCCCAGCATAGCAGTACTACAAATATTATAACACATCATCATATATAAATTCATAACATTTATATATATTCTCATGCTAAAATAATATTAAAAAATAATAATAATATCTAAGGGGGATTAGAGTTTATATTTTACCTTCGTATGGGTATACCATCCATGTTGGACCAACCCTGAGGAGTAATAATATTGTCTATAGTGCAAAAAGAGAATATTATTCTGGCATATGACCCCAAAGTCCTTCCAAGAAGAGTGGGTCCATTCCCTTCAATCTTGCACCCTTCAAAGATGAACCCACTATTATCTTCTTCCTTCCTTCCATGAGCTGCTATTGATCCTGACCTCACTGAGTTTATTGTACATCCCTGAATCCGAAAACCGCACAAGAACTAAATGCTAATTTTTCTCTTATATATATATAAAAATATAAAATAGCATCTATTACACATAAATGCCTTAATGTTAAGTTAAATTTTAAAAAATAAAAATATTATATAAAAAAAATAAAAGAGTACCTCATATAATGAGGTAGCAGAGCCCCAGATGAAATCAACAGTTCCTTGAATATAACAGTGATAAAAGAAATGAGTTCCATGGTTATCCAAAAGTGTGTCCTGATTTCCTAAGAAGGTCACCCTATAGAACATGGCTTTATCACCATCTATTTTCACTGCTACTGCTTGATCTGCATATCCCGTTGGAACCGCATTATTCTGCATTTAATATATAATCACTTCATCGATCACCATAATTTATATACTTCTCCGATCCTAAATATAAGACCCTTATTAGTGTATATAAGGATCTTATATTTAGAACCGAAAGAGTATATCAAAACCATACATATATTTTATAAGATTAATAGCATTGATAAGTAAATGTTAGCCAAAAACATAAAAATAAAATGAATTACCTGAATAGTAATAGCAGTGGCAACAAAATAATCAGCTTCAACCGTAAGAGTTGCAGTATTAACACTTCCAATTTCGTTGCCATTAGCATCTTTATCAGATGCCTTACGAGAACTAGTGATCAAAGGATAGTAACCATCTGTTGCTCCTGGTATTCCTATGAATGATATATGTGACTTGCTTTGTGGTACAGTTATTATCTCACTGCATGCATAATCCACCAGAATTAAAAAAACATTATTAACGATATCAATACAATATAGTGACAATAATAAGTCTTGCATTTCATCAAGTGGGGTCGGTTATATGAATTGCATGATGTACATACTTGTAAATTCCGGGATGGATGATGATTTTGATTCTGGCTTGGTAACTATCGGGAATGAGATCAAGAGCGCCTTGGATGGTCGTTGAATCTCCGGCTCCACCCTGATCGACCACGATTACTCTACTCATACTTAAGTCAGTTTGTGTGACAACAAAATCTTGCCATTCAATATACCTCTTTTGAGGCAGATCAGCCCCTACCATTGTAGCCATTGTTGCTACAATAAACAACACAGTCACCAGTATATTGGATAGCTTCCTCATATTTTTATATATGTTTCTAATAATAAATACTAAAGAATAGAAGGAATTTTTTGAAAAATAAATTCTATAAGAGATAGAACTATACATGAAGACACTTCAAAAGAGTGTGATTGTATGAATAGTTACGTTCATGGAGCTTCTAATTATAGGGACTTGTTACTATTAGTCCTGGTCAAACTAAACTATTGTAATGAGATAGATATATATCTCGTAAATTTTAATCTAGCAAAATCCTTTTAAGAGATATAATTTAAATATCTTGATTTGAATTAGAACATTTTTATTTAGATAAGATAAAGCATCGTATCATGAATAATTAATTATATTTACATAGAAAATATTGATGCAAGGCATTTTTAATTTTTTGAATTCTGACATTATTAATTTAACTCACCCTTAAATAAAAAGGGCCAAAAAAAAAAGCTATGTCTTTTTAACGTTTTGTTTCGTAACAGATAAGATAGAAAAAAGATAACCTATTGTCTATCAGGGAAAAAAGGTACAAAAATTTGAAACTATACCCGATGAAGTCATGTTGTTATTATCAATATTTTTCATAAATTTTTTGCAACAGATAATAAAATTGCTAGAATAGTATCCTTCTTTATTATCACAATGTTTTTCTTTCTTTCTTTTTATTTGTATTCTTATTCAGCATTTTGTTAATAATTTTTATTTAATTATTTATCTTTAACTACTGTATCTGAAACCTTCCAGTCACTTGATGTTATAGTCAATTTTAGTGGACAGTGGTTTACACCTTAATGAAAATGATTTTGATAATATATGTTTAATATATCATCATAACATATAGTCTCATATTCCCACCGCTAATATAAAGACCTTATTGGTGGATAATATACTCTCTACAGGTGTTGTCTGACTTTAGAGACATATATCCTGACTTTGATGAGCTTCTAAACAAAAATTATCCAACAGATAAGGTTAACTGTATAAACTTAACAGCACTACTGTATCTGGTGTCAGAAAGATTAAACAGAGTTTTATATTTACTTTTGAAAACTTGCATATCACAATTACAGGTGGAGTGGGATTTAAATTTAGTAACCTGGAAATGAGGCTTTTGAGGGAGAAGCAATGACATAAAGATGGGTCACTTATGAAGATTCATTGTCTAAAATATAAAATATCATTAACTTTAATTTTTTTTAAAATATAAATAGATCTCACTCTTTTATGATGAGGACAAAACCAATCATCATTATATACATCAAAGAGTTTTTTTTTTTGGCTGAACAATACTCATATATTAACTAACTAAATAAAAATTACAAACAAAAAACAAGCTCAAAAAGCTTAGAAGAAATATATCACCGGCCTAACACACTAACAAAAATAATCGAGGAAGAATGAACCACACAATTATGGCCTCCTATATTTTCAGCCAATCGTTTCCTTTGATGAAGGTTCTACCAACAAATCTAACCGCTTGATCATCAGACAAAGATTTTGACCATGAGACTCTTCCAGTTCTGTTTGATCCAGGTCCTTCATTCATGTACTCTCCGAAAAACGCAGTACTACAATATAATAAATTCATATTATTTAACATAAATAAATATTACTAAAACTTCAAAAAAAAAAAAAAAAAAAAAAGAGGAAAATCTGGGTTAGACAGTGATTTTACTTTTGTTTGTATGGTTCATCCCAATCACTCCAACCTGGAGGTTGGATAATATCATCCATTCTGCAAAAGGAATATATAATTCTAGAATAATTGCCCCAGGCTCTCCCAAGAAAGGTAGGTCCGTTTCCTTGGATTCTGCAATCCTCAAAGATAAAACCTGAATCATCTTCACTATTCCTCTCATGTGCAGCTATTGCTCCTCCTGAATTTGTTGAATTTATAGTACAGTCCTGATAATAATACAGTAAGAACTAGTTACAGAAATATATAAAGGTCAATTGATAGCCAGTTCAAAAGCCCTAAAAAGCTACTAATATAAGAGCTCGTTTGATTTTTATTTTGATTCTAAATATAAGACTCCAATTTATTTTGTCTCTCACATTATGTATTCATTTTTTTAAAGATAATCCTTATAATAATAGTAGTTCTAACTAATATACTTGATTAGTAAGGATATTTTAGTAAAGACAATACCTATTTGTTACAAATAACTAACATAACTAGTTTTTTTAATCTACTCAAATTACACAACTAACCCTTATATTAAGAACCGAAGGTAGTAATGCATATGTTTCATTGCTAGCTAGCTTGGTAGACATTCATTTCTTATATTTTGATACACCAAAAGTTTAGATAAGCTTATTAATATCAGGGTACGTATATCTCCAGGAAGCGTTTAGGTGCTTAACGAGTAAACATTCAGTTGGAATCCACATAACAAATACCTGATACAATGATGTAGCACTTCCGCAGATGAAATCAACGCTTCCTTGGATGTAACATTGATAAAAGAAATGAGTTCCAATGTTATCCATAAGAGTATCTTGATACCCTAAGAACCTCATTCTGTAGAACACTGACTTATCTCCATCTATTCTTATTGCCAATGCCTGATCTCCATCTCCATTTCCATTTGGAACTGCACTATTCTGATCAATAATGCATCTCCCCCACAAAACACTTAATTAATTAATATCATTTTTGTTAATTAGACTTAGACATTAGTATTAATCACATTCAATGATCAATTAATTAATTACCTCAATGGCAAGAGCGGCAGCAACAAAATAATCAGATTGAACAAAAACAGTTGCAGTATTCATACTTCCCAAAGGGTTCCCATTTTCATCAGTATCAGACGCCTTTCTAGAACTTGTGATCACTGGCAACTCACCGTTTCTTGTATCTGGCCTTCCAATCATTGAAATATACGGCTTGTTCTGTGGTATTTCTACTATTTCACTGCAATGTTAATGCATCAGATTAATTACTGTAATGATCAAAACATATTAGGGATAATGATAATTAATATCAATAATTGTAGAAAAGAGAAACATGTGCATATACTTGTAAATTCCTGGATAAATAAGGATTTTCATTCGTAATCCGTTGTTCACAGGGATCAAATCAATGGCTCCTTGAACTGTGGTTGAATTTCCACGTCCGTCTTGATCAACCACGATAACCCTACCCCTCTTCATGTCACTCCGAGTTGCTATCAGGTCTTTCCACGAAATGAATCCACCTGTGGAGGCGGCGGAGGCGGCCACCGTCGCTACCAGCGATAAAAACAACAGTTCAAGTGCTGGCCGCTTCATGCTGGTTAGCGACGAGCACTGCTGTTTTTGCTTCTGGAATGATCAAGACGGCGCCGAAATGCCTCAGGTTATTAATGAAGAAGAAGAAGGCGCCAAAAATGAGGAAAAATAGGCGGTAAAAGTAAAACTTTGAATTGAAATCATTTGTTATGATTTATTGATAATAGGAAGATCAATATAAAATCAGATAAAAAGATTATATATCTCAGTTGTATTTTTAGTTTTTTCGAGTTTAATTTAAGTGGAGAAATATATAGTATTAGACAGTTATGGACAAATAACGTGTTCGTGCATATATACAGTGAGTACGTAGTCTTAGAAAATTTATTTTTAAAATTTGAGAAGAAGAATTAGAGCATATAGACAGTTAAATATCTTTGACGATTTTATTTTTATAGATCACCGGCCAATATCTATATCAATAACTTGGAATTTATTTTAAAATTATTAAATTATTATATACTCCCTCCGTTTCTTATTATAAGAGACGAATAACCGAATTACGTTGATTAAAAAAACAGTTAAAATTAGTTAAGAACAATCAATGTGTAAAAAGTATAATCTTTTTTCCAAAAATGCCCTCATTAATAAGGAGAGAGCATGAGAGAGAACAATTAAATTATTAAAAGAAATAGAAGTGGGAGGGAGGGAGAATGTGAGTTGGAGACAATAAATATGGGTAAAATAAGAAATCAACACAAAAAAGTAAAGACAACTTTTAAGTGTCTCTTATATATAGGAACGTGCCATAAGCATCAAATATCTCTTATAATAAGAAACGGAGGGAGTATCATATTAAGAAAAAAATTTACTGACGATAAAAAAATTTCATAAATAATAAATCATAATAAGAAAATATTTAACTTACTAATCAGTTATTCTAAGAAAAATTTCATAAAAAAGTTAATATTAATTTTTTTAAAAAAAAGCAATAATGCAGAACTCTAAATGCAATGCATAATCAAAAGAGCCACAATTACACGTGTCTGGATTATATATTGCTAATCAAGGCTGTATTTTTAATTTTAAAATAATAAATACATAAATAACTAGGAGTGGGGCAGAGGGCCATCACTCTCGACACATTAATTAACAATTGAGAGTAGGTGTGGTTTGCCACTTATCTGACGAAGGACATGAATATTTATATGCTCAGCTTTTTCTTCTTTTTGTAGTAACTTGCTTTTCTGAGAGGTTGCTACAGAAATGTATGAGCGCTAAGGAATGATGACAATATCATTATATTGTTTTGTAAATAATTAATATAAAGAAAGGCTGAATTTTAAACCACCTCGCATCACTTTTCATGTAAAAAATAAATTTGGTTTTGATTTGGTGATCTACATATTTAACTTTTTTAAACCTGAAATTGAACCAAAGCAAATATATTCAAATAAATTTTAAAAATATTTTTGGGTTTTCTGAGTTCTTTTAAGGGAGAATTGTAATCAAAATTAAAAAAAATTACTAAAAAGTATCAGTAACAATCTAAACAATCTGTAATAAAAAGTTTTAAAGTAGAAAATAATAACTTCTAATTTGTCATTTAGACTTGTTAGTAGTTTTTTTTCCTCTCAGGATCTCATTGTAATTCTTTTCATTTTTAATTATTGATTCCTCTACTTTAGCAATTAAGCATAAAAAAAATTCATGACTTGTTCTTATAAATAATAAATGAATAATATACTTATATATTAATGTGAAAACTTTAATAGTACTACTTCTTGTTCTTAATATAAGAATTTATTTAATTTTTATTCCGGTTCTAAATATAAGACCCTAATCTACTTTGTCTCTTGTATTTATATATTTTTTCTAAAGTAGTTCTGCTAACAATAGTAGTTCTAACCAATATACTTAATTTGTAAGGATATTTTAGAAAAGACAATATATTTATTATAAATAACTAATTTGATTTTTTTTAATCTTTTTAAATTAATTAACTAACTCTTATAATTAGAATATGATTCGGAAGTAGTATTACGATTCATAAATAAAAACAAACGAGAATACCCACTTCAGAAACAGGAGTAGTAGTTGACGGTTCAATTCAACTCAGCTTCCTCCTGGGCCAACGAAATCAATTCTTACTGTCGCTGTCGGCATCATCACTTGCTTTATCCATGGGCACCTGATGCTCAGCGGCCAAACGGTGTCGCATCATAAGCATGAAAAGATTTCTCTCTCCATCCGCGTGAAAATTGATACCCCTCAGCCCTTTTATCCCTTTAGGCTATATAGTCACTTTTTTTTTTCTTTTTTCCCCCCAAGTCACTCACTTTTTTTTAATTTAAATATCTTTATAACTTAAAAAATTCAATCATAGCAATTATTTTTGAAAATTAACACACATTTATATACTTCTCCGATCCTTAATATAGGACTCAATTATTAAGTTGGTTTTAGTCCTAAATATAAGACTTATTTCTCATATTTATCAATTTTCTCTAAATTGTCTATATAGATACTCCTTCAACCATAATCAAGTAAAAGAGGAAGATGAGATATTAAGAAAGATGATTATGGTATTTTAAGAAAAACGTGTCATATTTCTTATAATTAATTAACTTACCTAACTTCATTAATCTAATCAAATTAGTTAAATTAGTCTTATATTAAAGATCGGAAGAGTACTATATGTACTGTAAAATTATATTTAGATTAAACTTAAACCTTCTGCAATATCTTATAAAAAATGTTAACAAAAACACCCATAATTCTTACACAGGTTAAGATGCATCCTAAAATACTTGTTAAGTATTAGTATTTTAAATTAATTTAGAGTTTATCTAACATCCTAAAATATCTTTTAGCATTACTACCTCCGATATATGAAGCGAGTCCGCATCAGGTGCTCATCGAATCAATGAGCACCTGATGCTCAGTGGTCAAACGGTGTCGCATCGTAGCCAGAGTGACCCACTGAAATGATTTCCCTCTCCATTCCATGTGATGACTAATGCCCCAACTCCTCTGGCTGTAATCACCCTTTCTTTTTATTCTCCATAATTCTTACGTTGGTTAATATGCATGTTAAAGTATTTTCTAAGTTGCATTGCATTTTCTAAGTAACATCCATTTTTTTGAAATATTTTTTTATGCAGCATTCCATATTCCTAGCTAATTTGTGATTTATTTAACACCCTAAAATATTTTTTCAAAAGTATTAAGAATTTAAAGAGGCTAATTTTTTTTTATTTAGGACAATACTTACATCAAGTTTTTTTATATCCATTATGTGGAATTTTTCAATCATACATGATCATGTATCGTATTATTAAAATATTAGTATTTAATTACAAATTCATATGAAACAAAAAAGAACACCTAGCTATATATGATTAGAGAACTTGGGATAATAAATAAGAGAAACTTGATATAAGTTTTTTTCCTTTTATTTAATACACCTAGATATTTGATTTTACTTGAAATATTTTGTCTGATATAAGTTATGATATATTACCTCTGATCCTAATTATAAATCCTTATTTATAGTCTATAAACGAGGTTTTATAATTAGGACCGGAAGTAGTACTACTAAAAGATATTTTAGGATGGTAGATGAACCGCAAATTAATTTAAAATACTGCTACTTAACAAGTATGTTGGGATGCATCTTAACTTGTGTAAGAAGTATAGGTGTGTTAGTTAACATTTTTTTTGGAAGATATTGTAGAAGGTTTAAGTTTAATCTAAATATAATTTTATAGTACACATAGCTTATATGTGTTAATTTCCAAAAAAAAAGTTTGAATTTTTTAAATTATAAACATATTTAAATAAAAAAGGTGAGTGACTTTAAAAAAAAGAAAAAAAGGAAGTAACTATGGCCTAAGAGTAAAAAAGCAGAGAGGGGTATCAATTTTCACGTGGATGGGGAGGGAAATCTTTTCAGCGTTTCACTGTGCTCATGATGCGACACCGTTTGGCCACTGAGCATCAGGTGCTCACCGCTTCGATGGGCACCTGATACGGATTCGATGGCCACCTAATGCGGACTCATATTGCTTCATATGCCCGCCCATATTTTTTCATTTTTTTAAAGTAATTATTATAGTAATTGCTCATATTAAAAGTTTTATTAAATAGTATTTCTATCTAATACATATGATTAGTAATAATATTTTAAAAAAAATAACACATATTTATTACAAATAACTAATTTAACTAATTTTTTTAATCTACTTAAATTAGTTAATCAGCTCTTATATTAAGGATCGAAGATAATATATGAATAAGCAAATTCTACTTTATTCTCAGCTGTGCCATTTAATACTCCCTCTTATTGTTTCAAATTTGACAGTGAGTGTGATCTATTTTATAAATTTTAATTTGAGTTTATTTTAATGTTCAATGCATTTTTTTAAAAATTTGCTCATAATTATTTATTCTTTTTTATTTATCATACTCTTTTGTATTACATTTCTCCCACATATTTTTTTCATTCTTTTTCTCATTTATAGATTATTAATTCTACTCATTTTCAAGTAATTATCATTAAGGAGGAAATAAAATTTAAATAGAGTTATATAATTTTTAATACCTAAAATTTAATCTCATTTTAATTTTGTTTCTTGAAATTTCGCAGACCAAAATTAAAATGAAATCAAATTTTAAGAACTAAAAATAATATTAATCCATTTAAATATTAATAATAAGCATTTTTTAAGACAATTAACCTCAAACATAATTAATAAACATAATTGATATTTTTAAATATTAATGATAAGCTTCTTTTTTTTTTTTGCTTATACATGAGATGGGAAGCCAAATTTATGAAGTTTATTAATTAAAAGACACAACCAACATTTTTAAAAATTTATAAAATATTTTTTTTGAAAAAAATATAAAAAAGGATCATTGAAATTAAAAAATTATATATAATAACCGTTCATAAAAATTATTGTTAAAACTCATACTCTTGTTGTTAACTATACTATTGTTATAAGGAGTCGTGATTTATAATTTTTTTTATTTCAGTGATTTTTTTCTCTCACAATTTTTCCTATTTTTTTAATATTGATCTTATATAATACTCCTCCGGTCCTTATTATAAGACCCAATTTGACTTTTTATTTGGTCCTAATTATAAGACCCAATCCATTTTCTCTCTTATATTTATGCATTTTTTTTCCAAGATAATCCTTCTAATAATGATAGTTTTAGCCAATATACTTAATTAGCAAGGATATTTTAGGAATAATAATACTTATTTATTATAAATAACCAACTTAACTTACTTCTTTAATCTCCTCAAATAAGTCAATTGGGTCTTATAATTAGGACGGGAGGAGTATTATTGATTTTATATATTCTTTTAATATAATAGCAAAGTTGATGGGGACAGAATTAATAGTTTAAAAGGCAAGTGAGAGAGCAATAATAGCAGTAACAGCGAGCTTCTGCTTCTCCGCCTTGGCTGGTCTTGTAAGAGAGAGCGAAGAAGATGACAGAAATCAGAGTGATATGGAGCGGCACAGTGCAGGCAGCGAATCTGAAGGCCGATGACGACGGCAACGACTCGGCTCACCCAACTTTGATCGAGTTATCTCCATTGGATCTGAGTCCCCTCCTTCGTGGTTCCATCCAAAAAGGTCTTCTCTTTCGTATCCCTCCGTCTCATGACAAGTCCTCCGTCATCACTAACCTCAGGCAATCCCTTTCCTCCACCCTTGACTTCTTTCCTCCTCTTGCCGGACGTTTCGCCGTCGTCCAGCACCACGACGGCGGCGACAGTTCCTCTTCTTTTTTCATCGACTGCAACAACGCCGGTGCCCTCTTTGTCGAAGCCGTCGCACCCGACACCACCGTCGCCGACATCCTCGAACCCACCTACGTTCCCCACGTTGTCTCCTCCTTCTTCCCACTCAACGGTCTCAAGAACTATGAAGGCACCACCAATCCTCTGCTCGGCGTTCAGGTCACGGAGCTCAACGACGGGATCTTCCTCGGCTTCACGATGAACCACGCCGCGGTGGACGGCGTGTCGTTCTGGCACTTCATCAATTCCTGGTCTGAAATCTCGCGTGGCTCAAACCAAATCTCCAAACCGCCATTGTTACAACGCTGGTTCCCTCCTGATATCACTCGTCCCATTCGTATCCCTTTCACCATCCCCCCACGAGAACAACAGAATCTAGCAGCTCTCAGCGAGCAGAGATTGTTTCACTTTCCAAAAGAAAAAATCGCAGAGATCAAAGTAAAAGCGAACACAGAGGCCAACACCGACACAGTATCTTCTCTTCAAGCACTTCTGAGTCATATTTGGCGAGCTGTGATCCGAAACCAGAGCGTGGACCCAGAGAAGGAAATGAGCTGCCTATTAGGCATAGGAACGAGAGGAAAAATAACGAGACCTCCATTACCAGATAATTACTTTGGGAATGCAGTTCAACTTGCAGGAAGAGTGACGATGAAAGCTGGAGAAGTGGTTGATGAAGGAGGACTGGGAAAAGTTGCTTGGAATCTGAAAAAGATGGTGTCTTCGAACACAGAAGAGAAGCTCAGGAGCCGAGTGGACTCGTTTCTGAAGGAACCGAGGCTTCAAACACTGAGTGAAGTTCTTGATGATGCGTTGCTGATAAGTAGTTCTCCGAGGTTTGATGTTTACGGGAATGATTTTGGGTGGGGAAAACCAGTGGGAGTTCGAAGTGGAGCTGGGAATAAGAGATTTGGAAAGGTGACTTTGTTTGCAGGAGAAGAAGAAGGAAGTATTGACATTGAAGCTTGCCTTTCGCTTCCATTATTGGAGGCTATGGGAAATGATTCTGAGTTCATGGCTTTTGTTGCACACTAATTAGAATTTGAATGTGTTGCTTAAACTGTATGATCTGCTTGTTTGTGATCTGTGTAATGATAACTATGATGATATTTGTCCAGAAAATCATTGATTATGACATCTGAATTCTGAAACATGACGGTAGTGGGGTCATATTAATATGTTGGAGCATTGATCTTTACCTAACATGAGCATCTCTCCCATGTGGTTTTTAATGATTGAGTTTTGGTGACAATTATAGCAACTAATTAATCTAATCTGAACAGTTTAAATTTATGTATTTTTTTCAATTTTTTTAAAACAATTATTTTAATGGGTGCATAATCTAAAATGAAAATGATTTCTTAGCTATCATTTTTTTAAAAAAATAATTTTATTGTTTAAAAATTGTCGGTTAAAAACTTAAAATATAAATCATTGAAACTTTGAAAGTGTCTTTGAATGATTGCTCATCCATGTAATCCACGTTAAAACTACGTCCTGATTTTTAAATGTTATTACCTCCGGTTTTAATTGTAAGAGCTAGTTGACTAATTTGAGGAGATTAAGAAAATAAGTTATGTTAGTTATTTATAATAAATAGATATTGTTTTTCCTAAAATATCCTTGTTAATCAAGTCTATTAGCTAGAACTACCATTATTAGAAGAACTATCTTGAAAAAAATACATAAATATAAAAGACAAAGTGGATTGAAGTCTAATAAATAGGACCAAAATAAAAGTCAAATAAGGTCTTATATTAAGGATCAGAAATAGTATATCATGTTACTTCTCCTCATGTCCTTAATGAAAGACCTAATTAATTAATTTAAATAGATTAGGGATGTTAATTTAATTAGTTGACATGATATGTTTTTTTTTTAAAAACATCTTGAGCATCTTTTTTAATTTTCTTCCTCCTTATCCTACTTAATTATTATTGAAAAAATATCAATAAGGTTAATTTTAAAAAATTGACAAACATGTGAAATAGATATTATAGTATACTATATAGCATCAACATTAACTTTTCATAAAAGTCATACGTTATATACTCTGGGAGGATTATGTTGGAAAAAGAATCGAAATGGAGTCCGTGAAGTAATCATCGTGGAGAAAATTTAAAATGAAGAGAGCCGACAATCCGAAAGGGAAGCTGAACAGAACCAATGGCTTGTGATCGGTTTTTACCCGATTCGGCCCATACTGCAGATTTAAGTACAGCATTCAATATTGCCCAACCCGAAAATAAACACAGTATCCTTGGGTAATGACCATAGTTATTAAACCCATCTCTGTGCCCAAAATCCAAAAAGGCACAACGCTGATATTTCTTTTCTTTTTTTTTTCATTTGATACAATTTAAATACACCATGTACACAAATATATCAATGTGAAGTTTGAATCAAAGCGTAGCAGGTGGACTATCACTCAAGTAACTTGCTGTTGACATACAACACTAATAATTGAGTTTATGTAATAGTGTTTTGAATATCTTTGATTGGAAAAAAAAAAATCACCTTTCATCTAGAGATGGTGGTTGACAAAAAGAAATTTTGATGTACAATTTCTCTTGTACTTGCTATTTAGGCTTTCATGTTATATGAGAGAGAGAGAGAGAGAGAGAGAGAGAGCAAATGTTTTTTTGTTCATTATTGGTTACGTAAATGGTAAAACAGGGGGATAAAATCTTAAGTAGAAGCACGGCTTACAGAGGTTACTGGTGAGATGCTTTTATGCATATGCTCAAACTCACACAAGCAACCCCAATAAAGTACATTGCACTAAAGTGAACCAAAAGAACAAAGAAACAAACAAAAAGGGAACCTTTGAAAGTGGCAAGCCCAAGTGAGGATTGTGACATTGTTGGGTTGAGTGTGATATATTTCTACCTCCCTATCCCCTGTTTGCAGAGAGGACAGGAGGATATAATTGTGAGCCATTGGTCTACACATTTCTGGTGAAACATATGGGAACAGGGCAAAACTCTCACTTGTTCTTTCTCTCTGTATTTGGCCAAGCATATGCAGCATTCCTGTCATCAATGTCATAAATTCAGTTTGTGCATAAATATAAGACATCATAGAGTGTTACTCATTCTGATCTTAAATATTGGAACTAGGTAAGGATGTTGTTCTGATTTTAAATATCTTTTCCAATTTAATCATGTCTCTTTCCAAATTACCTTATTATTACACATGTTAAAAGAGGATTTTTAATTGAGGAGATAATTTTCGCTGCAAATAATCAAGAAGAGTGTTATGACAAAATCAATACGCATTTCTTTAACATATAATTAACTTCATTAATTTTATTAATACTTACATTAATTTTATTAATACTTATGAAATTAATTACTCAACTCTTATATTTATGATTGGAGAAAATAATTACATAAACAGCAACACTTACTTGGTGTTGTTGAGAGTGTTGAGAAGCAGGGTCATAGGACCAAGAAGGAAGCAGAGAGATTTGGTGCTGAGAAGCAGGGGAAACAGGGGAAGGAGAAAACTGAAATGGGCGGCCATTGCCAAGCAGGGAACCGAGAAGAGGGAAGAAGCAACAGAAGAGAAGGAAGAGAATGAAAGGGAAGGAATAGGATATGGCGTTCCACGCAAGAAGGGTGATGCAGAGCACATGCAGCTTTGGAGCTCTGTGGATTGATCCATGGCCGCAACCAAACACCCACACGTTCCCCATCACAAACCATATTCCAAACATCACTTCCACTGAACTCTTGCACTTGTTCATCAACGCACACATCCTGCACATCACATCCACAAATTTAGTTGGAAAAAAAGAAGTGGGATGTAAATAGAAATTCAAAATCGGCTCCTAATATTGAAACTAGTTGATTGTTAGATTTGATTTTTAAATATAAGACGTTAGTTCACTTTTATCTCTCATATTTTTTATTTTTTAATAAAATAATTTATCTAATTTATAAAATGATTTATAATTTAATGTTATGTAGGGTTATTTTAGAGATTTTTTTTAATATTTGTTATAATTGACTTATTTATTTGACTTTCTTGGTTTATCTAAATTAATTACCTAACTTTTATATTAATAATCAAATAAAATAATAAAAACATAAAATATTACCATGTGTAGCATGCAAGGGATGAAATAAATTAATTTTGTGTCAAGAAAAATTGGAAATTTTTGTGGAAGAAAAATCCAAGTTACATATATACATATATAAGTGACTGGATAACTTTCTTAAACAATCAAAAGTTACCATGAAAAGGGAAAAAATTGAAGAATTTTGAGGGGACGTACGTATGTGCCTTGGCTTTTTCCTCTTCCTAAATTCACTAACCATGCATCGCCCTTTCTAATCTTTTCACATGTCACATCCATAACTATACATAAACCTATCTATAACTCAATCATTATTCTTGTCCTTCAGTGTACTCTACTTTCGTGTACAGCAATACAACCGTGTTTAATACAAGAAAAAATTGTAAATAAAGACTCTCTAATATGTAAAATTATGATTTGAGACCCTTAATTTGAAAAATTAAAAATAAATATCCGATTCTATATTGTAAATATGAAATCTTGGTGAAATGTCTGAAATACCTCTCAGCCAAATTGTGATTTGGTTTTCTGAAATTGTCATTCACTAAAGTAAACTTATTATTTCCTATAGTCAACTTGTCATTTGGCATACTCTCAGCCAAGTTGTAATTTGGTTTACTGAAATTGTCATCTGTTAAAGTGAACTTATCATTTTCCATAGTCAGCTTGTCATTTGGCTGAAGGGGTATTTTAGATATTTTACCTACATTTTATATTTACAATTTGAAACTGGGACCTTTGGAGCTATTTTCTAAATTGAGGTACCAAATCATAATTTCACATATTAGAGTCTTTATTTGCAATTTTTCCTTAATATAATTAGTTTAACTTTAAATTTGATTTTAAATATAAGATTTCAATTTATTTTATCTTTTATATTCATCTATTTTTTTAAAAATAATCTTTATAGTAGTTGTACATGTTAAAAGTTTCATCAAATAGTAGTTCTAGCTAATATACATGATCAATAAAGAAGACGATACCTATTTATTATAAACAACCAATTTAATAAATTTTTTTAATCTATTCAAATTAATCAATTGATTCTTATATTGAATATTATATTGAAACAATTTCATAAATTTTTGGAACACTATTATCCCATTCAAAATGATTGGGATTGAAATGACGCGCTGACACAGGACATAAAAATGAACACTCTTAATTAAACCACACAAGTTGAGACTTCTCTTTAGAAATACCTAGACAAACATACATTAATCTTCTTCATGTTCATGTTAATGAAAATGATTCTTTTGGGAAAAAGAAAAAGTTTATCAAGTTTACCTGGTTTCTTCCTCTTCACTTCCTCTCTGTTGTTCCAAATCAGAGACGCTAAGAACATGTGATTGATCCGAATGAAGAAGGCGATATCTCCCATTGAGCAGCAATAAACTAGCAACGCACAGAACTTCATACCCTAAAATCCAGAACCTCATCGGCCAAACTGGTCTCTCTTCCTGCGAAATCGCCAACGTCACCGACGACGCCGTTATCTGTACCATCAAAGCCAGCAGCTCCATCATCATCCAAGTGGCAGAGTTAAACGGGTTGGACCCCATATCCGATCTCGACCCGTTTTGGTACTGGAAGACCTTCCTCAAGAACACGAACCATCTGGCTCTGTAAATCCTCGTTACCATCCCAATCATGAAGGAATCAGAAGGTGACCTGTTTCTGACACTTTCCAACGTCTGATCTTCTGCTTCTGCAGAATTCATTCCAGAACAGGGCGAGAATTCCTAGGTTTTTTTATCCGTAGGTTCAGAAAGAGTCCAAATCAGGCTGTTCAAGGGACGGAGTCTTCTATGATTCTTAGAACAGAAGGTGGGATTACAAAATTGCAGAGAAGACGCCTGCTTGAAGTCTCACGAAGTAATTTAAAATAGACAAGAAGACATACACGTAGAACCAAATTTGCTTGTTGTAGATACAGAGTTCTGAGAATCTTTCTAGAAATAGCTCAAGCTGCGATGTGTCGGAATCCCCATTAAAAATCCTCAGTTTCTAACTGCTGAAAGAATTGAACTTTAAGGTCTTGAATTCTCAGAGCAGGATCGTTGGCTCAGTTGAAGAACTTTTCTGAAGGGAAACTTTGAAAAAGATGAAACTTTCCGCCGAAACAAAATCCACAGACAACTTCAGGTGGAAAATTCTGGGATAGAGATCAAGAATATGAATCAGAAGAACAAGAAGGGATGCTTCAGAGAGACAAAAGTGAGAAACTTTCAGCAGCAACAGCCTGTGCAGAAAGCTTTTAAAGGGGGGATTTGAAGCAGGAAAAGAAGTATGAAACTTTTCAGCAGCAAGATACTGAAGAAGAAGAAGAAGAAGGTGAAGAAGGTGAGCAAGAATAAGGGGGTGAAGGGATTGCTTGGATTGGAAGGGAATCCAAAAGATTTGGAGGGAAGCTAACGGTTGGCCAACTTCCTCAGTCTAAGCTTCTTCTCCTTTTTTCTTATTTTATGGAGCAAGCCAAACTCAGATAAAAGTGACTTTTGTTCTTCGCACTTCAATTTCAGAACTCACCCCTTTCTTTCTCACATCACAAAATATTAAAAAAAACTGTAAAGACTCCTTTTTCATGAAATAAATAAATAGAAATTCATACAAGTTTGAAAGAGTGATGATTATCTATTGCGTCTGCCAACTGCTTTCATGAATTTTGACCCTAATTTATACTATTAGAATTTGATTTAAATTATCTAACTTGAACATTTTAATATTGAGAAATAAAAGTGGTTCCATCCCAATCAACGTTAATATCAAGAGAATTAAGAATTTATGAAGAGACGTCACAATAAATTAGGAGACAACTTCAACAAAACTAAGAAAGGGAAATTAAGGAATTAAAAAAACAGGTGCTTTGAGGAATAGTTATGTTACTTAAATTCCTGAAATTGGACCTGTATATATATTTTAAGTGTTAACCACTAGCAATTGGTACCACGTTGCTTAATCTTAAATAGTCAAATTCCAAATAATAAATCAATAATAAAGCAGCAATTTTTTTTAATCAAAGAAATAATTTGCGACCTAATTGACTGGAATTAGCTTAACCATCCATCTATATATCCCTATCCCTTGGCGTGATATGCCATGCAACGTGTTGATATTGACATCTCTTGCTAATGGAAAGCAGCCTCATTCAGAAAAATGGATAAATGTGATGGGACCATCCAAGAAAGCTGAAAATTTTAATATTTATTATTGTTATTATTTTTATATGGTCAACTTTTTAGTTTTTCCATTGACTTTGAAGCTAGACTAGGTTCATGTGAACTGAGAAGTCATGATTCAGCTTTTGTAAAGTTTTACTTTCAACCTCTCTTAATTGTGGTCTTTTGTTTTTTAAATTTTCTTTTACTATAACTGATTTCTTTTTAATTTAGATATTATGTTTCGAGTCCAAAAAAAAGAGAAGATATTATGTTTATTTCCTGATTTTATATTTTAATAATTGGATCAAAATAAGAAAGATATTTGTTAGCCAAGGTGGCTAATTCAGATGGCAAGAGTTGGGTGGGGTTAAAAACATAATTAGAAATTTCGTGGTCAAATATTTTTTTTATTTTCTTATAAAAAATTATTTTTTATTAAAAAAGAATGATTGACAGATAGATATTGTTATTTTTAATTTAAAAAACTATTGGATTTAAACTAGAACTTTTTTCTGTCCAAAAAAATAGAACTTTTTTTAATTAAAAAATGAAGTGCCAAATGTAAATAATAATACTGTTAACTTGTATAGGATGGAAGAGATATAATCTGCCAATGAATTTTTTTTCATTTTCCGTACATTTAATACATTGAATTGAGATTACCTTAAATATACATTTGGTGCTAGTTTAATTGAGGCTGTTTGATTCAATTGATCACTCCCCCCCCCCCCAGAAAGTTAACTTTTCAAAAATTTCATAGTTAATTCCTATTTCTTTCAAGTCTTTTTTTTTGTGAGTAATTTTCAAAAATTCTAAACTGCTTTTCAGATAAATATAGTATTAGTTAAAGACAAAAAGACAATTTTAATCGAATTTTATTTCATAATTTTTATGGATAAGTTCAAAAATTTATGATAAATACTAGAAGATGGTTTTGCATCTGCATGATTGATGGAACGAAGGTAAACGCCCCAAAATTAATTAATTAATTATTATTTAATTAATGGGGAAAAATAAAGAAAATTAATTAGTTGAACCATTCAGCCACCTTCCAAGGCCAGAGTATGTTCCCACATCACAATTGGGTTGGTTCCCCTTTTATCATTTTATAGGCTCTTGTCGGATTTAGTTGGTCCGTTTGAATAAAATAACAATAATGTATTGGGTGCCAAACCATCACTAATTAATTATCATTAATACTGTAGTCCAATGTCGGAATCCATAATGGGCCTCATGGCCCAATGATTGTCTTCATAAGCTTGTGTCCGCCAACATACGGTGTTGTTGTATGTTTTAAATAATGTAATTAAGAAATTAAGAAAATATGGAGCGTCTAAATATTATTCCTGTAATCCTATTTATACGTGGGTGTGTGAGAGAGTGAGACTATTTTTTGTCTTTAAAAATCGCCTCATTAAATGCATCACATTTTTTACCCCAAAAAAAATGCATCACATGGACGCAAAATTACACCCATAATATATCGTTAAAGAAATTGTAATTTTCTTAAAAAGTGTAAATATTAAATAAAGATATAGTTAAAAAAAGTAATTAAATTTTAAGACATAATAAGGAATATCTAAACAGTTAAGATGAGAAATGCACTTGAACCTATTCTCTCTAATAACGAGATATCTGCTAAACAAGCATTTTGTGATTTGATGTTTTGGCTTCAAAAGTTCTCATATCCTTTGTCTTTAATCATATTTGCTACTCCTTCGATTCTTAATGTAATACCCAATTAAAAAATTAATGTTAATTCTATATATAAGACCTATTTCATATATTTATTAATTTTTTTCAAGTTAACCCTATTGAAATTCTTCTAATAATAATCAAGTATGAGAGTAAAGGAGGAAATTAAAAAAAAAAATCCTTATGATGTTTTAGAAAAAATACATCATATTAACTAATTTAACAAATATATTTAATTTATTCAAATTAGTTAATTAAATCTTACATTAAAGACGGAGTATTAGTTATTTATCCTACTTGCGTCATTTAGTTTCCTATTGAAAATCCGCCAGTGAGGATTCAAAGAGCGTAAAAATTTGAATTAAACCTGATAATACAGTAAAAGTTTCCTTCGTTCTTTCTTCATTATCACGCCTACCCACATTTCTCACTTTCTACCATCCAAAAACCAGAAAACATGAATTTATTTGCAACTATAATTACACCCCACACTTATCTGATACAGAATATGGAGGCAAACTCCAGAATGAACAATGCTCTTGCACCAACCTGCAGAGGCAGAGAGACTTAGCTTTCTTTCTTCTAGGTCCTGTCTTCTGGAGCATCCAAGACAAACTTAACATATAAATCCTTCACAGCAATCACAACCGTAGTTATCAGTGTCCCCATTACAGCATCCTGCAATACCAGTGGATTTTCTCAGTTGATCTCAAAATTCCAATGAATAAGGGGTCATAATCTAGTTGGAACTAGCATCTTCTGAGATTTATCTCCAGAAAGAGCAAAATACTTGATAGAAAATTTCAGTAAATTGAAACATGAAAAGTGACAGTTTACCTCTAGACTTGTATGGAACAAGGTCATTCCTCCAATGATGGTAAGACCAGTAAGATATTCACTATTCCCAGGAACACCTTTCATGACCTCAGAGGCACAATAATCCATCAGAAATATGTGAATTACAGATGAGACAATGGCCATAATGTATCTTCCTTCCAGCAATAGTTGCAGAGCTGCCGGGATTGTCGCGAGCCACGACGGGCATAGAGGAATTAGAGGACTGATGAAGGCGAGTCCAGTTGACATGTACAGAAAATGAATGTTGAGTAGCTTAAATAAGAGCCAAGTGAGACATCCTTGAGAAAATGAAATCTCTACAGTGGCTAGAAGCACTCCTGATATTGCATCTTCAATAGCTTTCACACATCTATCCCTAGTTGAGCTTGAAACTGGAATCATACCAATCACTTGCTCTGTTACCCTAGAATCTGATGTGATGAGAAAATACAGAACGCAGAAAAACACCATTGACCGATACACAAAGTTTAGAACCCCTGCAGCTCCTGAGATTATGGAATTAGCTATAGAAAATAAGAATGTTGAAGCATTTCGAATCATATTGGTACTACCACCAGCAAGTTCTCTTGCTCCCTGAACTAATTCATGGAGAATAATTACAAGATCATAAAAAATGATGTCAATTTCTTTATGAATCTCGCTCCACTCATGGTTTCTGAACAGATTTTGCAAGCGTGAGAGCCTCTCGGTGTATGATGATGAGTGAGCCATGAAAATCAATGAAGGTGCTGAAGAATTATTTACAGTCACAAAATGCCTAATGCTGATCACAAGTTGAGTCATATTGTAATGTATTGCCAAGCCATCTATCTGATCAGACACTGTCTCATATAACTTCGTACTGTACTTGTCTACCAGTCCAGGAACATCATTCTCATCCATCCACTTCTTCATACCAATTGTCTCAGCATAATTGCTCCTCTCTACACGTTGTTTCAGCATAATCATTGCGTCTTTCCCTTCAACTGCAACGCGATAAGAGAAAAACATAACACCAAACAAAGACCCCATAATCATACCAGCAATCAACCCAAATGCCACCACGGTTTTCAATCGTTTCAGTATTGCTCGTGTGAAGAAAGCACTAATCTTACTACGTCTGAAGCTGTTACTTCTGAGTGAGGACAACGTAGACATCATCGAACTTGCTTGTTCAGAGCTAAACACAAAGCCTAATCCCAGAAGCGATAGTGACACAATACATCCAAAGCTCTCATATGTGATTAAGAATATCCCAAAGGACAAAAGCAAGCGAAGTAAATTGGAAAACCCAGAGCGCTTTGGTATTATTGTTGGAGCCTCATCATAAGATTTTGGCTTCCTTAGGAGAAACCTAAAAACTTCTTCGCGAATCTCAACGAGGGTGCCGACAAAAACACAAAATATTGAAGTTGGAACTGCGAGTACAGTCTCAGTGAGTCCTAAGTTCAAGGGTTCTGCCCAAAACGTGACGAGGGTTTGCTGAATTTCTCTCAGAGGAATAGAACAGAGCACAGCCCAAAGAAGAGGATGAAGATATTCTTCCAAAGGCTTACACACAGTGTATAGTATAAAAAGGGTCAAGACAACGCCTGCTTGGGCCATGGTTATGTATACAGCAAGTCGTACCTGGGGATCGCCGGAGAGGGAGAATTTCTGCTCCGGCTGGCCGCCGGTATTTGGCGGGGCGTGGGATGTAGGAGTTGGAGTTAACGGAGTTGGGGATGGGTTTCTGCTCGATTCAGATCGGGACATGTCATCACGTTCAGGTGGCGTGGTGGAATCTGAATGGGAATGAAGAACTGGCCCCATATCTGATACAGAAAGCTCCACTTCCCAAGCCGACAGAAGCACCAACTCAGGAAGATGGAGAACGAAGACGAAGGCGAAGACCAGGGAGATGTCTGAGAGAATATAGAAATGGAGAAACGAAGACGAAGACCTATGAATGGGATCAAATAATATTCACTAAGAAAGCAAGAGTTTATATATTACATTACACCCTTGAAGATCTGAGAAGGAATCAGCTGATTTATTTATATTTATTTTCAACCAGCACGATATGAATCACAATATTATATCAGCTTTATGGGTAAAGAAGCAGTTTTTCAAAACTCGCATGCTCTATGTGAATCATTTCAAAAGTTCCTAAAAGTTCAAATTTTTATTTTTGTTTCTTGGATTTCATAGTAGTGGCTGGTTAGACTGTTAAAGCTGCATCAATTCCGATTCGGTGATGAGACCGTCAAGTGCTCCCAAAGCTTCACGCTGATTGTGAAAGATATTCATCCGAGCATTGGCAGATGTATTTTGTCTGTTGCTGTTTGTTTGTCCTATGATTGCTTTGTTTATTTTTGTAATATTATCTTTTATTCTAAATATAAAAACTAAGTGAGAATTTTATTTTAAATATAATATTTATCTTTCATGTTTATTTATTTATTTTTAAATGATCCTCATATTAAAAAGTTTTTATTATAAATAACTAATTTAATTATTTTTAAAATTTTTAAAATTAATTAATTATTTTTATATTAATTACCGAAGGATCTTTTGTTGGCGGAAAAAGAAAACAACGATTGAGCGAAATGCATTACTCTTTCAGTCTTTAATATAAGATTTATTTAACTAATTTGATTAGATTAAAGAAGTTAGGTAAGTTAGTTAATTATAAGAAAAGTGATACATTTTTCTAAAATACCATAATCATCTTTCTTAATACCCCTCTTCCTCTTTTATTTGATTATAGTTGAGGAGTATCAATAAGGGTAATTAGAGAAAATTAATAAATATGATAAATGAGTCTTATATTTAGTATAAAACTAACTTAAAAATTAGGTCCTATATTAAAAACAAGAGGAATATAATATAATACCATTCGAAATTTGGAATACTAAGAAAAAAAATTAAAATATTGGAGGGCTATGACCCCGGGTCGGTGGGTCCCTCTGTTCCCTCTGCACTTGGAGGGAAAGAATGCCAAAGACTCTACTTTTTTGAAAATGTAGTGAAATATTCCACGGTTATTAATTTTGAATATAATATTTAACTAACTAATTTAATTAGATTAATAAAAATAGATAAATTAGTTAATTATAAAAATATAATTTTTTTAAAATATCATAATTATCTTCTTTAATATTTTCCTTCCATTTCCTATTTAATTATGGTAGAGAGAGTATAAATAGAAATAATTTAAAAAAATTAATAAATATGATAAATATATTTTATATTTAGGATTAAAATCAACCGAATAATTAGGTCCTATATTAAGGATCAAAAGAGTACTTTAATTTCTTTTATATACGAAAAAAGAATTGGGATGCTAAACATGTCCCCGCATTTAACTTGTAAATTTCTTAGGATGACCTATAAATCACGAGTGACGAAGTTGTTAATTCCTTGAGATGATTTGTAATATTACACGACCCCATGTTCTCACCCGTCATTCCTAACTTGTAATTTTTTTACAATGACTTATTAATTATTTGGAAGTAGTCGTAAATTCCTTAATAAAAGAGTTCTAATTTGAGGGGAGTTTTAATTTTATTAATAGTACCACCTCCTACCCTAAATAAAGGAATTCGTTTGGTTTTTATTTTGATCATAAATATAAAATCCTAATCCATTTTGTTTCTCATATTTATTTATTTATTTTCAAGATAGTTCTTATAATAATGATAATTCTAACCAATACATTTAATTAGCAAGGAATTTTAAGAAAGATAACACCTATTTATTATAAATAACTAATTTAATAAATTTTCTTAATCCAATCAAATTAATTAATTAACTCTTATATTAAGGATCGGAATGATACTTCTGAATTGATAGAAATGAGGGGCATTTTTGGCATCATACCCCTCCTTCTGTCTCTCTCTCTCTCAAATAAGGACCCAAGTTTTTCATGGTAGTTTAATTATTTTTAAAAATAACTTTTTTAATTATAATCTCCTCTCACATTAAAAATTTCATCCCTCAATAACTAAAATAGAGGGGATTCAGCTAGAAGCTATATAAATTCACTCTTATCCATGTTTTTTTGCCAGACACAGATTTTTTTATTAGAGATAATAGTATTGGAGACACTATTCTAAATGTTGATGTAATACTTTTAGATCCAACTTATCCAAATCGATATATTACTTCCAATCCTTAATATAAAAACTAATTGACTAATTTTAGTATATTAACAAAATTAGTTAAATTAGTTATTTGTAATGAATAAATATTGTCTTCTCTAAAATACCATTACTAATTAAGTATCATTTGATAAAATATTTAATATATACAACTATTACAAGAATTATCTTTAAAATAATAAATAAATATAAAAAACAAAATGAATTAAAATATTATATTTAGAATTTAATTAAAAGTTAAACTAACTCTTATGTTAAGGACTAAATATAGTATTTTTTTTCCTCTTTATTTCACAATTTGGCAATTGTAATGGTTTTGAATATTCTTTTTTTGACGTGTTAAAATTTGTTAAAATCACTTATTTATTATTTTAAAATTTAGGTTTTTTTGGGTGATCTTTTCATATGTTGATGCAAATTTTTTTCTCTGTGATTAGTTTGTTCTGCAAAATTTTTGCAGATCAAATCCACCACAAAAATAGAGTCAATCAAAACAATACATGTTTTTTATGACCAAAAAAAAAATCAAAACAATACCTAAGGAAAAAAAAATACAACTAAAAATAAATAGTCTCAGAGTCCTACCAAAGTTTACACGCAATTTTTTCTTTCTAATGTTCTAATACTATTATTCAAAATCATCCTTCCAGGCAAGAAATGCATGAATCAATTTACATCTATACTCGCTTTAATAAATTAAATCCTCAAAAATGGATCATGAGAGTAATTAACAGAAAAGGATACAGGGCCCTTACTATTTAACGCAAATATAATAAATAACCTACTGATACAGACAACAATAAGGCTATGAACAAATCCAGATTAGAGGCAAATTCCAAAGTGAAAAATAACTCACTGGCACCAACCTCCAACCCCTTAATATTACTGAACCGTGAATACATTCCATGCTTAGCTCTCTTTCTCCTTCGTTGTCTTCTCCTTTGGTTCCACCAAAACAAACTCCACATATAAATCCTTTAGAGCAATCATCACTGTAGTTATCAGTGGCCCCATTATAGCACCCTGGAACATCATTACACAATGCTTGAATTACTAACTAAGACTTGTTCTATGTTGAAGCAATATGGATCAAAGGACTTTTAACAACTTAGATTCATGTCCCAAGATCACACAGAACAGAGGGAGTATAAAGAACAAATTACTTGATAGAGAGTATCAGAAAATTAAGTCATGGGGGGTAAAAATTTACCTCCACAGCGGACGGGAATAAGGTCATTCCACCAATGATGCTGAGGCCAGTGAGATATGCACTATTCCCAGGAACATCTTCCAGAATTTCTGATGCACCATAGTCCATTAGGACAAGGTGAGTCACAGCCAAGACAACGGCCACTATGTATCTTCCTTCCAGCAATAGTTGGGCGGCTGCTGGAATCGTAGCAAGCCATGATGGAAATATCGGCAGCAGAGGACTGATGAAGGCGAGGACAGTTGACATGTACAGAAAATGTATTTTGTATAGCCTAAATAAGAGCCAAGTGAGACATCCTTGAAAAAATGCAATCTCAGCTGTGGCTAGAAGGACTCCAGAAATAGCTTTGTCCAGAACTTCAACACATCTGACCCTAGCTGAGCTAGAAATTGGAATCATACAAATCACTTGCTCTGTCACTCCACCAGACTCTGATGTGATGAGATAATATAAAACCCAGAAAAAAACCACTGACTGGGATACGAAGTTGAAAAACTCAGCAGCTCCAGAAATTACAGAATTCACAATGGAGAACAGGAATTTTGCACCACTGCCAAGCACAGTTCTACTACTAGCAAAAACACCTTGAAATACTTCCATTCCTTTAACAGCATATCCTTTCGCCTTCACAACTAAATCCTCCCGGGTAATTATGAATTCTCTAAAAATGGTATCCACTTCTGTATAAATATGACTCCACTCCCGGTTTCTAATCCGGCTTTTCAGGCTCATGAGCTTTTCAGTGTATCGTGACGGAGCCATTAAAGCCGTTGAAGGTCCTGAAGAGTTAACAGGCGCATTAATCACAAAATGCTTAATGCCAGTCACAAATTCAGTCATATTGTACTGTACTGCCAAGCCATCTATCTGATCAGACACTGTCTCATATAACTTCGCAGTGTACCTGTCTACCATTCCAGGAACATCATTCTCATCCATCCACTGCTTCACACCGAATTTCTCAGCATAATTGCTCTGCTCTACATGTGATTTCAGCGAAATCACGGCATCTTTCCCTTCAACTCCAATCTTATAAGAGAAGAAAATCACACCAACCAAAAACCCCATAATCATACCAATAATCAACCCAATTGCCACAATAGTTTTCAATCTTTTCAGTATTCCTCGTGTGAAAAAGGCACTAATCTTACTGCGTCCGAAGCTATTACTCCTGAAGGAAGACAATGTGGACATCGTCGAATTGATACTAGTAGAACTAAACACAAATGCCAATCCAACAAGCGACAAAGATCCAAAACTCCCGATTATCTCATAAGCAATTATGAATATCCCAAAGGACAAGAGCAGACGAAGTATAGTGGAAAACCCACTTCGCTTCCTTCTTGGAGTTTCAGATTTAGGTTTTCTGAGAAGAAACCTGAAAAGTGCTTCGCGAATTTCAACAAGGGTTCCGACAAAAACCCCGAATATAGCAACGGGAATGGCGAGTACAGTCTCTGTAAGGCCTAAACTCAAGGGCTCAGACCAAAATGCGACAAGGGTTTTCTGAATCCCTCTCAGAGGAATAGAACATAGCACAGCCCACTGAAGGGGTCGAAGATATTCTTCCAAGAGCTTACACACAGTGTATAGTATAAAAATGGCGAAGGCAAGACCAGCGTGGGCCATGGCTATATAGAGAGCAAGGCGTACCTGGGGGTCACCCGAGAGTGTGGGTTTCTGTTCTGGGTCGCCGGCATGAGGTGGCGCGTCGGATTTCTGCTGCGGCGCGTGGGATGGAGGAGTTGAAGATGGTTTCCTGATGGACGCGGATCGGAACATGTCCTGCCACGCTGGGGTGGTGGAACTGGGGTCTGAGTAAGGAACTAGCTCCATATTCAACCGTAAAAGGTACGAAATCCAATTCCTGAGCTGATTCAATCAACTCAGGAAGATGGATGACGAGAACGAAAAGCCAGGGAGATGTCAGAGAAGACAGAAATGTGCGTCGGGATAGCTTTAGGCTGTAAAGAAGGAATAAGGATGATGATTATGATAAATGATTGGAGCTATCGTACTCGTGGGTCAGCTTCAGCTATGAAATTTTTTTGGAAAGAACGGAGAAATGAGTTAAAAATTGCAGTTTTTGCTTCCTCGCCGTGCCTGATCGATCATTTCTGGGAAAAGTTTGAGCATTTTTTGAAGCGACGAGAAAATTAATTAAAGAAGTCAAAACGACGGCAGTAACGCCGCAGCTCCTGGCGCATATTAAATTTTGAGCCTTATTACGCATAATTCATCTGTCTGTTAATTAACGATTATTTTCCAGTTGACAACTCATCTTTTTAATCATTAGGAACATAAGATAGACTAATCTCACTCTTTTCTCCTACATTTACACAGTACACTAAGATTAAAAAACTTAATTTCTTCATCCGATCAATGTTTGTAACATCAATGTCAACTCCTTTAATATTTTTTGTTGAATACATAGAAAATTTATATATGAAAATTTACAATGTTTATAAATTAATAAGTAATTGATTATGAGATTTATTTCTTAAATTTTATGTTTTAAATAAAACCAAGATCTAATTGGATATTACAATTTGGCTAAATTTCATTTAGTTTCCCCACTTTTGATGATAGAAATATTTTAATTTCGTTGATTATATCATCCTCATATTTAAGATGGAATGTGCACCATTAAGGAAAGTTTTAGCCGTAGATTAAGTGCTTTTGTCAACTTTTTTTTTTCCCCCCCACAAGACAAAGCTTAGAGGCAAGTTTTGAATTCCACAAGTGCCTTCACTTATGGGAAAATTTTAGATATATTTAGTAGTATTGTAGTTTTGTGTTCCCCTAAATGAAACGTTGGCCAAAAGGGACTATTCCCTAATGACTCTCATTATTCATTATTCCTGCTCTGGAAATTGACCATTTTGGGGCTTTAGTTCCAATTCTCTTATCCTTCTTTTGATTGCACCTTTGAAAAAAAAAAACACACATAATTACGATTATATCTTGCTGTACTCTCACATGAGTTAATTTTCATATACATAATACTCCTCAGGGTTTTAAATATAAGATTCTTATAAAGATCATATATTTAGGACTAGAGGAGTATATATATATATATATGCATGCTTTTTCACTTTTTCTTTTGACCTTGTAATTTTTTTTTAAAAAAAAAGAGTCACATCAACATATAACTTCCTAAATTATCTATCAAATAAAATATTTTAAATTACATTATTTTTTTTATTTTATGAGTTTTTTTTTTTTACTTCAGTCGTTTTTATAAAGTGTAAATATTCTCTCTTCACAAGACAAAGCATTCTATCTACTTTATTCTAATATAGTATATATGTATCTTAAAGTCAAAATCAAATATCTCATGCTTTATCAAAGCTCGATGAAATATTAAATTTGTGCTCTGTATGTATGTATGTATGGCTAGCTTCATTCAATCATCACATGCAGTATAATTTAAAATCCAATGACATCTTGTATCTTAAATATTTTTATTATTTTTTGGCGAACTCTATCATAATATTTTATGTTATAAAATTTAAATTTAAATTTAAAACATATTTAAAAAAACACCATATAACAAAGTATTAATCTCCTTGTAAAAATTGACGCAAAAACATTCCCTTTACTATTAAAAGAATTAAAATATGCTTCTTAAGCCCCCTGAATAATAACTCCTTTGTGAGTCCGTACTTTCTTCCACTTTCATCTCTCTTTCCCCTCTGCCTTCTCAGTAAAATACACAACAATACTTAATTACCAACATATGTATGTATGTGTCACAGGTTGGAGGCATCAATTCTGATGCGGAGGCAAAAGTAAGCAAAGAGACGAAAGATGAGAGCCATGGCGAGAAGAACCCAAACTTCTTTCAGACCTCCTTTCAAGTTCACAGTGTCGAAAGAAGGAGAGCTCTGCAGAGTCCTGCACCCTCCAACACTTTCACACTCATACAGTTCATCTCCTGAGTACTGCACTTTTAGCAGAAGCCTGAACCCATAGTACATGAACGACAAATACTTCAACCACCTCATGAACACTGGTATGTGCTGCAACATATCAACAGAGGCAATCAATACAAAAATTCTTCCTTTTCAGTCTCTCTCTCTCTATATATATATACCTGGACATAGTAGCCACCAGTGAGAAGGAATAACATTAGGATCAAAGAAGCAATCATGCCAGCTCTTTGAATGCTCATAATTGCAGCTCCAAATAGTTCTCCTGCTCCCTAGTGACAAAGACATGTAATTATATTATTGATTAAATCTTGAAATGGGTATATTCTGAATATTGATTGGCTTAACTTACTTGACTGGTAATGGCTATCAGAAGCACAGAGAGTAGTGTGAGGGAGAAGGCAGTGACAGTTCTCTTGAAGCCAGCCATTAAGTACACGATAAGCATGAAAAAAGTAGGGTAGAACACATGAGCTATCATATCACACAGAGTGCTGCTTGCGTAGTATACGCTTAATCTGTACATGTCTGCTTTCCTTTCTTTCACCAAATATATCTTTTCAAATGGAAACACATATACTGCTCCAAAGATACACGAAGATGTCCAGAATATACAGATATAGAACATTAACCCCACCTGCAAGAAAGATAGTGATTGCCAAATAAGTTTGGATGGTATGAATGTATGCCACAGAATCTATAAGATATGATAGTGAAACAATGTTTTGGGGGAATCACCTGATCTCTGAGTTGAGCCTCTGTGTGGGTTGAAGATTTCCACCAAAGAAGGCCCAGCAAGACTGCAACTCCAAGTGCTTGAATTAGTCTGACCTTATCAAAGTAGTCTTTGCATCTTGCTTTGAATGTTCTCATTGACACAACCCTGAATTGATCTATCCAACTTAATGTACACTCCTTCTTAGCTTGAATGGCTACTTGTAGATGTTCTGGTGCCTTTACTGCTCCATGGTTCTCTTCTTTCTCCCTCGGCTCCAGTAAACTCTTGTACTTGAGTTGTAGATGCTGATACAATAAACATACAGTTAGCAATAATAGGAGATAATAGAAATCACTTCACTAAAGTTTATGAACTGCTTATATCAGAGATAAAGGAAATTATATTAAAAGACTATTCTTTCTTACTTTTATGACACCTGTTGAAGGGTCATCAGATTCTTGATGTTCCAAAACGTCTTCTGGAATGCTTATGTCATTCACTTGTCCAGTGGCCAAGTCAAGCAAGAACTCTGCAGGATTCATGGGTATGTCTGGGATGAACCCCAAAGATGAGAAATAGTCCATTGAATCTCTAGCCTTCCCATAATAAATTGGATAGCCTTCTGATATCAGAAGAAGTTTGTCAAACATGTGAAAAATCCTGCTGGATGGCTGATGAATTGTTGTGATTATTGTCCTTCCAGCCTGTGGGTAAAACCAGATATAACTGTGAAACATGTGAAAACCTCCATTTCTCCCTCTCTTTCGGATATCAAGATCTTATGAATGACTTTATGAAGTTAGAGAAATATAAAGAGAGAAAAGGTGGGTCGATTCTCTGTAAGTGTAGATTATAGAAATGTGAGACCTACTCGTCTCTTTTTTATCTTTCTCTAACTTCTTACTGAAGTACTTTTAAGAGATCCTCTTCCCTCCCTCTCTGTCAACTTCTTTTGAGGTCACTTAAGAAGAAGAACTATTCTGTGTCAGGTATAGGTACCTTTGCGAGTCCATGAAGAGTGAGAAGGAGTCTGTTTGCTGAAGAGGAATCAAGGCCTGAAGTTGGCTCATCCAGTAGAAGCAGCGAAGGATCCACAAGAATCTCATGCCCTATGCTGGTTCTCTTCCTTTCCCCTCCTGATATGCCTTTGATAAATCCTCCTCCTATTTTTGTGTGCCGACATCTACATATGATTATACAACATACTAATTTAGGTAGACTTCTCCTTTTCTCCGTCAAGGTAAATATCTATAGCTTGAATTTTTTCTCTCTAGAGAGTTAGAAACGACAATGTTAAAAACTGAAGCTGATACTGAAATTTATTGGGCTTGCACACCTTTCAAGGCCCAGATCCTTTAGAGTTGCCTCCACTCTCTCAGATTTTTGTTGTTGGCTCATGTTGGATGGCAACCTTAAGAATGCCGAGAAGACTAATGTTTCTTCCACTGTAAGTTGTGGGAACAGAACATCATCTTGTGTCACAAATCCAATTCTGCAAGCACCAAAAGTAAGAGAAAGTAATTACAACATTAATAGAATATATGTGAATGTTCCCTAAAAAAGGAAAAAAGGAATATATGCATATGAGACTCTGCTTGGAGAAAACTAACGGATGATCTGCAAAATGAGAAAGTGCATGATGGGATAGAGGAGGCTTAACCTTCTCTTAATAGCAGAATTGTATTTAACATCATTGTAAGTAACTTTTCCTTTGACATTGTCAGCTAGTCTTCCGCCGATGACTTTCAACAAGGTTGTCTTGCCACTGCCAGAAGGACCCATGAGAGCAAGGATCTCACCAGGACCTATGCATCCAGTTATACCCTTCAAGATTTTCTTGTATCTGTCTTGGCTTTCACTGACTTGTGTGGCCACCTTTGACACCGTTTTCTTCAGCTTGGACACCGCACGGCTGTTCCTCACCTTGTACTCTACATCCTCAAACTGCATGTTAACTAGGGATCTGTCTGTTACTGACTTCAAGTAACAATGATAGTGAAGCCCTAGGCTGCTAGGTGCAATTGTAAAGTAAATACTACTTCTATCGCTAAAAAATGTGTTATGAGGGCAAGTTTAAAAGGAAACTACTTTTAAAAGACTAGCCTAATATAAGGAAGAACCCCTTAAATTTATAAACTTTACTTTTCTTGCATAGCCTCCCGACGTGGGACTCTACATAACAAAACATTAAAACAAAGACTCGGATATTGTAGAATTCAAACCTCATAAATCAAAAGAATCATGTTAAGAGAGCTTTTGTTTCATAGCTGGAATCCTGACCAAAATTGAATCCAGATTAGTAATAGAATGATTATAGTTTCTAGCTACCTTGAGAAATATGGGGACAGGACGATCCTGGTTAAGAGTGGAATGATCAATCACAATGTCAATCTCAGACAACATGTTGTTGTTGATGTTATTGATAAGGTAATTAGGCTGAGACATCAACTCTATGCTGTGACCAAAGCCATTGCTTGCTGCTGCAATCTGCAGAGAAACCTCCTGAGGATCACTTTCATCATCATCCCTCCTGATTTCCATGACCAGAAATGCTCAATGAGACACAGAAAAGCAATGGGATTTGGTTTGAACTTGAAGCTAAATTTGAGGTGTCAATGTTTTTTCCTTTTTAAGAGATTCACAGATGTTGTGAGTCAACTGCATTGGACCAGAAGAAGAAGCAGCTTGTGTATATAGGGGTGGCAGGCTTCTGTTTGGTGTGCCACATGCTTTTCATGTCATCTTCTTTCGCACTCACAGCATCACACACCCTTTTAACCCCACCTCTATATTATTGCTTTTTGTTTTTAATTAGTTCTACTTAATTTGGTTTTATTTATTAACAAACAATATCACAAAGTCTGATGCACCATTGAGTAGTATTCTACTAAGAATAGTATTTATGTTGTCTCTTCTTGAGAGTTTATGTTGTTATGTGTATTGTTATTGTAAGAACAGATGTAAATTGTCCAACAATAATTTGCACCATCCAAGTTGTTATGCATTTTATTTTTGTAAGTTGTATAAATGTAGACGTAGTTATATAAATATTTGGTTGTTGATAGAGTCTAATAATGCCGTGCAATTTATGTAGCTGATTCTTTTCTAGTGGAATAAAACTTTGTTACTGTATAAATTTGAATATTGGTGGCATGCATATCATTTTTAAAAAAATAGCATTCTTTAGGTTAAAATAAGTAGGATATTTTTTAAAAAACTCTCAACTACAAATTTAGATTTTTTTATAAATTATAAAAAATTATGTTTATTTTTTAAAAAACTATACCTTCGATCTTTTAATTTTATAAGATATAATTTGATCCCTTAATTTTATAAAGTAGGTTGTTAGTCTTTTAACCTAAAAATTATTAGTATTAAATAATGGTTTTTTTTACCATCATTATTATTTTTAAGATTAAACTTAATATATCAATATTTCATAGCGTCTTGTAAATATTTAAAATGTCAATTCTAGCATGTGGTAGAGTTAGAGAATTAAAGACACTTTATAAAATTAAAAGACTAACACTAATGGGGTGTTTGGATATCCCAAAATCACCTAAAAATTATATTTTTATGTAAGTCGAGACAAAACTTCTTTTATATATTTATTTTGTATATCGTAAAATTATTTTAAAAATCATAGTTTGGTTTTTACTCAAATACCCTTCTAAGTGTTTGTTTGGAGTTGTCTATTAATATCATCAATACGTATGAGTAAATCACGACAAGACTTCTTTTATATATTATTTTGTCTACGATAGATCACTATTAAAAATCTACTTTTAAAAGCTTCAATTGTTATTCTGAACAGGCTCTAAAATAAAGTCTTATGTGAAGTTTTTTTCTTTTTTTTTTGCCAAAGAAATCTTATGTGAAGTTAAAGGGCATCTTTGCTGTTTATTTTGAAACTCTACGTAACATCTTTATCGCCGTTGTTTTTTTGTGGGGCAGAACAACCTCCATTGAAATTGAACTAGAACCTACTGGCAAACTTCTTACTACCACCAACCAGTGGGTGGATCTCTCTCCATATATAATCTGCACAACTTATGGTAGACAAACCAAGACAATACTTTTTTCCCATAAAACAATAAAAGATTATAAATTGACAAAAGTTTACAATGAAAAATAAAAAAAGAAAAATATTGCATAGCTGAATTCTCTTGGAAATAAATTATTTGACTGCTTCTAAACTACATTTTCTTCATCACGATTCATGCTCCCTTCCTTCACATTCTCGTAAAGTCTTCATTTGCAAAACACTGCTTTAGCACTTTCTGGTCAATTACACGTGTCATCGAATCGTGGCCTTTCACAATCTTTAAAACCAAGTGATGAGTCTATTTATAAATCATGAGAAATATATGAATTATCTCTTTGCTTTGTAACACATTAAAAATCATAGTAAATTACATTGAATCACTCACTAGTATTTAACACTGCCTCCAGTACTTAATATAAAACCTTGTATGACTTTTATTTTGATCCTAATTATAAGATCCTAATCCACTTTGTTTATCATATTTATGCATTTTTTCCCAAAATAGTTCTTCTAATAATAATAGTTCTCGCTAATACACTTAATTAGTTATGATATTTTAGGAAAGACAATACATATTTATTACAAATAACTAATTCGACTTATTTTTTTAATTTTCTTAAATTAGTCAACTAGCTCTTATAATTAGGACTGGAGGTAGTATCAAATATGAAATATCTAACAATTCATATTATCCAAAAATTATGAACCATTTATTTATTTATTTCTTATAATCCATACAATATCAAAAGAGAAGCTACATAATAATCAAAGATTAAGTTGGGATTTTTTTTTTGGGTGAGATAATGAATTTAAATATGGTTATGTGAATTACTGGGGGAAAAAACCAAAAGCAAAGATCCCCTGAGATTTCCTTTTTCTTTTTCTCTTTTATTTTTCTGTTGATCATCATGAGCTCGTAAAATCCCTCCCTGAAGAATGTCCTCGCTCCTTGTATTATAAGCAACTTCACCGATCATTATCTTCACCTTTCTCATATATATAAATCCAAATCATTTTTCTTCTTCCCTTAACTCGGTGAATGCAATCGTTGCAAAATCGTTTTCCTCGTTCCAGAAAAAGGGGTCCACCTGCATTTTCCATTAAATATGTGATCTCCCGGTAGATTCATTCGAAATTTTGGCTGGTATGGGGTGGTTCGATTCGTTGTTCGGAGCTGAAGCACGCAAAGTCATCAAAAGAAAGGATAGCGATGCAGGCGAAGCCGGTTCGTTTCTCTCAAATGATTAAGAGTTAATGCTTCGGTTTCGTTATTTCTATCAAGTTCTTTCGTTCTTGATTCAGTTTGTTTTTCTTGTTGGTTCACTGTGTTATTGACTTTTTGGGATTTGCATGTTCGAAATATGAAGCGCTCACTGCTCTGTTTTCATGACAATACAAGTGCTCTGTTTTTACTGATTGATTTTTTTTTTTTTCCTGGGTGCAATCGCAACCTTAAGAGATGATCTATCTGCGATAAGTCGTAATTTTATCGCACGTGACCATGGATCAAAAACACTTTCTCATAAAATGTAGAATCGAGACCAATGATGGCAAGGAAAAACTCAGATTCCTTTGAGTAGAATGAATGACTAAAAGCATGTGATTTTTTTTTTTAAAAAAAAAATCCATGTTCAAAACTACCAATTAGATCGGACAGTGCTCAAATCTAACCCAATAAAATAACAACAAATACCAGATGGTTGTTCTAAAGGATTGAAACTGATGAGGATTGTACGTGCTAATGTCTGAAAATTTAGCTGAGGTTCAACATCTAATTGGATGTATTGTTATGTCATATTCGATTGTTTTCTCCGTTGAGAATTGCAGTGATGGGTTGAGTGTGTGTTATTGTTGATGAAAATGATTGAAATGAATAGGTAGGGCATTGGAAGAGCTGAGATCATCTCTTTACAATGAGCTTCGAACATCAGAAGGAGCCAAGCGCCAACAACAACGATATTGTGGACCAGCGGTCGCATTGTCGTTCAACTTCATGGTTTCTGTCAGCATCATATTGGCCAATAAATTGGTTCGCATTCTTCACCTTCCCCTTCTTTTCTTCTTCCATTAAATTGTTGCATGTTGGCTCGGTGTTGAGTTAAGACACCTCTGGACTCGAGTTATACGTGTGAGCTTAAGAATTGTGTTTGAACTAAAAGGTAGAACTTAATCTACGGGAGTTCTAAACTGAAGCTTTTGACACTTGACAGGTGATGGGGAGAGTAGGATTCGACTTCCCGATATTTCTGACACTTGTTCACTACGTCACTGCATGGCTTCTACTGGCATTCTTCAAGGCAATCTCAGTGCTTCCTGTCTCCCCTCCGTCCAAAACCACTCCTTACTCTTCTATATTCACTCTGGGTGCTATCATGGCTTTTGCATCTGGCCTTGCCAACACCAGCCTCAAGTATAACAGGTTCGTCCTTCTCATCTTTCTTTATCACCTTTATAAACAGCTTACTTTCCTTGTCACTAACAACTATCTTGGTCTTGCAGTGTTGGTTTCTACCAAATGGCTAAGATTGCAGTCACCCCTACAATTGTTCTTGCAGAATTCTTGCTTTTCAGAAAAACTATTTCCTTGCAGAAGGTCAAGAATTCAACTTCCTTTCCTCATCAGTCATCACTTGATTGGAAAAACAAAGAGGGAAAAAAAAAAAAAACAATCGCCTTGGAATTGCACCTAATTGTTTTTTTTTTCTTTTCTTCTTTTGGAGCATTTCTAATGGATGACTGTGATTGAAATGATGCAGGCTTTGGCTCTGGTTGTGGTGTCAGTAGGTGTAGCAATTGCAACTGTGTCAGATTTAGAGTTTAATTTATTCGGCGCTCTAATTGCTATCGCATGGATAATTCCAAGTGCTATAAATAAGATTCTATGGTCTGCTTTACAGCAGCAAGGCAACTGGACGGCTCTTGCGTATGTATTAGCAATCAAAACATCCATAACCATGAATATATATATATAATCATATTAATATATTTATATATATTAATATGATTATATATATATATATATAGACACACACACACACAGTCATTACCTAAGAATTTCTATGAAGCTATGAACAACTGGGTTGACAAACTTTCTCATTGAAGGTTGATGTGGAAGACAACCCCCGTCACAGTTTTCTTTCTGGTACCTTTGATGCCCTGGTTGGATCCACCAGGAGTGTTATCCTTCAACTGGGATGTTCACAACAGCACTGCCATTATGATATCTGCACTACTTGGGTTTCTCCTACAATGGTCAGGGGCCTTGGCTCTCGGGTGAGTCTTCCTTTCTCTTCCAGTCAAAGATAACATTGACACAACACAGTAAAACATGAAATATTTCTGGGTTATTCAGAGGGTTCAACAAGTGCAGGACACAAGAGCTTCATATCTCCCGACTATTATGTTGCATTATTGTGGTTCTCTCTCATTTTAGCTGAAGAAAGAATTTTTGTTGGCTGACACCATGGTATGGAATCTATGCAGGGCTACTTCCGCTACTTCGCATGTTGTTTTAGGACAGTTCAAGACCTGTGTCATTCTGCTGGGAGGCTATCTTATACTGGATTCAGACCCTGGGATTGTGAGTCTAGGTGGTGCTGTCATTGCTCTATCAGGAATGTCAGTTTACACATCATTGAACTTGAAACAAAAATCTCAGGAAAAGCAGCTTCCAAAGACCAACTCGAATCCCTCAAAACCAAAAGAAAGCACTGATAATAGCACACAATTGGATGTGAAGATCACCTCCACGGTCGTCTAAGTCTAGTCGCTAGTCAGAGCTAGAAGCACCAAATGTTTAGACACCTTCCTCACATAACCCCTATGCTAGGAAGTTATTATACCCAATTCCGGTTTGCAAGAAGTATTTTTGTATGGGCAGACTAATCACAGTAATTCAATCACATGGGGGGAAAACATGATTTATAGTGGGTTTTGTCTATAGGCTCAACATACCCATGTGACTATTGATGATTGACTGAACAATTTAACCCACTCGAATCACTCGGCTTTTTTTTTTTTTTTTGCTCCCGAATCCTTCGTTTCATACATTCTCCTCAAAGGCTTATTTTGAAAGAGGGCAGGCTTGAAGAAATGGTTGGACATGCAATTTTAGAGAATATTAAAAAGATTAGTTTGTAAAATTAAGGCATTAAAATAAAACACTATGATAAGTTAAAAGATTAAAAATATACTTTAATCTATTAATTATAATCATAACTGAGTTAACTCAATCCAGGAAAAACTGAAGTTAATGAAATTCCTTGTGGCAATGTTAAAAGACAGACGCAAGGTCCAAAAACGTCCATGCAAATATAAACCTGCCACTCAAATACAGACAGAATGGTGCATCAACATAACCTCAAAAGGCGGGGAAACCATGATAAATATAACATAAGGCTCTTCTTTTGCCCCTCTTTTCCTGATAAATATGAAGCCTTACTTAATAGTTGTCTCCCAGGCATGACGAAGGATCAGGGAAGGCAGCTGATAAAGTTTAGAACTCCCACCAAGGCAAGAGAAATAACATCAAATATATAATCATTGTTTTAATCCAAGAGAAACAGGGAGGCCGACAGTGTTACTTCAGAAAACTACATATCACAACTTCCATGTACTAAACTGAGCTGTATAATTCACTGTCCTTCCGTCAAAATGTAATATACAGGTGAGATACTAGAAAGGAAAATTTGGTAAATCTCACCTACTCTATTTTAACTCTTGGCTTCCTATAACATCACTTGGCAGGAAGTACATACATATAGCAACAGTCAAATGTTTTCTAAGGGCCAAAAGAATAGGTAAGGAATAACTCGACCCAATCAATTTTTTCTGAAAAACAAAAGGAAACCTGCAACTAGCACCCCTCAAAATCGTTAGTGTTGTTTATTCCAACTGAAGATATTACTGAATATTGTCCCTCTTCTGGCCGCATTTCTTATTTACACTCAGATCAGGCCTGTTCTTCATACTACCTGGAGATGGTCACATTAAACGTGCTATTGAACATATGGTACCCGGAGATGTTTCCAGCCTAGAAATTAGAACTCCAATTCATCTGCGCATGTTGAGGCTGCTGATAAGCAACAGAAGGGGCTCCTGCAGTTTCAACTGATCCAGTGACAGACTGAGACTGTTGCAGAAGGGTTGAAGGTGAAGGTACTGTCTGCCCTGGCTGATAGATACCTGCAAATGCATGAGCCGCCTGAGTTGGGGGGTACATAAGATGTGCCTGGTGGTTAAAATTATACAGAGAATTAAGTTGCAAGTTGGATATTTCTTGGCCAGGAGCAGGTATCCACACAGCTGAACCTTCACTCTGCAAAAGAGAGAAAAAGGAATAATAACTAGAAAAACAAACAAATTGATGATAGAATGAAATAGGCACTGTTGTAAATATATGATAGAAAAAGCATGGTCTCCTATTGTATCAAGAAACTGTCAAGGGTGAAACAGAAAAATGTGGGGGAATGAGGACCAACCAGCTGTCCAGTTGTTAAGACGTGATTTTCCTTTAACTGAGACATAGCAAGGTCTTCATTTCCAGTCAAGTTGGCTGAATTCACTGTCTGATTAGGTGAATATCCAACAGGCGAAGAGATAAATGATCCAGGAGAAATTCCAATATGGGTTGTATTTCCAGTATTTGCTCCAGCCTTCAACTGTTGGAGAGGAAATTTGATACCAGCGGCTGCAGCAGGTACGTAGATGTTGCCAGTTGATGGTTGTTGAGGGAAGCCATTGTGGTTTAAATATTGGTGTATTGGGGACACATAAATTGGGGGGTAATAAGGGCCATACGGGAAAAAGTTGGGAGGGTATGGTGGCCTGAAGAAAGAAACAGATGCAGGGGCTGCAGGCAAAGAGCTCTGCAAAGGTGGCGTTGGGCTAGGGCTTGGGCTTGGGCTAGAGACAGAATGCGAATTTGCACTCTACATTTTAAAGAGAATCAAAGAAACATTAGTAATGAATAACTGAAAGCAAATATAAAAAAAAAAAGAGAGTAAGTAGCAGCCAGCTTTACAATACAAAAAGAATTAGTTCGAAAGAAACAGTTTTTAAATAAATAAAAGATAAAAGATGGAGAGACTAATATGGAGAGACTAACAACATAGTTTGAAGGGCGAGTTGTTTCTTGTGCCTGAGGCTCAGCTCCCTTGAATTGAACTTGCTGAGTCCCTAACATGGTGGACATGAAATTCAAACCATAGCCCTGACCATTCATAATAGTTGGTATTGGTGTAGCCACTGGAGCCAACAATGCCTCCTGCTTCAGCTGACCAGCCTTCGGTTCAGTACCAGAGACAGCATTAACTTCTGAAACTGATGGCTTTTCAATAAGATCAGATGGAGAACGTGAATGATCAGAATGATCGCCAGGAGCAGTTGATGATGGACTTTGATTACTGCACCCAAACATGAAGTACCATCAAAATAGAGATAATGGTAGCACACCATGGCACAATGACACCTAGAATCAAGGGGGGAAACAATAATGCAGACTCTCGGCTACCAAAGATCTTGAACAAGGTCTGAGACGTTCTAAGAGAGAAATTTCCCACTTTCCAGCACCAGTAACGGGAAAGATAAGACAAGTCTCAACCCCAGCTCACATGCAGTCCCTGCCAGCTGAGGCACAGTCCACAAAAGGGAGAAGGGAACAGAGACAAAGAGAGACACAGACAGAGAGAGACAGGGAGACAGAAAAATCTGAAAAATTGACATGCACACCAAACAGCATACATTAACCACAAACCTAGAAGTAGCAGTTTTGTCACTCCCTTGAGAAGGATGAAGAGCAGATGAAGTATTATTGTCACCACCAGTTGTGCTAAACATCTCCTTCTTATCGAAATCAGAATCAAAGCTTCCAAATATCAGACCACTTTTTAAAGCCTCAGGAACTTGGAAATGATTCGGAAAAGTAACAATAACATGTTGCCTCAACTCATCTGACGATTGCATACAAACTTCAGAAGTTGAAACCTCTGAGATATTGATCGTTTCAGACACAGAACAAAAAGAATTACAGAGAGATTAAATCGAAGAAGTATTGATAATTGACAATAATTGATAACAAAACAGAAAGATTTAGATTATTACACTTTATAATGGTAAGGAGATATGCAATAAAAGAAATAAAATTTCTACTAATAAAATTTTGGGGAGTATTTACAGAAGAATCTAGACACAACGGCCTGGCTTTATTAAAATTACATTCAGATTGCAGGCTTAGTCCTGATGGTTCTCCCTAGACAAATTTTTATAATTTCCGATGCACTTTCAATGATTCTTCTCATTGACTAATCTCCTTCAAATTGTGTAGGCTTCTTTTTCGCTCTCCTAACATATTGTCCTTCTCTCTATACTATGATGACCTAAAATAATACCTGCTCGAAAAAGTAACACACCAGAAAATTCTATAAAGATTTAAAGCAATATTAGAAGTACAAAATGGAAAACAAAAGATATAAAGCAAACATGCCGCTCATAAGAATTAGCTAGCAGAATGATAGCCATACCTGGATGTGCCTGGCTACCGCAACTGGAAGATCTCATTGAACCATTATAAGAGGGGGAGGAGGACTGTGCAGCCTCAGATAACTGGTTCTCCTCAGCTTCATTTGACTTGTTTGGGGTTTTTGTATTGTTTGTCAAATTCAAAGATCCAGATCTTTCACTCTCAGATGCTGGTAATTCACCAAATACATGAGGAACAACTTCATTTCCATTAAGATGATTCAATCCATTAGCTAACGATTGGCCCCCAACTTTCCCATCATTTGCACTGTGAATAACAGGGTTCTTCGAGATAGATGGTGCCAGAACAGAATCTGAAGAAGAATGAACACTGGGCACAGATGAAGCAGAAATTGGAAGTTGATTGGAACTTGAGTTGGGCTTTCCTTGGTCAGTTCTGGTAACTGACTTAAAAGTCTGAACAGGGGGAGATACTGCATCGACCACAGCATGAGGTTGGGTATTTTCACGTTTGGCAGTGACATCAAGAGCTGGACTTCCATTCACGCTCCCCATGAGCAATTGGCCTGCTAAACCTTGACTAGCACTCCCATTGCATTGATTTGCAGGACTAGGTGCAACAGCTGAAACCCTAAAGTGCAAATGCATGTTAAACATTTATCAGTTACAGGATTAATTGAAAGAAAGGGGGAACTAAAAAAAGACAATTAATAATATGCAATGATAATTTGTTTTGAAAAGCTCCAAGATTTTTATTTTAGCATCCGCATCTATTAAAAAAATCAGAATATAAACATTAAATTAAATCTGGACTGGCCAAATTTGGAGTGTCACACATCAGTTTCCAGGGCTGGAAACCCTTAGAACTAGCAGGCAACAGCATTGTTTTAATCAATTCTGTAAAAGACACTGAGATCTATGTCAATAGGATGTAATGACCCATTCTAGGCAAGAAGCAATGCGTGATCCTCAAGAAGTACCCGGAAAAAAAAAAGAAAAAAGAAGCTAAAATAGAAAACAAATTAGGAATAGAAATATCACTATCCAAACAAAGGATGAAATCTCAAATAGCTAGTCGACAAGTTTAAAAAAGACAATTAAAAAAACAAATTCTAGATCGGAAAGGGAAAACACATATGCAGAGTTACTGGGTGTTTTTTATCATTTCCTCCAAAAAAGAAAAACATGTCGAGTGAAATTTTTTCACAGGTCAGCACCACAAAGTAAGTTTTTCAAAACATTATCTCCATATATTATGTTTTTACAGGGGAGTTGATAACAAAAACAGAACAATACCTGCATCTGGTCCAAACTGAAATAGCAACAACATCATAAACTAATTTAAGTAACATCAATTTCTTCTTCTCATACTGGATTCAAAACTAGCTACCTTGTGATATGTGATGCCCCATTGCTTTTTGTTTTTTGTGAAGCAGGCTGAGTGGAGGGTGCATGGCCTCTCTCTGCAACGTGATTGACTCCAATTTCCTTACGGTTAACAGCATTCCTCCCACCACTACCATCTAAAAAGAAATATTAGTGAGGCAACGAGTTGTTAAAAATAATATAAAGCTTGCTGATGCCTAAGGAAGGTCTCTGCACTCATGCGCTCTTTATAGCCTTAGAACCGCAGGGACATTAACATTTTTTTTTTTTTGAGGGGCGGGGGGAGGAGCTACTCCGAATTCTCATCCAGTTGGACCCAAAAATGTGCTTAATATTGATGAAAGCCCATGCAGCAGTGGGCAAACGCATGAAATGGATGACATCATCAATATATATATGGTTTGATCAGAGTAAGTAATGATCTTTTTTTTTGGGGGGGGGGTGATCACCTAAGTGCAAAGTGTATAGGAAAAGCTAAATTGGATGACAATTATGGTTTCGCATTGCCCTTGTACGGAAATAACTCTAATGCTCTATCTAAACGAGTCAAGGTAAGAAAAAGAAAATAGAACTCAAATTAAACCTCCGCAAAAAAGGGATGAATAAAATACCAGTAAAATTAGAGGAATAGCCCCCAGAAGCACCCCTTCCTCCTCTCCCTTGGCCACCTTGCTTTGGCTTAGAATCCACAGAAGCCCAACTGCTCAAGCTCTGCAATGGTTGGTAGAAATTTGCATTGACCAGTTTGTGTAAATAAGGACTAAATGAACCCAACTGGAAGATACAACCACATTCAACTATACATAGACAATTACCCGAAAACAATAAACTAAAGGCACAACAAATTAGTATACCTACAGCCAGTCATCACAAAATTATGAGTCCGGATGTTTAATTCTCAGAAAGTACCACTGCAGGATTACATGCTGCCATATGTTACAAACAAACAGCAATCTGACAACAGGCTGCAACCAGATATATCAGGACATTCTGACCAAGTGAGACTTGCTATATAGTTTACACGTGGAGTCTACCAGTCATTCTGTTTGTAAACCCCCGCAACTTCATCTCATTATAGACCACTTTTGAAATGTTTTTTACAGACAACAAATCAAGATTCATTCACTTCTACTCATCAACATTAAACACCAGACGTATAATAAACATTCTGAACTATACATATTCATATATGAACTCAATCTGCTCCTACAAGCCTCAGTTCAACTTTTGTTAGCAAATAAATAAAAATAGATTGCAAGAAATGCGGGAAAAAATTGCAGAACCTAGTAATAGAAGGAAGAAATCATACCTCCTTCTTCCGGTCTCGTCTCCTTCTAACCTCATGAAAAGTATCTGCAAACCGAAAAAAATTATTAATGAACAAATCTGTTGTTCCCAAGAACAACATAAAAAATAATGGACTTCTAGAAAAGATAAAAGCATTTTTTTAACAGATATAAACTAGCATAAAATATGGGTCGCGATTAGTGATACATGCAGCATGAGAAATTTATATCCATTCCTACAAACACAATAAACGGGCACGAATAATAGATTAATTTAAGCCACTAAACCAAGCACATTATGCAGACTGAATGTGACCGAATGAACATAACAAGAAAGAGAAAATGAACTAGATGAGGCACGTATGCTAACTCCAAGGCCCTTTAAAGCAAATGAATCAATCACTCATCACAGCACTGCATAACTGGCGTGCAAAAACTTTCCCTTGTCCAGACAAGGGACGAATGTAGAGAGCAGAACCGTGGCACTGTCGTACTGATATACATTTTCCATATTTTCAATTTTTCCAAGCACTACTTAGACTCCATAAAAAGCCAGACAGGTCTCTCAGTTTGATAATCAGACGGCAGCACTCATGTAAAACAATGATCTTGAGCTAAGATAGATGAATGATAACATAAACTCAGCCGTCGCGATCACCTGCTTAGCTAACTGCAACTAATTTTTGCGAGTTGCAATCATTTCTTCAATTTCTTCATAAAATAAAAAACGACTAAATTTTAGATTAAAAACCCACTTGATCGCAGGCACAAACAAAAACCCTTAGATGATGTTGATGCGAAAAGTGAATGATTAATATGAAAACGAAGAGAGGTTTGAACCTAAATACAAAAGCTTCTGGGCTGTCTCGTCGGGATCCATGGAGCATTCCGTAAGGACGGCGTATATGTCATCGTCACTGTGCTGCTTGCCGGTGATCTCCCTAATGTTCCGGATAATTTTATGACAATGGCTGGGGATCGGAACCCTAGCAGACCCGCCGCCGCCGCTCATAGTTTTGATGTCGCTGTGTAAGGGAGGGAAGGAGAGTGTGACATAAAAAGGGAAGGGACAGTAGCAGTAGAGAAGAAAGGTTTGTAATGACAATGACGATGGGATGTATTTAAGGGCAAAAAATTTGCAAAACCAATCAATTGTGATTTTTTATGTTTTTATTTTTTTTTCCGACAATACGTAATTAAATCAATTACGATCAATTATAATTATAATTAATAATTAATTGAAATCTGATAAGCCGGAAATTTTTTTTTTACCTGAGCCGGAATATTAATTATGAACATAATTATGGCTATGAATTATTTGTTATAAATTTTATAGCACACATAAACAAATTAATTGTTGGTCAGATAGATAATTGATTTGAATATAATCAGCTGTAATTTAATAATGGGTGGCAAAAAAATTACATTAATAATGACCATAGTTTCTAGTGTCATTATTAAAATAATTAAATATTGAGTTCCATGAAATGCAATATCGTTTATTGTGATTTTTTTTTTTGCCAGTTTATTGGGAATTTGATAACATATGTTGAAATCTATTAATATTAAATTAATGATTTTTTTTTTTGCAGGTATGGAACTTGAAAGTTTTTTACCAGTAATATGTAACATTAAAATAAATTAATAGAGATTGACTGATTTGATTAAAAAAATTAACTAATATTATATTGTCATCAATATTCAATAACTTATAAATCATAAAAACAAGTTGTATTATTTATGAAGAGCAGTAAATAATGTGACTGATTTCTCGAATTACGGCTTTCATTTCTTCTACGGATCAAAGGGGTCAAGTATGTTTAATTAAATTCAACATCCAATTTCCCAACAACATAAATAAAAACATAAACCATGTCTCGGGGTTTTGAGGTGACGTTGCCGATTTGTCAGTACTAGACATAAGCACCGTTATGTAGCCCTTTTTTGTAGGTTAAATTTTGCTGATCATTAGGCACCTATTTTTCTTCAATTTTTCTTTGTATTACCTCCGGTTCTAATTATAAGAGTTAATTGACTAATTTAAAAAGATTAGAAAAATAAGTTAAGTTTGTTATTTATAATAAATAGATGTTGTATTTCTTAAAATATCTTTGCAAATCAAATGTATTAATTAGAACTACCATTATTAAAAGTACTACCTCAGGAAAAAAAGGATAAATATGAAAAACAAAATGGATTGGGATCTTATATTTAGGACCAAAATGGATTTTGTTATATATATAATCTTTATACACTATCTCCTAAATATTAGAGGTAGATAAGAAATTTATTTTGATTCTAAATAAAATACTTTAATCTATGTTGTCTTTCAAATTTATAATTTTTTTCCTAAGTAATCCTATTTTTTTTAATTTAGAGGGAAGACGCTAAAGACATAAAGTTATAAGTGGGATCCTAGCCTCTCACTTGCAAGAGGACCTTACATGCTATTATGCTATAAGATTTTTGGCTAAGGATTCCTATTAGTTACACATATTATACTATTTCGAGTCTTTATGAGGTGTTTAGGTAGAAACAAAATCATGATTTTAAAAGTACTTTTATCATATACAAAGTAAATGTATAGAAGAATTTGTTTTGATACATGAAAAAGTGTTTCTGAAAAGTGTTTTCGGAGTTACCCAAACACTCCTTGATATAAAATACCCCAATCCACTTTGTCTTTTATCTTTTATGTTTATTCTTTTTCTCAATGTAGTCTTTATACTTGTTTTTCATGTTAAATATTTCATTAAGTAGTAATTTTAACTAATACACATTATTAGCAATGATGTTTTTAGAAAAATAACACATGTTTATTATAAATAAATAACTTGACTTTTTATTTTTAATTTACTCTTATATTAATATCTGGATGTACTATTAGGGAGGGTAGTGTTATATATGGAACTAAATTCTAATTAGCCCCAAGATACTTTTAGGTTTTATTAGCTATAACAGTAATAATTTAACCCATCCTTGCGCAGCATGTTTTTAAAGGGGAAAAACAAACAAAACTTTCGCATGCAAGATGCTTCCTTTTGCACACAAAATCCACCTAATTCTAAAAACGTCTTGGAAAACATATAGAACTTACTTGACAGAACTCTAGAAATCACTTATAAACATGTTTTATATAAGTTGAGATAAAATTTTACTCACATACTTATATCATATAAATAACTATTAAAAGGTTATTTATAAACTATTTCAAATGGGTCATACTGCCCACAAAATACATGCAATCATTGTTTTTTTAGACCGCACAATTCACTAATTGTTTGTGTTTCAATTATTTGAATGATTGAAAGATTTGAATTTGAATTATTTGAAGTTAAATGAGTAATGACAGCATTTAATATCATAGGCTATTCATTTATAGAGGGGATAATTTGTTGACGGGTCGTTGCGTGGAATATTACAAACCTAAAAAGGTTCAAACTTTATGGATATTCAAGAGCCAATAGCATCTCTAGAAGAAGATGCTACTTCGGCGAGGAAGTAGGAATCAGTGATAGGCTTGATTCTGTTGAGGTAAAGCGAGACCTATACTCTTTTAATACCAAATATAAAAGTTATTCAGTTAATTTGAATAATCAAATATTGCTTTTATCATGAATATAAGATATCGAATAACTTTGTTGTTCGAGTTTATAATTAATTTTTTTCAAATTATTTTCATTTATTGCACATGTTAAGGGAATTTCTATTATGGGTGGTTCTGATGCATATGGTCAAATTAAGATGGTAATTTAGAAAAATTAACACGTTTGATACTAATAAGTAATTTAACTAATATTTGTAAATTAGTTGGTTAGCTCGAATATTAAAAATGGAGGAAGTATTAGTTTATATATAAGCTAGGTAATTAGTTTGGAAAAAACAATAAATACAAAAGATAAAAAGGATTGAAATTTTATATTTAAAATCAAATGTAATCTTCTACTAGCGTCTACATTAAGAATTAGGAAAAAATACTTTCACTAGAAAAACAAAAGAAGATGCGCCATTTCAATTAAAAAAAAGAGATAAGGTTTGTCCAGCATCCTGATATATTCTATCAAGTGCGTTCAACATTTAAAAATATTTTGCTGTGCGTTTAGGATTTTGAAGTATTTTTCAGATATATTCAATACTCAAAAATAATTTGTGGTTTATTTTTTTTCAAAGTATTAATTTTTTAAAAGCCATTGTATTTTTAAAATATTATTTTGTGAGCAATTTTAATTTTATCATTAACTTCTCAAAAAATCCATTTAATAAACACATACAAGTACCATAAAGTATTTTTCAAGGTGTTAAATAAACTACAAAATACTTTAAAGTATTTTGTCATTAACTCCTCAAAAATTCCATTCAATAAATATATACAAGTACCATAAAGTATTTTTCAAGGTATTAGATGAACTACAAAATACTTTAAAGTACCAGATACACTTGCAAAATATTCTAGGTGCTGTACACATTACAAAATATTTTAAGCTATTGAATACATCTGGTAAAATATTTCAAGATGCTTGATGCATATTAAACTTAAAGAAATATTACCTCCAGTCTTGTTTATAAACAAGATTTTATGATTAGGACTAGAGAGTTAATGAAAACGTTTTTTGGGCCAACCATAGAAACACTAACTTAGTACCGTACAATAAAACCAACAAATTACGGCGAAAAGAATCAGTCATTTTGCGCGAGAAGTTAAAAAAAAAAAATCAAAATCTTTGATATATTTTCGGTTCTACTGTGGTTGGGTCTCACATGCTATGTGTATTAATATGGAAACACACGAGTGTATTGTCACTGTGTAATCGCTAATGAAAATTGATTTAATTAAAAACTTGTCAACCATTAGAAAATAGGAATCTTGAAATTGACCCATGCAATGAGATTGCTTCCTTGATACCTACGAATTTCAATAATTGACATGGCAAAAAAAAAAACATGCATATATTCATAGAAAATTGTCAACTACTACTTCCGATCCTAATTATAAAACCTTGTTTGTAGGTTAAAACCTTATTTGTAACCTATAAACAAGGTTTTATAACTAGGATCGGAGGTAGTATTTAAAATTAGTACTTCGTAGTCTCAAAAACGAGAAATTTGGTAAAAAAAAAAATTCCTATTTAAAAATTTAATTAGCTAAAAAGATCTTAATTTAAGTGAATGTAAGTATAACTCATGAGTTCAATGTATCTTCCATTATGTGCAGCATACTATCTCCGATCCTAATTATAAGACCTAGTTAACTAATTTGAGAAAGTTAAGGAAAGAAGTTAAGTAAGTTAGTTATTTATAATAAATAAGTGTTGTCTTTCTTAAAATATCCTTGTTAATCAAGTGTATTGGCTAGAACTACCATTATTAGAAGGACTATCTTAGAAAAAAATGTATAAATATTAGAGACAAAGTGAATTAGGGTCTTATATTTAAGACTAAAATAAAAATCTAATAAGGTCTTATATTAAAGACCGAAAGTAGTACTCCTCCGGTCCTTATTATAAGACCCAATTTGACTTTTTATTTGGTCCTAATTATAAGACCCAATCTATTTTCTCTCTTATATTTATGCATTTTTTTCCAAGATAATCTTTCTAATAATGATAGTTTTAGCCAATATACTTAATTAGTAAGGATATTTTAGGAATAACAACACTTATTTATAACCAACTTAACTTACTTCCTTAATCTCCTCAAATAAGTCAATTGAGTCTTATAATTAAGACAGGAGGAGTATTATCTTTCCACACAGCCAAAAATATATTGTATATAGCGAAAGATACTTTGTACTACAATAGATCATAATTATAACTCCTCAAAGTCATATCTTTTTAGCCAATTAAATTTTTAAATGGGGCAAATTTCCCCCAAAAACTGTCACCTATTTTTATTTTATGGATTGCATGCATCGGAAATTTCAGCGTTCATGAGTCTATACGGCGTCGTTGGGGTTCTCTTCCAAATTCCAATCCAACTGCAAAGTTCATATTTCCTTCTCGACCTTTGGGCTCTTCACTTCTTTTTCCCTGTTTGCCGCCGCCGTCGCCGCTCTCTTTGGGTGGCGATCTGAGTTTACCTGATTGAACTCGGTGAGTAAGAGCGAGTCATGGGCAGCGAGTTTAGGTACGAGATCGCTCAGAATGCGTACATAAAGCTCGTGCTCCACTCCCTCAAGCACAAGACATCCGCCGTTAACGGCATCTTGATCGGCCGCGTCTCTTCAAACGATGTCGTTGAGATCGCTGATGCAGTCCCTCTTTTCCACTCTGGCCTGGGGCTTCTCCCGCAACTCGAGATCTCCCTTATATTGGTTACTGCTCTCTCGCTTTTTAACGTTGTTTTGTATAATTTTATGTATTACGATTTGCGAATTGGCCGCATTCAATTCAATTCTTACTGAAAGTGGTGTGAAGAATGAAGCTTGCTGGATTGTGAAGTCTTTTCTGGTTTTTGAAAATTGCATGTTCTGGTCAATTTGTATTGGCTTGATTTGGATTGAAGCAAAAGTTGCTTCATTTTAGCTCCACTTTTTCAACTTTATCTAATAGCCTGTCAGTTTATTTGTAGTTGAATTTATGCACATAGATTCTCAGTTGAATTCTGTTTATCTTGCAATGAACGGTTTGGGAGATAGATCGAGGAGCACTTTTCTGCTAAAGGCCTCAACATAGTTGGCTATTTTCACGCAAATGAGAGGTCTGATGATTATGCACTTGGTGGTGTGGCAAAGAACATTGGGGATCATATCTGCCGGTACTTTCCCCAAGCAGCCACTCTTTTGGTATGTGCTGCAATTTGAATTGAAGTGTTCAAGCGATTCAAAGCTCTTTAACTTTTATGCTGCTCTAGTAACATCTCTGTGTTCTTTCTTGGATTATTTTCAGTTGGATAACAAGAAGCTTGAGGCTTTGAAAACTAGCAAGGAACATGGTCCTGTAATGCAGGTTATTAGCATTCTTAACATCTGAAACTATATTCACCAAGGTTTCAATCTTTGGTGGTATTTTCTCATCCTTTTTGCGTTTGATTATGTGCAACTTGGTTTCTTTGTGTTAATTTTTTTTTCCTTTTCCTTTTTCTCTCTCCTCGACATGTTTTAAATTGGGAGTTGTCTTTATTTATTTGTGGATTTAATAGGGTGTATCAGCCCATATCTGATGGCAAGAGTTACTGAATTGCATAGTTGAATATTTTGCTACATTTGGCATGATCTTTAACCTCAAGTTACTAATTAATCAGATAACAAATATTCAGCGTTCTGGTTATGAACACTAACTGATATCTTCTCATGCATAATTTAATCGTTGATCAGGATTGCCCTTGTGTTAAGTTTATTGACCTTCTTGTTAGTGCTTATTGATAGCTTCAAAATCCTATTAAAAAATTTTCATGATCTGAATGTTCTCAGTAATTTCATTTTCGTGAACTTTCCTAAACTTTGCTTAGGTGCTAGGATGCTCTGTTTAAAAATTGTCTTCTCGTTTGTTTCTATTGTTCTCCTTTCATCTACTTGTTTTTAGGATAAAATTATTTAGGAACGAGGATCAAACACTAATGTTATAGGCCGCTAGCAGTATAGGACTACAAGCTTCACCCATCTGCTGTTCTCTCTCCCCATATGCGGCAGGAAATCAAATTCCAAATTTGTGCAAAAGGAATTTTATTTTGACTAAACGCTGATACTTTCATTCACAATCTAAAATCAAAAGGGGGGGGAAAAAAGAAGCAAAATCACCTTTCAACATAACCCAACCCAATACTCCTAGGGTAAAAGGATTTTATGTTGTCTGCTTTTCACCTGTCACAAATAACAGTATGTTGAGAAAGGACCTAGCAAAATCCTATCACTCAGAGAATAAGATTGCATTTTAATATGCCTTCCATTTGGTGATGTCAGCGAAAATATTTATGGCGGTTAAGTTTTGCTGATCACACATTATCTTAGTGTTCGTCTTCTTTTTCTCCATCGCTAGTTTTTGTATCAATAGGCCATTGATCTCCCAAAGCTACATTTGTCAATCCACTCCACTATAGGATAAATCCTGCCAGTATCATTTTGTGTTTTATTTTTTTATTTTTATTGGATGTCTGTGATTTTTCATGCTAGTAGCATGATGTCCAATGTGTCCTTATGGATTTATTTTTAGTTATTGTTGATTAAGGCTTCATTGTTGATTTCATTGTTAAAATCTTTATAATTAAAATTCATGGGTATGTCTATATACATGTGTATGCTAGTTGTTGTGTTTATGCTGGAATGATGTGTATATAGCTCGAATGGTTCCTGCTTGCCCAGTATGATAAATAGTCATGGTTTGGCTGGATATGTTAACCAAGATTATCCTGTTTTAGCTTTATATTCGGGATGCATCTAAGAACTGGAAGCTGGGACGGTCAGATGGAAACCCAATATTCACTTTCAAGGATCCAGCGGCAAATGTGGTCTTGTTGGACTATATTTCATCTGAGAAATGGAGTGACGTAGTGGATTTTGATGATCACCTCGATGACATAAGCAAGTGAGCATTTCTCTACTACCACTTCCGTTTCTGACCGGCGATTTTCACATGTGTGCATTTTACTTTACACGGTTTATATACTTCTTTTCAGGGATTGGCTAAACCCAGGACTCTTCAACTGATCCAATCTCTATAGTTCTTTTTCATTTTGCCAGTGAATGACGTTCATGCTTATTATGGTGCTTATGCTGGATTCTCAACGGTGAGAAAGTTAAGAAATAACTTTAAGCTCCGGGTAAGTTAGTTTAGGAAGTTTCTGCTGATGTATAAACCAGAAATTCACATCCTACGGAACAATTTTCAGTGTCTGATTCAGTGAAGCGCTTTGTTTTCCATGGTGGCGGCTGCATTTGCAGGATCAACTCTATCATCATGGATGTAAGATTTTAAGTGTATATTTTAAGTATTTATATTTGAATTTCCTTGCGTTGCTTGCAACAAGTTACTAGTGGCAGAATAAACATTTGATGTGGCCACTTCCACCATGCTGGGTAATCTGGATTTATCACTGAGATAGACCCGGTGAGAGATCAAAATTTGTGAGATTGGTCCATTAGTTTGAATTAGCTTTCGTAATCTATAGCCAGTTTTGTTAGCTACTTTGTAATATTGTTTCATCAATCGTCACCATAACACCCGTCTTGCTCATATATGGCGTTTGTTGAATGGGGTCTAAAATAATAGGATTTCGCTTACATCGTTCTTCGATACAAGCGGGTCAAAATAAACGCAGTAATGTCTTTTTCCTATTTATAAGTACTTAAATCTACAAACTGAGAAATGTATTACATTGATATTACTGGTTTTTAATATAAGGGAGTGTTTGGATAAAAACCAAACCATGGTTTCAGAAGTGCTTTTAAGGATTACGAAGTAAATATGTGGAGGAGGTTACCTCGTTTTGCGGAAAAGTGCTTCTTGAACCACGGTTTTGGAGCACCCAAACAGAGCCTAAGAGTTAGTTGACTAATTTGAGTAGATTAAGAAAGTTTGTTAAGTTATTTATAATAAATAAGTACTGTTTTTAAAAAAATATTTTTACTAATCAAGTGTATTAATTTTAACATTTGATAAAACTTTGAACATGCAACAATTACGAGAATTATTTTGAGAAAAAATATAAATATAAGAGATAAAGTGGATTAAGGTTTTATATTTAGAATTAAATTAAAAGTCAAACTAGATCTTATATCAAGGACTGAAGGTAGCAGTTTTTTTTTTTATATATTTACTCACTTAAAAAAAGTATTAAAAATGTGTTTTATATTTTTTCTTACCTATTTTTTTAAATCTTTCTCTGTATTTATTATGTTAACATAGGTAAAACTGGAAGGGAAAAAAAAACTCGTTAGTTATCATACAAGTAATTTACATTTAGAAACATTTTTTTTTCATAAGTGACTGGTAAATAAGAACATAATGGTATAAAACGTGCCACAGTTACGTTTTAGGATTTGACATTAAAATGTGAGAATTTGCAGCTCTCTTCCAAATTCTGTGGCACCCAGATTTGAATTTGTAGTTTATGATCTAAAGTTCCAGTTGGTTCGTGGAAGCATTTTGATAAAAGTGAAAATGCAAATGAAAAATGATTGAGTTTGAAAACATGTTTTGTACGACTGAAAATTTTCATGCAAATCAGATCGGTTGCTAGGGCCTAGGAGGGGCAAAGTGCGAATATAAATAAAATAGATTTAGGTTATGTTGGTGAAAAACGGGCTCCTAAGTAATCATAGGAAATGGAGTTCCCATTTTAATGAAAAATGTTTTTTTTCTAGATAAGTCAAACCAGACTTAAAACTTAATATAAAATATCTTTAAAAACTTATTTTGAAAAATGAACTTTGATTTCTTTTTTCGGCAGGCAAACACGAATTTTGATTTAACAAGGGGAAAATTCAATTAAAAAAAAAAAGAATACGTCCCAACAGTTTATTCATAACTCAAAAGACCCAGATTAAAAATAGAACACATTCTTTTTGGTAAGAAAAAAAATGAAGCACCTTGAATTGCTGACGGATTTTTTTTTTTTGGGACAAAATAACGCTTACTCTTATCTACGTTTACTTAATGGGCCTCCAGATCCATGAAGCCCATTAAATTTGGACCTTTGTTTGCAGGCCTAGACCAACTGAACTGATCAAGAAGTCCATGAAGCCCATTTTACCCTGGCTGGGGGGGCTTACCGAACTCGCGCCTGCCTTTGTCCGAAAATGGCACTTCTGATATTTGATATTTCCCGCAAAAACCCTAAACCCTAGTCTTCTTTGCTGGACGTTGATCAGACCTCAGTTGCGCCTTTGTTCCCATAGTCGATATGGCTTCCGCAGCAATTTTGAATGACAATGACATTTCCGATTATTCTGAAAGTGAAGACGAGGAAATGGTAGGACCCGACAAGACCGAAGGAGGAGAACTGGAAGACGATTCTGGTTCTGCTTCTGAAGATTCTTTTGACGGCGATAATCCTCTCGCTAATGATATCTTCCAAGAAAGTGACGAAGAAGGTATGTTCTTCAGCCACTCTTAAGTTTGCTATTGTTGCTCTGTTGCCTTAGGTGTTCTCTGACGTTTGTATTTCTTTCTATAGCAGGTGCTGAAGAGGAAAGGGATGACTCAGCTTCGGGTACGTATTCGGATTCAGATTCTGATGATGATATTGAGAAAAAGTCAAGAGCTATTGATGAAGAAAGGGCGCGAGAAGAAGAAGATGCAGAAGCTGAAATGAAGCTCAATATTCAGGGAGAATCTGATGAGTTTAAATTGCCGACCAAGGAGGTTTTCCTCATCGATACATAGTTTTTGATGCTCAGATTGTTATGCTTGATGAATGTTCTATAATCCATGCGAAATCTTTTGTATTGCGCTTACATTTTTGTTCTTGTTTCTAATTCTTAGGAGCTCGAGGAAGAGTCTCTACGTCCACCTGATCTTCCAAATCTTCAGAGAAGAATCAAAGAGAGTTAGTTACACTATCTGTGCTTCAGGCTCTTTTTTCACGTTGTCTTCTTTGTCATTATTCTCATCATTTGAATTGAATGTTTACGCTGTTCTAGTTGTTCGAGTTCTTTCCAATTTTAAGGCCTTGAGGGAAGAAGGGTCAACAAGGAAGGATTACATTGACCAGCTTAAGAAAGATTTATGTTCATATTATGGGTATAACGAGTTTCTTATTGGGGCTTTGGTTGAGGTTCGTATTATTGAATTGTACTTCTGCATCTCCTTCTCTTTGACTTTTCTCTCCTCTTACTTTTGCCTATAAGGGAAGCTGTATCTTGTTTGTGAAGGTTTGTCCGACATTTGAACATTTTGTGTTTAATTTTTCAGTTGTTTCCAGTCGTTGAACTGATGGAATTGATTGAAGCCTTTGAAAAGCCACGGCCTATATGTTTAAGGACTAACACTTTGAAGGTAGGATAGCCTGCTCTCATTTTTGTCATCCTGGGTTGATATTTCCATTTGGTTATAACCTTGTTTCCTAGTGATTCTCTTTTGCATTAAAGCAGAAACTTGTCTTTTTTGTACACTTAGACACGCAGACGGGATTTGGCAGATGTTTTAATAAACAGAGGAGTAAATCTAGATCCTTTAAGTAAATGGTCAAAAGTAAGTATTCATCTCTTACATAGTGTTTCTATATCTTATTTTGTTATCATGAATACGAGGAACTTTCTAATTTTGTGACAGGTTGGGCTTGTTGTGTATGATTCTCAAGTACCAATTGGTGCCACTCCCGAGTATATGGCTGGTTTCTATATGGTAGGTGGTATTATCCTTCTATGGCTTCTTGCCCCATTACATTTAATATTGCATGATCGACTAAGGATTAGCTCATTAACTATTTGCAGCTTCAAAGTGCTAGCTCTTTTCTGCCGGTGATGGCCTTGGCTCCCCAAGAGAAGGAACGGGTTGTTGATATGGCGTAAGTGATACTTTATTTTCTGTAGCCTGCTCACACGGAATTTTTATGCTGTTTTATTGTGATATTCTATTGTTGCTCAATATTATTTGAGCAAGTCATATCATATCCTCATGGGGTGCTGATCTCAGCTATTGGCAAGTTATCTTTCCACTCAGGTGGGAAAGACTTGATGTTCTATATACTGGGAGTGAGATGCCAAGCTCTTGATAGTTGTTCCCCTTGTATCTTACTTCTTTAGAACCAATACTCATTTGCATCTGCCCTTCTTCTATATGAAGCAATTAATCATTTGAGTCCTGCCATTCGCTGTACTTGTCACTTGTAGGATGTGGTTGGTATACATTCCAGTTAGCTCAAAGCCTTGGTTGATCCATTATACGTTGTCAATTTTGAACTTGATATCCAGCTTGCTGAAATAGTACCATGCTTGTTTAATTACATTTGGTATGCAGTGTTGTATGCTATTAATTGGGCTAAATCTTTATTTCCAAAAGCATGTTTTGATAACTATGGTTGATTTGGCGTGCTCAAGATATTGCCAACTTTGTATGGGGGCAGTAGCAGTCTCATATTCTATGTCGTTTGATTTTGAGTCTAGTTCAGCAAAAGTTTCAGCTTATTGTCTCATTTGAATCTAGTTGCCCTTTGCTCTTAGTATGCCCTTAGCCAGCACAAATTTTACCCTATGGCTCTTTTCGTTCAAGTATGAATGGTTTGAATTGGTTTTTTGGGAGATGGATGATTACACGGATGACATAATCTTTTATGTCTCAAGTACGTCTTTACTTTAGCTGCAGTGCTCAATATGCCTCGTTCACTTCAATTATGATCTTACACAGGTTTCTGGTGTTGATAAATCCTCTTTTCTTGCTGATCATATCCTCTTTTTCTGCTGATAATGTATGCTTCTTGCAGAGCTGCACCTGGTGGTAAAACAACTTATATTGCTGCTCTTATGAAGAATACTGGTATATTGACATATCTTACTGAACATTTACTGTTTGTTTATTCATGCTTGTTTTCTTATAGTAGTTCTATCAATTGTAGGAATTGTTTTTGCAAATGAAATGAAGGTGCCCCGGCTTAAATCACTTACGGCAAATTTGCATCGTATGGGAGTGTCAAACACTGTAGTCTGTAACTACGATGGAAAGGAGGTTAGCTAACCTACCAAACCGTGACTTGTCTACACCATAGAGTTCTATTTCTCTGATTTTGCATCTTATTGTCGTTTGAATTTATCTGTATCCTTTTGTGATATGATGATCATCTGAGTTGGTTGCAAAGGGAAAAGGCCTGTCTTTCTCTCTTATCACATGATTATCATGCATCTGAGAGGATTTGAATACAAGGGATCTATTTATGATTGTCTGTGAATGGAGAATAAACCTTAATGTATGACTTATGTTTTTTTAAGCAGTTTCTGGGCCAACGAGAGGATTTGAATACCAATGACAGTATGGACTGAACATGATGAAAATGCCACTCTTTTGATTTGTCTTTGTAATTAGTAGAGGTTAGCTTATTGGTATAACCATTTTGTTAATAAATATATTTGAAATCAATCGTTGGACCTTGGTAGGGGTCAGTGGTTGTGCATGGGGATTTATGCTTCAGCGGTACTTCTGTGGTGATATTTTAGATCAGTGATTTTGTCTACTGTTTCTACACGATGGAATTGTTCGTCTGTTTTAGTCAAGATTTTGACTTTTATGGAAATTCTTTGATCTCCCTTAATTTCTTAATAATATTACTTGGTCTCTGTTTCTATTGTATTTATGGACTGGAAAAAGAATGCTGGTGTTGAAAATGAATTTATGGGGAAATGAATGCTAGAAGTAGGTCTACTGCTATTGAACCTATCCATGCACCCACTATATAGTATAGGGCTGTTTTTTTGCGTAGAAGTTTCAAAGTGATTCACATGTCACTGCAAATTATAAGTTTTACAATGACATTGAATGCTGTTAAATGCTAAACCTGTTGTGTGTCTAAATTATTCTATTTCAGCTCCCCAGGGTCTTGGGTCTCAATTCTGTTGATAGGGTGTTATTGGATGCCCCTTGCAGTGGTACTGGGGTAAGACAATGTTTAAAATACAATATTTATTTTTCCACTTTCTAGATTTCTTGTTTTTTATTCCTTCTAATATTCTAGAAAGGCACTAAGGGTTTCTCTCTGCAGGTTATATCTAAGGATGAGTCTGTAAAAACCTCTAAAAATCTAGAAGATATACAGAAATGTACCCATCTACAAAAGGTAATTTTATTTTCATTGAAGTTTTATTTGAGAGAGATGAGATAAATGAATGGAGTGAGAACGTGGTTATGGCTCTCAATTTTTCCTATATTTTGAATCTCAAATTTAACTGAGATTGAGATCAATGAACTGGTCCTGTAACTGGCAGCTGGCCATAACAATGGTTATAGTTTCACTTTGCTCTTTAGGAATACTTCTTCTCTGGGTTCATGCGACCATACGTTATAGATATAAAGTTAACCTTTTAGGCTATGTTCTATCATGTTCTTTATTATTCTGAATTTAATAGATTTCGTTCTATTTCCTATAGCAATTGATTCTTGCTGCTATTGACATGGTGGATGCTAATTCAAAATCTGGGGGTTATATTGTTTATTCGACATGCTCCATCATGGTGGCAGAGGTTAGTTACGCAGTCCAAACTGTGAGATTCAGTGCCTTTGTTTTTTTTTTTTAAATCATGTATCTTTAATATTTCTTTCTTTTTAATCTTCAGAATGAAGCAGTCATTGACTATGCTTTAAAAAAGAGGGATGTTAAACTCGTGCCATGTGGTCTTGACTTTGGGCGTCCTGGGTAATGATCGTATTCCTTTTATTTCTCACGCAGTTGTTTTTGATTGTTGAGTATTCCTCATGCCATTGACAATTGTTTTCTATCAGTTATATAAGGTTTAGGGAACAACGTTTTCACCCTTCATTGGAAAAGACAAGGCGTTTCTATCCTCATGTTCACAATATGGATGGTTTTTTTGTTGCGAAGGTATAAATATTATTTTTCCTATTAAAACATTGCCACTTGTGTTTACTAATGAATTGCCGGTTCTGAAACAGATATATGCCACGATATATGAATTGAGACTTAAAATTGCATTTAAGCACTACTATCTGGTTATGTCAGTATCTATGTTGTTTCATGTAATCATGTCCTGTAACCAATTTAGTACTCCCTCCGGTCCTAAATATAAGACCCATTTTGTAATATAATTTATACTAAAAAATGGGTCTTATACTTGGTACCGGAGGAGTAATATTCTTCTGAGGTGTTTATGGATGCATATGCATTTCCTGATGCATGATTTGAACTCACTGCCCTGCGAAGAATTTTGTCTGGGGATGTACAAACAACTAACTCCGTATGTCTGCTTGCGTATGTGACTGGGCATAATGCCCTTACGGTGTAGGCTGGCTAGTTGGGTGAAATGTTCATGAATGATAAATTTGTCTTTGAGATTTTTAAAATTCTCTGGAATACATATCAAATAGTGCACCAGTTCCTAATTCCTATTTTTGTTTCCGACAATAAATCTATCTACTTGGACTGCCAATATTGCTAGCTAGTATAAATTTTCTACTTTGTTGAGATTAGCTGGTAAAATGGACACTGTTTCGGTCTGGTACTCAAGATGTAATAGTTCTGCCTAGATCAGTTTAATTTTAATTTGCTGTACGATGTTCTATAGTTGAATTGTGAATATGATAGGAAATGCTTATGAGAGTTTGAAGTGTGATGGCTCATTATTTAGATTGGCTCAAAACAAAACTTTGTTGTTTATATTCTTTGGATCTGTATTTGGTAGTTGAAAAAAATGAGCAACTCAAAGCCAAGTGCAAAACCATTAGAACCGACAGAAGAGGAGGAAGGTGCCCAGCTTGTGAATGAAAAGGAGGTTACAAGTAATGGCGAGAAGCAAGATGCAGATGGCAAGAAGCAAGATGCGGATGGCAAAAAGCAATATGCAAATGCCAAAAAGCAAATTGCAAGTGGCAAAAAACAAACTGCAAATGTTAAAAAGCAAAATGCAAATGGTAAAATACAAACTGCAAACGGCAAACTGGCATCTGAATCCAAAAAGAGGAAGAAAAGGCAATTTCCATCTAGAGAGGAAATTTCGAAAGCCAGGTGAATTTTTTTTTCATGTTTAATAATTGTCTCTACTGGCACTGGGAGGATCGAATGAAGGAGAATGGCTTTAAATGAAACCGTTCTTCCCATTTTTTTCCTCCATTTTCCTCAATCCAAAAATGATGGCAATGAAGAAAATCTCTTCATATGCAATAACTTACATTGCATGTTCATAATTCCTGCAGGGAAGAGAAGAGGAAAGCTTTAAGACAAAAGAAAGGAAAGAAGGCAGGAAGCAAAAAGGCTAAACATGGGGATTGAGCAGATGTAACAGGCCAAGCGGAAGTTGTTATACATGGTTTCTGGAACAGATAAATCACTGTAGTTTTGTGCAGACCAAGACCCCAGAAACAGAAAGATAGGAGTACGAGGTGCTTTCACGTCATTAAATTATAGACTGGGGCGTTCCCTAACGTCACCGTTAGGGCTCAGTTTTGTAGCGTTTTCTTTTCCCTCTATTATTATTGTTTGTGTTTATTACTTTCTTCTGTTCAAAATATAAGCTTGATTTAATCCACTTATGTTTGTCAAAAAATTAATTAAAATCAGTATAAAACAATAAATATGTAAGTCTTGTAAATTTTTTTTTTTAAATGTCTTTATTAATGAAGAGAATAAATCTTTATTTGGATAAAGAGAAAATCAGGGAGAAAAGAAAACTAGGAAAAGAGAATGGGGGGAAATGAGTTTTTTTCCTAGTTGGATGAATGACGAAAAGTGAGGAAAAAAATAGAGGAGAAAATGGGGTTTGGCGTTTAATCTATGTTTTCTTCTTCTAACTTTTCTCTTAACAAAGGGAGAGAAATGAGACACATCTCACTTTTACCCTTGTGCACCAAGGCGCTGAGAAAACGTACGTTTATGTTTAAAATTCACTCTATTCTTCTAGCATATTTTTCTTTAAGAAAATAATTATGAAAAAAAAGCTGCAATTTTTTTTTTTTTAATTTAACTGCTTTTGCAAAGAAAGATCTGGCCCTTTTTTGTGCCGGTAGGGTTTGGATCTTTCTATTTCAAAAATTTTAATCGCAAAAAAAGTATAATTCATTTTATATTTTATTTTTATTATTTGTTAATAATGTTAGGTAATGTATAATTTATGGATATCCTTGTAATATATTTAATTTTAAAAATTTATTTACTTTTTATTTTTAATCTTAAAATATATCATTTTTCTAAAATTGTTTTGTTTAAATTATTTGAATCATGAATATTTGCTTATCTTATTTTCTCTCTCTGTGAAATAGTGTAATATTTTTTCTCCATATTTTTTCATTTCATTTTTTTTACTCTTAACTTTTCTTTTCATCTAAATAGAGTACAAATAAAAGAAATAAAAAAAAAAGAGGATAATATATGGGAGCAAAAGTGATGGGAGAAAGTATGCGTCATAAATAAATAAAATATGTAGGGGCAAGTAAAGTCCCTTCAAAATTCAATCGAGAAAACATGGTGGGTTGGAGGCAAATTACACTTTTACTAGAAACATATCGGCAAGGTAAATGAAAGGGGAAATGTAATTCTCAGTCACTTTTTGTTTAAAATGTCTCTCTCTTTCGCTCTTTCCATGTCTGGTAAATATTCGTAGCCATCTTTTATAGTTAACGTAGGATATATAACCAATAGCAAAAGAAAATATGCTGCATATGTTAGAGGTAAAATTAAAAAAACTTATTAAATGATTAGACAAAATTGAAATGTATCATACCCAAAAAAAAAAAAACCAAACTCCTCCAACAAAATATATATATTATATTTTGAATCAGAGGCAGTATTTTGTTTTTGGGTTTCGCCTACGGCATCCTATTTATTACATAAAAAATGCATATTGGAAAGGGAAAAAATTATATCAAAAAAAAAAGGTATCGGTGATCCTCATGCTGCCTAGGGGTCAAATTAAATTAAATTTAAAATGCAGCAAGCGATACAAACCAACATCGTTCGCTTGTTGAAACCAAAAATTAACTAGGTCCTAAATTAACTAAAATCAAAATTGCTAATAAAAAGAGGGGTTTTTAGTTGACTTTTTTCAAATATAAAAACTACCTTGTAAATAAATTGACAAACAATTCTAAATACCTTTTTTTTTTTGGGCTTTTCACCAAAGCTTTGGCCGTGGTCACCCCTTCTCTCTGTTTTTTTTGGGACATGACAATGACTATATCTAGTAGGACTCTTTTTTGTTAGACAAAAAATATATAAATACATACATTTATGTAAAGCTAGTAATATGGGTTAAACTCGTGAGTTTAATTAAAAAGTGGTGGGTTGGGTTAAAAAAATGTGGAACTGTTTGATGCAGGCCTTTTAGAGTCTGTTTGGTTGGAGGGGAGGGGAGATGAGCCCCTCCCCTCATTTGGTTTGAAATTTTGGGGGGGAGGGAACCCAAAATCTCCCCTCCCCTTCCCTTCCCTTCCCTTATTTTGGTTCCCTCTAAATTGGGATTTTTTGGAGGGAAGTTAAATATCCTAACTAATTTACCCCCATTAATTTTATAATATTCCACCAAATGCCCCTGGAGGTAAATGTTTTCTTCTTCGTGGATCTGTTCGGCAATCACTCTCACTCGCCTTTCTTTTCTGTGCGGTGCTGTTCCTCTCACGATCGTTGTCCCTGCCGTCACCGTCACAACCTTCTCTGACAGCCACCGGCGTCTTCGTTCAGGTAATAAGTGGCCGAGTTCGTTCCTGATTTTGCTCTGAATTTGCGTAGTGCCGTAGTTGAACGAACTTACCTGAACGATTGTGTTATGTAGCAATGCATTATGTAGCATTTTGCTTTGTGCCTTACCTGAATGTAATATTTTGCCACCGGCGTCTTCCTTTTTAACATTTTGCTCTGTCACTACTATCAAGTTTGTGAAAACCTCTCCTCCAATGCTTTGAAGTTTCGTGGCTTTATTTGACTGTGCTGATAGATTGTGTTATATAGCATAGCAAAACTGGTTCTGAAATCCGAAACATTGCCATTGATTCTTTGCCTTCTATCACTGCCGCCAGCGTTCTGAAATCCCTCTTACATATCTGTATTTCTGCTCTTTTCGAAATATTGCCATTGACTGTGCTGATGGTTTCTGTTTTTTGGGAAAATATATATGAAGTATAGTGCGATCTCTCTATCACCTTTCTCTCTCATATGTTAAAGCTAACCACGATGAAGGACTGCCTCTTCGACCTGGTCCTACTCCTCATTAACATAGGCACATTGCTTCTATGCTGTTATAATATATCAGAAAGAACCTTTGATCAGAGTCTTATGGGAGGAATTGATGAAATTCTTTTCGCATCTTAGGCTTTGTTTCTTCACCTTGTAATGATATTTCTGGCATATATAACCTCCCTTTCATATCACTCCGATTCTAGTCTACTTGAGAGCACATTGCGTTTTTGGGAAGTTTCATATTTATCATATTTTCATGATCCATGATATATATAAATATATATATATCTGAATGCATCACATCTTGCTTATTTATAACAAAGACGAAGATGCAGCGATGCTAATGAAAGTGGGTAGAGGAGTTCACTGAAAAAATTGCCATGGGTACAATGTTGAACACCAATCCTCACTATACTTCATCTTGGCATAATCAAACTTATAACAGCATAGAAGTAGCAGCGTGCCCATGTTGATGAGGAGCAGGACCAATCGAAGAAGCAGTCCTTCACTCCTTTGAGGTGTCATCGAGCTCATGGTTAGCTACAAAGTTGCATTTTGATTCTCGCTCATTTCTTTGTGTTTATGTTGTTGCCAATGAACAATGAGCAGTAGGGACTAAAATAGCTAGTTCATGACTTTATTATATGTGTCTTTGCTAAGTTATTAATATGCAAATTTTACTTATTTTGTTAGATGGACATGGAAACTCAATACTACTTATTGGTGCGGCAATGGCTTGAATTGCATCATAAAGTAATAGCTCTACTTGTACGTATTAGTGCGCAAGTATATGAGAATGAAGTTCGTCATCCACAAATAAGTTATAGTTTGAGTGGCAAGAGAGAAAGGGTACGGGATGAAATAATGAATAGAATAAGTAGTTGTCCATCTAGTTGAAACATCATTAGAATGTCTCCTAGAGCATTCTTAGAGTTGTGTAGCATGTCAGAAAGAGATTGTGGTTTGCAACCCACTAGGTGGTCCAGTGTGGAAGAACAAGTTGCAAAAACTCTTTATATATTAACACACAATGTTAAAAACCGTGAAGTCAATTTTTGGTTTAGGCGTTCTGGTGAGACAATTAGTCGTCATCTTCATATAGTTTTGATGGCTATCATTGAGTTAGAAGAAAAATTTGTTGTACAACCTAATGGGTCAACAATCCCTCTTGAAATTCAAAATGAGAGTAAATTCTTCCCATATTTTAAGGATTGCCTTGGTGCTATAGATGGAACACATATACGAGTCAAGGCGCCTTCTATAGATGCTCCTCGATATCATGGTAGAAAGGAATTTCCAACACAGAATGTGTTAGCAGTATGTACATTTGACCTAAAGTTCACTTATGTGCTTCCTGGATGGGAAGGCACTGCATCCGACTCACGAATTATTAAAAATGCATTAACAAGGGAAGATAGCCTTAAAATTTCTGAAGGTATGGGTTTTACCAATTTTGCTTAAGTTTACATTCATTAGGGATTATAAAACCAATACAGTAATTGTCTTTTATTATGATAGGTAAATATTATCTTGTGGATGCTGGATTCATGTTAACAAGAGGGCTTATAACACCTTATCGGGGAGTTCGTTATCATTTGAAAGAGTATTCAAAAAGAAATCCACCCCTAAATCATAAGGAGTTATTTAACCTTCGACATGCAAAGTTACGGAATGCAATTGAAAGAGCTTTTGGTGTTTTGAAGAAAAGATTTGCAATTTTGTCCAATGCAACCGAACCTACATATGGCATCAAGGTTCAAAAAACGATAATATATGCCTGTATAATTCTTCATAACTTCCTTATGAGTGCTGACCCTGCTGAAGATCTTATAAGAGAAGTTGATAGGGAACTTCTTCAACAGAATACGGCAAATGACAATAACCGTGCTTCAAGTACTGACAATAATGAAGCTGCTCAAGGTGAACTTATCAGAGAATGTATAGCCACTCTAATGTGGACAGATTACTAGAATAATCCTGAGCATGGTTTTGGTGATGATCTTGGGGATGACCTTGAGGATTAGAGTTTGATTTTCTTAGTAAAAGTTTGATTTTGTTGTTTAATGTGCATTACCATATTCAAATTCAGTTTATTGTATTACTTATTTAGTTTAGACTTTGAATTCCATTTAAGACATTCAATTTGTTGTATGACTTGTTTATTTTAAACTTTTAATTCCAATTTAAGACATTCAGTTTTAGACTTTTAATTCCAATTTGTTGTATTATATGCTTATGTCTTTATGTTATAGGATGGCACCAAACAATAGTAAGGAGACACTAAACTGGACAAGACATATGGATGATGCCCTCATTGATGCTTTTATGACTGAATATAATAAGGGCCGCAAAGTTAATGGCACTTTTACATCTACTGCTTATGATAATATTGTTAGATATTTAACTGCTTTGTTTGGTAAGCAAATTGATAAGGACAAGGTCAAAAACCGATGGAAGACTTTAAAGAGAAATTTTTCAAATGTTTATGATATTTTTAAAAGTTTGAGTGGGTTTGCTTGGAACCCAACAACTCATTTGTGGGATGCTGAGCCAGAAGTTTGGGATACACTGATTGAGGTATAATTTCTACTGCATGTTTTATGCTTTCTTTGGGTTTTATGAAGTTTGTACACAATTCTGTTGCATTATATTTCATGAACTTGTTGGATTATATTAGGCTTCCTTATATATGCCTTCTGTTTATGATATATATATGCCATCTGTTGCCGCCTACTATTTATGACCATTAGATTAGAGTTGCTGCCTGCTGTATATGCCTACTGTTGTCGCCTTCTGTTTATGAATGACCATTGGATTTTTTGGGTAGCTGAACTTGTACTGATTATATTCAATACCTTCTGTTTATGACCATTGGATTTTTTGGGTAGCTGAAATTATGACTTGAAGCAGAAATGTTTATGACCGTTGGATTTTTTGGGTAGCAAAAATGTTATATTTTTTGGCTTGTTATATCATCATTTGTCTTTCAATTCAGTTATTAGTGTAACTGCTACGAGCCACCCTTCCACTTATTTGCCTTCTGTTTATTTCATGAACTTGTACCGATTATATTCAATGCTTTCTGTGATTCCTTTCTTTCAATTCAGTCATTAGTGAACTTGCCTACGAGCCACCCTGCAATATGAAAAATTCCTTTCTTTCCTGTGATATGAAAATTAAGTTTCAGATTCATGTAATATTAATATGCACAATTCATCTCCATGCTAATATATTTTATTTCCTCTATTTTTTAGGCTAAACCTAAGGCAGCACAGTGGAGAAACAATCCTTTTCCAAATTATGAGAAGATGCTAATACTATATGGGGTGGATAGAGCTAATGGAGATGAGGGGGAGACAATGCGTGAATGGAGGAAGAGACGTCGTACTCAGGAAGAGACCACTAGAACTGTTAATGATATTGATAACCTTGTTTCACAAGGTAGATATTCATTACAAAATGATGATGATTTTGTTGAGTTAGATGGACAAAATAACTCACATGGACAAGGATTGTCACCTGAAGAAGATAATTCTCCTGTTGCTAATAGTGCTTGTAGTAAGAGGACAAAACGAGCATTCAAAGAGCATGAAAATAATTTAAAGAAACTAACTGAGGCAATATGTCGAGTGGCTGATGCATTAGATAGAGGAACTGAGGCAATACTGCAAGGAAATATAGCCATAACAAAAGCTTCCACTACAAAGATGCAAGCACCACAGCTATCCGGTGAAGAACTTTGCAAACTGCTTGAAGAATGTGGGATTGAGATAGAAAAAATACCTGATGTATATTGCTTCCTTATGAATGATGTTGATAAGCTTAGAACAGCTGTTCAATGTCCGGTTGCAATAAGGAAGCAAGTGATAATGAAGATGTTTTATGGTTCTTATTAAATAGTTGTTTAACCACTTACTATGATGACTTTTGATATAAGCCCAATGTGATTTCTAGCAACTGATGCTTTTTGTATATTTTGATAGATGCTAACAATTTTAGCTTTTTAATAGTAGGGATGACTTCATTTGCCCTATTAGGTGTATGTTTTGTTGAAAGCTTTTGTATTGTTAGCAAAATGTTATAAACTATGATGAAGACATATTTATTTATGAAGAGTTTTATTATCAAGAGTTTTATTTATTTGCATGATTGGTTTTATGAAGACAAAGGCGGTCCATCCTGTTGCTTCACAGTAGGGATTACACCAACGTATATGCAACAAGAGGGAAATAAGGTGTAGAATCAGCGAAAAAATCAATTAAAAAAAAACCATGATACATAATACATTATGGAAGAATCAGCGAAAAAATAAAAAACCGTAAGGTACAAATAGTATTGGTATCAAATTACATATTAACAGTGATTATGTAAATAAATCAAATTAAATTATGAGGCTACCTTTTTTAAATTAAACAAATGAATTAAATTATGAGGCTAACCTTTTTAAATTAAACAAATAGTATGGGTATCAATTTTAAATGAAAAATTTAACGCTTTAATTGATGTTACCCACAAGATAATAATCCAAATAATAAGTAACTTCCTAAATATAAAATTATTAATTTTATTTTTTAGCATATATTATTTTATTAGAGATTATTTAAATTAATTTGTATAACAATAATATATATCAAAATATAAGGGTAAAATAATAAATTGATTATTACCATCCTTCCTCTCCTCCTCTTGAACCAAACAAAGGATCATTAAATATCCTTCCCTCCCCTCCTTTTTAATCAAACCAAACAAGGTGAGGTTATAACCTCCCCTCCCCTCCATTCAAACCAAACAGGCCTTTAAACTTGCACCCACCAACACACGGGCTAGCACTTTTTTTAAAAAAAATTTCAATTTTTATTTTAATTTCAATAAGAAACAATTTTATTATTTGTACTCAATTTATATATAAATTTGTATTTTGTTGGTTCTAAATTTAAATTCTTATTTTTTTTATTATTTTACCAATGAATTATATATTTATATTTTAAGCTGAGATTAATTTAATTACATAAATATTTGAAAATATAAAAATATAAATTTTACAATTTAATTGAAAAATTTAAAAATATATATAAATATAAAAATAAAATTGAAAAAAAGTGAAGGTTGGTCAACCCGCCGACCCACCCTTATTTTAGGGCGGGCCGGCTAAATATAAGCCCATTAGAAGGCGATCTTTTTAGGACCGCCCGTATGGGCTCCTACCTGCAGCAAGCTGCCCCGTAACCTGCGGGCTATCTGCCTCACCACCCCCTTATCATATAAACTTGTTTCCAGTTTTCACCATCATCGCTAAACCCTAAACCCTGCTTACTACTGGACGGCAAGAGGAAGGAGTGAGGGGAAGATACGTAGGGGAAAGCTACAATGTCCTCGTCCGAAGATGAATCAATGTCAGAATTGGACGAACAGGAAGAACAGAGAAAGTCAACCAGGTCTGAGGGATCGGTACTTGATTATATCATGAGCTTGGAAAGTGTTCCGTCCAAACTCCCCCCACATCTTGAACTCATGAGGACGCGGGTTTTCTGCAATAACGATGCTCCTGACCATGTATGGTTAAGTTTCTTTCACTAAGCCATGGACATCCATATTTTGAATTATAAAGTCATGTCCTTTAAGCTCTGTTTCTTTTCCTGTCACTTTCTTATTTTCTTTTGCAACTTTATAAGTACAAAACAACTAAAACTTTTCGTCAGATTCTCTCCCTTGGTCCCAGCTTACTTCTAATGAAGCAGTAATTTTTGAATTCTAAGTTTGGGGAGTCGGATTGGCCTTTGTGTCCTAATTTCATTTGTTTTTATATTTTTAGACAGATACCATACAGTATTCTGGCGCCTATGCTGCGTTAGGAGTTGATAATAGCATACGATTAGATAATTTCTGTCAGAACTTCAAAGTTCAAGTGAATCGACTTACAGAGGATGACATGGAGTTCGATATGATGGGAATTGATCCAGCACTTGCCAATGCATTTCGAAGAATTCTTATAGCAGAGGTGAAGTCTTTGAGTGTTTTCCATATTTATGGTCAAAATAACCCTCTGCTATCTGTAATTGGATTTGGAAGATTTTCGGAGTTGGACGTTACTTTTGCATATTGAATGCTTATTGTAATATATTTAAGCCGGTCATTACTGTTGGAGATATTCAATTTTAATATGATGCTGTGCATTCAGGTTCCAACAATGGCTATTGAAAGAGTATATATAGCAAACAATACGTCAGTTATACAAGACGAAGTTCTTTCCCATCGATTGGGTCTTATTCCGATCAAGGCTGACCCCAGGCTGTTTGAAAATCCAGGTATTCATATGTACTGAAATGAACATACAATTATATGACAATCAATAATCACATGCATGGCTTTATTGTATGATGCTTCTCTATGTGTTGTTTGATATGGCCCCTAGCTGTGGGGTGAACTGTGACGTTGAGTAATTCTTGTTTAATTTTTCCCTTTTTGTTATGACTAGAAAATGCGGGAAATGACAAGAATGAAAAGAACACTATTGTCTTTAAACTCCATGTTCGATGTGAAAAAGGTCATCCCCGAATCACCGGTAAGAATTGAACCCAATGCTCCCAATTCCTTTTTTATGGCATTTTTCTTCTTTTGATTTTTTTAACTCCAATGCAGTAAAATCAAATGAACTGAAGTGGTTACCTAATGGGAGTGAACTTCCTGCTGAAGATGTCAAACCAAATTCTGGTTCAAAACCAAGAACATTTACTTCATTTAGTTGCAGTCAAGATTCCCTTCCTGAATTTTCTACCGATCCAATTGCTCCCAAAAATTTGGATATCATATTAGCTAAACTTGGACCTGGCCAGGTAGCCCTTTTTGCTATTTGCTTATTGGCATATTGTTATACTTTATATTTTTGTAACAAAGAAACAAGTTTGAGGAGGTAAGCTGTGATGCATTATTGTATATGCGTGACATTCGCATCTAAGAAAAAGGAGATTCAACATGTGTTATCTCGTGCAAAGCTAGTCAGTACTCAGTAGTTATGTTCTTTGAGCCTGGATTGAGATTTAATCAAGTCTAGCACTTGAACCAATAGCGCTAAACCTGACTCCTATTAGGAAATTAATTTCGAATTTGGATGCAAAATTTGATGGGCATGTCTTCGTCCATGCATCAAGCCTTAGGGTTAGGGGGATTTGCCTGTGGGTGTGTTAGATGCTAATAAATTTATGCATTGACCTTCAAATAGCTGGGGCTTTCGTATTTTGTGAGGAAATGGTTCTAAACAGAAAGATCTACTCCCACATATGCATGTGCTATAGGAATTCAGTTGCAAGATTTATGTACCTGCCTCAACAAAGTGGCATGCACATCTTCTAAAGAATACCCGTGATCTTGATTTGTATTCTTGATCAAATTTCTAAACAAGCTGTCTTATGTTTCTCTTCTCCTTTTTCCAGAAAGAGAGAGAGAGACTTGTCCACTTGCTTGTTTTGCAAGATCCTAGGATCTGTTATGACTGAAATCATATATTGCTTTCTCTTATTCTTATTTTTGAGGACTTTCGCCCAATTTAGCCATGCTAATTGTGTACCATTGTGTTCTGCTTTTCGCAGCTTGAGCTTACTTTTTATATGTCATGTTCAAATTCCTGTATATTTCCTTTCTATGAATTGTTCCTTTGTTTTATGCTTGGAAGATGAACATGAATTGTTATCTTTTGAACATTTGTTGTGACGCAAGAACTAAGCAGTTGGAACACGCTAAGATAGAAGGCTTTATATTACTAAATTTTGAGCACTAATGACAGTTTTTGTTTTTGTTTCCGAACCATTCCTTTGCATTATGTTAAAAATATGAACATTATTTGTTAGCTTTTGATCATTGATTGTAATGTAACGTAAGGTCTCAGGAATAAGAACAATAAAAGACAGAAGACTGGATATTATCAAATATCATATTCATTACCACGTGTGTCTGTAGGAAATTGAACTTGAAGCTCATGCAGTTAAAGGCATTGGTAAGACACATGCAAAATGGTCCCCAGTTGCCACTGCTTGGTATCGGATGCTCCCAGAGGTAAAGAATATATTGTTTCAGATGCAAAATGTTCACGTTCAAACACTGCAGTAGAAATACAAAAACCTCACATGCGAATGCTTGGCTTGTTTTTTCCCCCTCTAGGTTGTTCTCTTGAAAGAGGTTAAGGATGACCTTGCTGAAGAACTCAAAAATAAATGTCCAGTTGGAGTATTCGATATTGAAGATATTGGAAAAGGTAGCATGTCTTGTGTTTCTTTCGTGTGGCTGGCACCAAATTTTGCGTTTGTTGACTATGATAGTTGAGGATTGTAATGTCCATGATTTGGCCACACGGAAAGCTGATTTTGCATCCATGCCTAACTTGTGTTGCACACTAGTAGTTTTAGGTGGGGGTTACAAATGTGGTCTCAAGTTCCTTTTTTTTTAATACTTTTTTGCTTTGCTGGATTGGCTGTTGAGCAGGCAGAAGAAGGGCAACTGTTGCCAACCCACGAGCGTGTACTCTATGTAGGGAATGCATCAGAGGGGGAAAAGAATGGGAGGATCGTGTGTCCTTGCGCCGTGTTAAAGATCATTTTATTTGTAAGTAATGTGTGAGATGTTTGACTTTATTGAAATTTTGACATTTAATTTGCTTGAATATTAAATTAGCACCAAGGTATCATCTTTGTATTTGAGGTAATTATTTTCTGTTGTGGGCAATTGAGAAGTAATTATGATTGCCTAAAGCAGCACATGACCCAGACTCCAAGGTAATTATATCAGCTTACGTGAGAAGACATGATCCAGAGGCTAGTTTAAACTTCATTGGCAGATTAATATCATAATTTATTGATAAATGTATCTAATGAGCAAATATTTTTCAGCAGTTATTAATCTTTTTTTTTTTTTAATGCGGGCAGCATTCACATTTTTTATTGGAATTTGAGAATTTTTTCCACTAGGTTATGTGAGATTTTTATTCTTGAAATATCATTGAAAGCAACATGTTAATGCATCCTAGGGATCTTCAGTTTGTTGTAGCTGCCATAATGCTAGTGATGAAGTGATGTTTCAGTCTGTTTGTATTGAAAACTTGAAATTATTTAAAGCCACTCATGAGTGCTTTTTTTCCCCTTCCAGTTAAT